CAGTCAGTTATGGGGTGGAATCAACGTCCATGCCCGAACTGATCATCATACAGAATGGACTGCACGAAGATAAATTGACGAAGTTCTTCTGCTCCATATTGGGCATAATTTCGTGATAATTCATGTTAATGCTTGACCGCATCTACATAGCTCGGGTCTTCACCCATTACTTGGAGGATGTAGGGATTGCCACAATGAATTGGACGACACGTTCTTCCATCACGAATCCGTTAGAACAGTTATGGGGCATGATAAAGAGACGGGTTAGACATACTTCGCCGCTTCCAACAAGCGATGAAATGCTTCAAACCGTTCGTTGAAAAATGGAATTCGGTTTCACAAAACGAAATACCTAGGAGAGTAAAGGCCCTTTGAAAAGCCAGAGATGGTAATATGCGTCATTAAGAGCAAAACTAAGTAATAAATTGTTAGTTATATTTGAAGTAATTTTCCTGTTTTGTTAAATTTTTGTCACAGCATTATAATTGATTATTTTTTATTAAAACTCATGAATTTGTGATATCGTTTAACTACTTTAAATAAAAATATGCATATTGTGATTAACACAACGATAAAAACAAAATAATTGTGTCCGGTTTATTTATATTTGAGCGTATATTTTGAAAGAATTGCAGTCAGTGGACTTACCAAGTGATAAATTTGTGCACAAACTTAGAACTAATTTTTTTTAAATTATTGTATATATGTACCTACATATTTATACAGTATGGTTCGCTATGATATGCATGCTGGGGGAGTGAATATGACCAGACTTCTATGTTTATTGTATGTTTTATGTCTATTCGGTAGTTGACCATCTGAGGCAGGAACGAGAGGCTAACATTTTAGGATATCGACATTGCATACATATAAAAAATTGATATTCAGTAATCAGATCGAGACGCTCAAATGGCTGCAGCTAAAAACAACACGGGCGTGAAAGACCTGAAAAGAAGGAAAACACGCACAGGGCTGGTGATGATGACCTCAGCTGTCTGTCGTTCCATAAACCTCCCACATTATATACATATGACAAGGTTATAGGGGCGTCGGTGGCCGCAAGGTTTAGTCGTTGACACGGCGCTCATCACTGTAAGGTAAAGGTCCCGGGTTCGAATCCAGCGGTCCTGCATTTCCGACATACTTACAAATGGGCTTTTTTTCAAAAACACCGGCACCCTGAGGGTTTATATGACCTCTGCTGTTGCAACCCCTTGTTTAAAAAACAAAACAAATAGTTATAGTTTTTATTATTGTAGACAAACTCTTTGAAAGTTACTAAGAACTGACCCTTGTGAAATATTAACTGAAATGTATCCGACATCATTTTTCCCGATATCAAAACATGAATTGAAATTGTAATGTCGTTTTATTTTACTAACGATATTTCCCTGACATTTTTAGCCGGATGAAAAGGAACCCCTGGTTTCGAAGGGTTAAACGTTATTCGAGACTTCACGATGATTTTACAAATGTTCATTTCTACAAATAAATTATACTTATTGCTATTTTGTCCTGAATCACTGTGTACTTAAGAAAGGGGTTTTCCACAAAAGGTCACTCTTTTTTTTAAGAACGACGGCTAATTTGCGGTAAAAGCTGTTTTTTTGAAAAAGAGGTCGGTTTTGACCGAACCCTTTTTTGCCGGTTGTTATTGGTAAACTTGTGGGAATCCAAAGGGAGGAGATAATCTATAGAAGGGAATTGTTGTCGACAAAGAGCCTTAGAATGGTTGTTTCTCTTGTATAATTTGTATTTTGCTGCTTGACTTTACCCTTAAGTCCTGATCGAAACAACCAGTTGCATTTAAATTTATTTATTATTGCCTCTAGTTAACACTATTTGCGTTCACTTATTTTTCTTTTTGTTTTGGTACAGCCTCGTGATGATAGATTAAATTCCCAAACAACACACAAATAGTGGCCTATAAAAATTAATATATTATTATAATAATTATTCGGAGATCGTGAGATGCGGTCGATTGTGACGTAAGTTTTACAAAAACATTTTCATCTTGCCAACGTTTCGATCTTTATTGAGATCGTCTTCAGGGCCTGGGATTTAAAAACATTGTTTAAATTTTACAAATACATGTAGGATGTGAAAAAATTAATTTATACAATGGTAGAAATTTTAGATTCAAAAAAATGAATTTATACAATGCTAGAAAATTTTAGATTAAAAATAATAATTTATTGGATTTCACTAATTTCGTGGTCCGCTTGACCAATTAAATCATTACAATTAGTTAAGGTTTTTAGTTGAGGTGGAAAAAAGTTAATGGTACGAGCGGGATTCGAACCCACGATCTTCGGCTAGATACGCCGCTGCTCTACCACTTGAGCTATCGTGACCTCGATCCACTCGGACATCAACTTCCTATCTCAACCCCACCTTATGAGTTTTCCCTCCTTTTTGCCATTTTTCAAGCGGACCACGAAATTAGTGAATTTAAAGAATTAATATGAAGTCCACTTCACTAAAGCTCTCCGTGGCCATTTCGATTGTCGTCGAGAATCCAAACCGATTACACGACATTTGAAAACTCATAAGGTGGGGTTGAGATAGGAAGTTGATGTCCGAGTGGATCGAGGTCACGATAGCTCAAGTGGTAGAGCAGCGGCGTATCTAGCCGAAGATCGTGGGTTCGAATCCCGCTCGTGCCATTAACTTTTTTTCATCTCAACTAAAAACCTTAATTAATTGTAATAATTTATGGAATGTTAAAAAATTTTAGATTAAAAAAAAATTTATGCAATGCTAGAAAATTTTAGATTTAATCAAAGTATTTGTACTCACTCAAAGTGTTGGTTTTCCGTGTAGATGTGTCATTCTTGTCTGTTGTGTTCAGAGTGGTAGTGAAATACTGATGTTTTATATTTATGTGTTTTTTTGTTTTTTATCTAAAATTTCTAACGTTGTATACATTCATTTTTTCACATCCTACATGTATTTGTAAAATTTAAACAGGCCCTGAAGATGATCTAAATAAAGATCGAAACGTTGGCACGATAAAGAAAATGTTTTTCTAAAACCTACGTCATACCAGACCGCATCTCACGATCTCCAAATAATCATTTGTCACTAAAAAAAATAATCATCACAAACGGTCACTAAACACCACACATTATTATAATAAATGAGTTAAAAAGGATAACCGTAGAGTAGGTGAAGGAATAATTTTTTCCGTGAAAAAACTAATTATCTTAGTGCTCGAAAACTTATCTCTTGTTTTACCCAATGTCAACATAGCCCTTTGTTTGGGAGAACAAGATTAGTTAATCATGAATGTTGTTCATCCTACAAGTGCCATTAAATTTGTTTATCGCGTTAGAGAAAATTATGTCTAGCAACAAATAATAACATCCAGAGCACTACACAGGCTTTTTAAAATTTTAGTCGATAAATATTCTAGTTTGGTTTGCAAACATTTACTTGAACTTTCAATTAATTAATCTTTTTGTAAGGCATTGATTGAAATAAAAACGTCAGTGTCACGAGTGGGATTCGAACCCACGACCTTCGCCTAAATACGGCGCTGCTTGAGCTATCGTGGTTTCGATCCACTCGGACAACAATCTTTCGAATTTTCCCTCCTTTTTTATCTCAACCAATGCCTTACATAAAGATTAATTAATCGAAAGATGTTATTTGGTCAATCGAACTACGAATTCTAATGAATTTAATAAGTTGAATGAAGTATATCTTCAATAAAGCTCTCCGTGGCCATTTCATTTGTCACCGAGAATCAAATAGATTTGAAAAATGGCAAAAAGGAGGGAAAATTCGAATGGTTGGGTTGAGATGGGAAGTTAGTGTTTGAGTGGATCGGTCACCATGGCTCGAGTGGTAGCGCAGCGTATTTAGCTGAAGGTCGAGGGTTCGAATCCCGCTCGTGACACTGACCATTTTTATCTCAACCAATGCCTCAAAGATTAATTAATTTAAAGATGTTATTTGGTCAATCGGACTACGAAATCTAATGAATTTGCTACATCCTTAACAAATATCAATCCGACCACCTGACGCTAAAAATACAATTAAAAAAAGTTAAAATAAAATGGTAACGTCATGGACCGGATCGGCAAATAAGCTCTCGCCTATCAAGAGCAATGTCCAGAGGTGGCCCTCCGAGGAGCTGACTCGTCGTTCATCCGCAACCGGTTAAGAATAGGCCATGCTGAATTGACACACGGACACATACTTTTGGGCCAAATCCCGCATATATGCCCGGCATGTAGAAAAAGGACAATGTGTCCCACCTAATCTACAAGGCCCCATATAAAGAGCGTGTGGGAATGCCACCCAATATGAGAATTGTGCTTGAACAAGAAATGAATATTTGGGTCCCCTGTTTCGATTCTTGGAGAAAAACGGGGTTATTTTATTGTATAAAGTAGTGATATTTTGGTGTACCTTAGTGTGTATTGCGAGTGGATGCATTTATTAGCGTGTATGTGAGGTGTAAGAGGGTCAATGACTAAACATTGAGTAACCCATCGACTGTCAATTAGGTTAGTTATATAGTAGGTCTATAGGGTGATGGAGGCCCGAATCTCCACCACCCCGAATGAATAGTAAGCACGTAAGAAAGAATGTATATAAGAGTGAGTCAGAATGAGAATGGGCTTTGATCTAGGGAGGGTTGCATTGGGTGCTGAAATGACGTAGGTGTTTACGTGCATTGGGTGTAAAGACCTACGTCATTTCAGCACCCGGAGCCCAACCTCAATAGCTGGATGGATAAGACCAAGTCTGACTCAGGACTGCCAACACCCGGAGTGGGTGATTGTCGAGGTCTGCCAGTAATTCTTTCTAAATTACAAGAGCTGGAATTGCCGGTGGACTGCGAGAGGTTATAGGCTCAACTATGTACACGTATGTGTATATATAAATCCATGTGCAAATTTGATGTTACATAAGACAGTAATCAGCAAATAACAAATATCGAAATTTGAGGCCACATTTTAACTGAAATTGGATTTTGTGTTTATTTGAAGGTATTGGGCGGTGACGAACATTGACTACATCCATCACCGGACTGGGAAGAGGATCGGCCTCATGATCCTTGTGATATGGTCGGTCGCCTTTCTCGTCTGCATAGCACCGGTCCTTGGCTGGAAGGATCCTGGCTGGGAAGCGAGAATATCCGAAAACCAAACCTGCCTGGTATCCCAAGACATCGGCTACCAGATCTTCGCGACGGCGTCGTCTTTCTACCTCCCCTTGCTCGTCATTCTAGTCCTTTACTGGAGGATATTCCAGACGGCCAGGAAACGGATCAGGAGAAGATTCCAGGCGACTAGTCAAGCGGCCATGCAAGCAGCCGGTCGCCAACCCCCGGCTGGTGGGGTCATAGCTGGTAAGGTTCCATTTATTAATCTTAATAACAAATTTCCAACTAATACTCCATTTTTATAAACTTGGGAGTGTTTCAATTAGCTAGGACAGTATGCTCTGGGTTAATGTATATAAATAGTCTATTAAAAAAACTACACATTTTATATTTAGTAAGATTTGTATTGATGGCGTAAGTAATTTTCTCAGATGAGTACCTAGGTATATTATGAAGACATCCACTACAGATCATCACTGCGAGCTACTTTTTTACGAAGTGATCATTTTAAACCGATCGTTAAAACCTTTTTCGCGCACATTAATTTCTTCCGAATATAAATCCAGTTATGAATCTTCATGAACTAACGTTTTACCATAAAACAAGCTTTATGATGCATTTTCGACATCGCGAGGAGAGTTGATAATTAAACGAGTTTCTGCCAGTTTGATGGGGCGTTTTCGTTGTTCCTCGTCGGGTGTTTCGCGACGATAAACGTTCTCTGGAACCCGTTTTCCGTAATGTCGGACTATGTTTATTTCCAACCCTTAGAATAGGAGAAGTTGGCCCGGGTTGGGAACCCGGTTATTTATGAGTTTAGAAAGCACTTTCCACCTCCACCTGGATCCTGCTTGGCTCTAATCGCACAGTCTGTTTTTAACTTTCAAACGTCTTGCAATCGGACGCAACGATTTTATAAGATTCCTTTAAATTTTATTACGTTTGTAAATAAAATATATAAATGATTATTTTCAAGTAATGATTGTGATATACACCACCACACTCCATTGCAAAACTCTTCTCAGGTATTTAATTTACCCCCTCTTCCTTCTCAGACTATTTTGGTTAAGGAGAAAATACCCCAACATTATTTTTTTCACTGTACAACTCTGATCAGCAGAAAATTGTTAAAATAAAGCATCAAAATACAAAAATATTTGTTGTGTAATAACTATGCCTATATAATAATTTACGTTTTATATTTTACTTTTTTACTTGATTTTTTTTATCCTAAAAAAACCTCTTTTGAGAAATAATTGCTTTTTTATAACAAAAACGTTAAATCATTTTGTAAATTCTATGATTAAAATATTTTGTTTTAGGTCTGTGTGCTGCTGGAGCAGCAGGGGGTAATGGGGGAATCGCTGCAGCAGTTGTGGGTGTGATTGGACGACCTCTTCCTACAATATCTGAAGCAACAACCACGACGACCACAACAGCTTTCACTAATGTCAGTTCTACAAATACGAGCCCAGAAAAGGGTTCGTTTGGGAACGGGCTCGAGCCAGACCCTCCAACAATGGACCTAGGCTCTTCATCCTATCATCCTGTATACCAGCATCACCCTCCAAAGAGGAAGTCTAAAGAAGCCGCTGACTCCAAGAGAGAAAGGAAAGCTGCAAAAACGCTGGCCATTATAACAGGAGCTTTCGTAATCTGCTGGCTGCCCTTTTTCATAATGGCCATATTGTTACCGGTCTGTAACATGTACCAAGTGTGCGTGTTGAACGATTACCTCTTCGCCTTCTTCCTGTGGCTGGGCTATTTCAATTCAACCCTGAATCCAATTATCTACACAATTTTTAGCCCAGAATTTAGGCATGCCTTTAAAAGACTTCTCTGTGGAAGAAGAAATTCAATCAGAAGGAGAGCACGACACCTTGGTGTTAGACATCACCATTAAATTCTATTTTTCTTCTTTCTTCTTTTTTTTAAGGAGGCATTTATTTTGTGCTAGTCATTCATGTCAGTAAAATTTTTACAAATGTTAACCATTACTGTTTGTTCATATAATTATCTATCTTCATGATCACACAAAGTTCAATTTTACATTAATCAACAGTGGTTTTGTCAAATGTCTACCGCGTACGGTTTTTCATGACTGACAAATTTACTTTCATTAGATGTTGAATTTCAGTTTCAAAACATTGTTACCATGTCCAGTAATGTTAGTATAGAAAATTTGATTGACGCAAAAAAAAATCAACTACCAGACATAAAACATAAGTTTGACTCAGGGGCTGATGTGATATAACTAATTACTTCTTTTATCAGCTATGGATTTTAACTGACATTCTTATGAATAATGCATTTTGTAATCTTGTCGTGTTTAGGAATATACTGTATAATAAACAACCGACAAGGTTTAATCAAAATACTAAAATCATCTGTCTATATTTGCCTTCTCGTTATAGCTATTGTTCTTCACTTAAAAATAAAAAGACTGCAAGGTTTTAAGACTCATCCATTTCAAATTAAAATTCAATTTTATTTACATTTTGTTTTGGTTAGTGATGTTAAAAATGTAATTATGTCAACAATATTTTTGAACTGCACTAAAACTTATTGTATCATAGTTTATGGGGGGGAAGGGGTCTCAATATGACATTACAATTTTAAGTAAACCCTTAATGCCAGTTAAAATTTAAGGGAGAAAGAGCTTAAGAGGAAAGAGTGAGCATTATGAATCAAAGAATCCTACAAAATATTTATTAATCAAGTTGCACATTGTTAATAATCTGCCCTACCCCTCTTTCCAATGTGAATAGGCTAGAGATTTTTAAATACTACTTCCTAAAGTTCTCCGAATTACTTTATTTCTGAATCTGCAGTTTGAAACTAGTCGGTGGGCCTATTAGATATTGGTATGACTCTGAGCCCTCATGCCAACCTCTGACTACCTGACTACATCATAATGATTAATTTCGAATTTGCCAAAGCTCAATGTAGAAGAGATTTTGTAGAGAAAAAAAGGATTCTAGCTGTGATTAAGTCTGATTGTGGACTGTGCAGATACTGCATTTATGTACATAACTTATATATTTAGTGCTATAATTGTATTAAGTTAAACCCAGAACTTCCCGATTTTAATATATGTAGTACCAATTTATACGGGTCCATTATATTCTTGTATCGTTGATGTTTAGGCCCGGCAGGATCTTTACACAAGGATGTGAATTATTTTTACCAAAAATTTACCTGCTGGCAGGTAATAATTAAAAAAAAAATTATTTTTAAACATGCTTTAGTTTCATTGAGTACCAAAAAAGTATAGTAAACCTGAGCACTGAAAAAAGCAATATTAAATGAAAATAATTAAATCCAAAGTTAGAATGTAGATAGTTAGAATAGAATGTGTTATTTTTCATATAAAAACATGTAAACTATGTTCAATTGTTAGAATCCAAAAAATTTTACAAGAGCATTAGATAAACATTTTAAAATAAAAGGGTCGTTATTTTTCTAAAATTATAAATTTGTTATTGTCATTATTATAATTATCATTTTTAATATGAGGATTTAAAACTCAACTTTTGAGTATTTCAGAGATAAAACTGTGATCAAAACTGTATCAAACGTTTTAAAACGTATATTTTTAAAAAACAGAAGTCAATTCATTGATCATTTCTGAGAGATTTCACCCTGAGAAAAAGAACTCTCAACCTTTTGATGCAAAAACTTACATGCAAATTAAAAATCAGAATTCTTAAAATGAATAATTTATATGTAAGAATTATGTAAAATGATGACACTAAAACGCGCAATTTCAAAAAATGATCTTGAATTAAAATTATTGAATTTAATATTTTAAAAATGCATATTTAGAGTTTAGAACATCTCAAGCTTGTAGGACAAATTCCAAGAATTGTGCATGTTGATATTATAAACAATATGAAATAAAATTGTATTATACTGAATAACAATCAAATTATATGTGATAATCGTTACCTGTGTTGTTATCAGTAAACTAATTTGACAAGAAAATGTATAAAGATGTAGAAATGTTTCTAAATGAATGAGCATGCTTCCTATTTATACAACTGGTAGTCTTTAAAATTTAAATTTAGTCTTAAATGTGGCAAATTATTTCAGAAAGAAATGGTATCTATTAAAGTTGGTTGTATAATATGTATAATTTTTTTTTCATAAACTTATTCTTTTTATCCCTTTATGTCTATTACTATATTTAAACATTTATTGCACTTTTTTTTCTTATTGAAACCATAATAATACCAATAGAGACTTTTATGTATAAGTGTAATTTAAAACAAATGTCATTTACCAATATAGGACACATTTACAACAAAATTCAGTATTTTTACTATTGTAAGTCATCTCACTTTTGCAAAGTGAGTTTAAAAAGTTATTTACATATTTTATGTTCACCTCGATGACAGTTTTTAAGATTTGTTTCAAAACATTAGTTAAAATTATCTGAATTATTTTGAGGCTATTAAACAATAAAAATGAGTTTTTTCCTCTGACTCTCTTAAGTATCATTGTCATTCTTTTCCTTTTTCTCCATTCCTGGATCCTCAATAAGATCTTTGTCGATTTCAATTTCAATTCCGTATTTCTCGCCAATCTTTGAACTTGCCTCTATCATTGATTCAACCAGCCTTTCCTGTAAAATAAGTTTTAAATCATTATATAGTGCAGGCTTTAATATATAAAGATATTCAATATACTAACCCTGACAACATTAATACACATTGAACTTAACGATAAGCCAAAACCCATGAAAACAACGGAAATCATCATGTTATCTTGATTCTGAAAAATAGTGATCCCTTGACTTTTTTTTTTTTTTTTTTTTTTGAACATTGAATACCTTTGGCACAAAATCACCCAAACCAAGAGTTGTCATGGAAATAAATAAAAAGTAAAAAGCCTCAAAGAATGTCCAATCTTCCCACAAGAAAAAGAGTATGGATCCTAAAAATATATAAAGAGCAAAAAACATCAGGCAAAGTGTAACAGGCAGTGGAGCATTTTCATCATCATCTATCCTTATCTCATCATCCTCCACCCCCATTTCAAGTTCGTCAGAGGCTGTCGAAGTCCTTCTTTCCTTAAGATGATAAAATATAGTTTATGCATTGTAAATCCATATTAAAACATCATTGATTACTATTTCATCATCTTCTTTCCTAAAGCTCCCTGTGTAATAAATACGGCGAAAAATTAGCCAAAGAAATTTAATAACTCTTGTCAGTACAAAGCCAAAGTCTGTGAGTACAATAAGAAAAAGTGGTATTCCAATTACTGCATAGACCATTGTCAATAATCTTCCTATAGTTGTAACTGGGTACATGTGACCATAACCTTTAAATTTACCTGTTAATTTTCTTATTGCATTTAAAGAGCAATCACGTACCAATTGATGTAAAAACTGTGCAGCAAAAGAACACGGTATTCCAGAATTCCCAGTTCAACTCATCCTTTCCACGAGCCATCACAATGTTGTGGTTATAGTTAGCTGAAATTGCCAATTCATAATCCTGGAAACCTTTGGTCACATTACCAAAAAAATATTCAACCGTTTTCGGAGTGTTTGCTGATGAAGTAAATTTGGATTGCTCCTATGAAAGTTATTAATTTTAAATAATCAGAAGTGCAGTTAAAACATTTGTGTATTTATAAATTTATGTATATATACATATTATAGAAATGGAGCTTTTTTTAAAAATATATATTAAGACTATACGCAAAATGGTTGCCTAATAGGAACGAATAACCTTGTTCNTATGTAAGTTAATAAACTTCAAAATTTTCTTTTAATTATTATTACATGGATTGTTAACAATTAATTTTTTTTAAATAGTAACTCTTATAACTTGAAAACAAACATTTACATTGAGTACCTTTTATTATACTTAGAGGCAAAGAAAAGTGTCCACCCTCTTTTTTTAATACATGCAATTATTATAATTTTTATTTTTTGGGTTTACTAGATATTTTTAAAGAAAACTATAAGATATAGCTAAACGCTGCTAAGGAAACATTAAAGAAAATATTCAATTCAGTACAAAGTATTTCCTCCTCTTACGTTGATCACCATTTGCATTCAACGCAACGACGATGTAAATTGGTCCCTGATCCAAGAAGGCTGGATTGAGAAGGTAAAGAGCCATACCAGGTTCTGCATAGGTCATACTAGGATTACACGTGGGCACTTGCTGGCAGGAAAGAGATCACCTCGGTGCCCATTGTGTACCAAAAGATTACTTGTTGAACATAGTTTACAATGCGGAAAACTAGAAGCCTATGTGAATGATACTAGGATGAACTATGTAGTTCCTGCTAACCTATGTGAGGTATTACACCGTGACAGTGGGCATTGATAATCAGGGCTATAACAGTTTTTAAAAGTATATTGTATGTAAAGTAAATGTAAATTGTTAGAATGAGGGGATTATACCCACCCTGACGGATATTGAGTACTCTTGGGTGAGATTATATTGTCTGGAGGATTTAAACCCACCCAACGAATTATTGAGTTCTCTTGGGGAGTTAATGTTACCATATTTATTTTGTTTTGAGAGGTGCAAGGATATTGGCATCATCAGAATATCCAGCACCACAATGCCGGATGTGTACTTCTGGGTATCTGGGGAGGTGTAGACTCTTCACCGGGGCATTGTTCATCTATACACCTCGGTGTTTCACCAGGCAGGGCTCTCATCACTAGTAATGTTTCCGGAGGAGGAGGAAAGCATAAAAATCTTTAGGTGTTATGGGTTTTCTTGTTCTTTCAATAGTAATTGACAACCTAATGTAACTATGAGAGGTTAGCAAGTTAAGAAAACAGAGACAAAAATGCATGGGAAAAATCTGACATAGGTGCAGAGAACTGGTGATGAACACTTAATGTTTTTTGGCTCATAAAAAATACTAATAATAATAAAAACAATGTTCTTACAGACATTATCACTTGCACAAGTTCAGGTCTTGATTCAAAAAGGTCTTTTATTTCAATTGGTTTGTCATTGGCCTCACAAAGTCGAAAGAGGAAAGCACCAGCAAAAGCATAAAGCACCACTGCGACAAGCAGCATACCGTGAGTCACCCAGGTTTGAGAGAGCTGGCCCACTTTTGCATGCAACCAAAGGAATATTCTTTCATTGACCTCCAAGCCATAATGTTGGATATCTGAAACCAGATTGTCATAAATTACATGCAATATTATTTCCAAATAGATGATTTTTTACCAGCAACAATATCTTCTTGAGCTTTCCTGTAAAAAGACAGAAAAATGTTACATAATAAAACTGTTATTATTAACAACATTCTTACTTAACTTATAATAGAATATATAATAAATAGATATAAAAAACTATATTCAATCATTTGTCTTTTTTTTTTAATTATTTTAGAAACTTGAAACTTTATAAAGTTGCACTACGAGGTGACTGTAATATGGAAATATTTTCAAGTAATCAAACATACCAAACATTGATCCTTTCTTGTTAATAATTAAATTCACTAATTTCATGGTAAGCTTGACCAATTAATATATTACAATTAATTAAGGTTTTTAGTTGAGATAAAAAAGTCAATGGCACGAGCGGGATTCGAACCCACGATCTTCGGCTAGATAAGCCACTCCTCTACCACTTGAGCTATCGTGACCTGATCCACTCGGACACTAACTTCCCATCTCAACCACACCTTTTGGATTTGATTACACGACATTTGAAAAATGGCAAAAAGGACTGTTCCCTGAGCTCAAGAAAAAACCATGGTTTTCGGAAGGCGATAGCCCAGAAGGAATGTCAAAGGAGTTCTATTCTACTATTTTTAGAATGAAGACAAATCATGGCCTATGGGATAGCTACAAGAAGAGAATCGGTTTGGTATCGTCTCCGAACTGTCCCACTTGCGATTGCCCTTCAAATCCTTCCCACATAATTTTTGAATGTCCAGAATATGAAAATGAAAGAGACAAACTGCTAAAAAATCTGAGCAAAGTCCCAAACATTTCAAAACCAATAAACTTAGAAACTGTCCTAGTAAGCAACAATCCATCAGCTTTCAACATAATCTATGGATTTCTAAAGTCGATAAACGTTTCTTTTTGATTATCTTCAAGCATGAAAATTTAGAAGATGAGAAGATGATGGAGCTGAATGAGTGGTGCGGGCGTGGGGCGAGGACCTGGCCCTGGTCGGCCGATCACGCTCGACAGTAAAATGAAAATAGAAAACTTTATGAGTAATATGCCAGCGTAAACCCCCCCCCGCCCCCCCCAAAAAAAAATAATAATAATCTTCATATATAATAATGAATTTAATATATTTAATTTGAATTGCCAAATCATCTGTTGTATAAAAAAGGTCAGAATCGAGGTTGTTGATACTGTGGTGGTGTTCATATTCAATTTCATTGCCTTGATCACAAAAAGCATTGGGGCACACAATCGTGGTTCCGTTTTCTGAAATTACTGCTTTATTACAAAAATCCATTCATGAAAAGTGACTGGAAAATCTGGTAGACCACCCCATTTCAAATAATTTGGCATTCAAACAAATCAAACAGTAAAGGGGATAATATATATGAGCTTGGTTCTGCCCCAAGACAATTTCTGCAATTGTTTCAGCAATAATTAATTGGAGTATGAAAGAAATGGAATTTTCCATTTGTATTCTGTTCAGAACCAAGATTCTGCCCCTTACTCTTTTCATTTAACTCATTCAATTAATTATCTAAGAGTTAAGAATAATGTCATGTAATTAGTGCAATTACACACTTTGAATGATGATGATGATGTTGTTGATGATGTTGAGGATGATGCTTAGGTGCGTGTACTTCTTCTTCAGAATGTGAGGAAACTTCATCATGGACTCTGAAACACAATGTAGCATTAAATGATAGTATAGTAAGAGGACTACGACAAATATTTATTATATTGGCCAACCTTTTTTTTTTATGTGCCATGTGTATGTGTCATCTTTAAATTGAAACCTTTAAAATTTATGTAGATAAAAAATTGAAGCATTTTCACCACTTAAAACTGTACATGGTGTACTTACTTTTTCAAAGTGTGATGTAATTTGGCTTTTCTATTTGTAATTGTGATCCCTCTTGATTTTCTATCATACTTTTCACAATTCAGAAAGATTACACAGTCCTTAAAAATAGTCGCCTGAAATATAAGTTTACTGTTTCTGCCTGATCATATAAAAAGTTTTTTTTTTTAAATTTCCCTTTTAACATATGTAATTTTTCATGTATCATCAAAAGAACTCCATTTTTTCCATTCTATACAGATCTATCTATTATAAGTTTATAAAAACAATACTTCATAGTAAATGATAAATTTCCTGTTTATTATCAACACATGATTCTTTTCACATCACGACACAAATTTTTGTGAATTTAGGTTTAATAAAATAGAGTAGTTTTTATTGTGTTCGCAAGTTCATTGTAAAAACGTCACAAAATAAATATACAATTCATTACTTTAAGCTTTTTACAACCTCCCTGAATTCATCCTTGTGGTAAATAGAATTTTCTATTAATAACTATTTTATAAATGTTATGAATTCATTAGTCGGTAACAATTTTATCTTATTGGGGAGCATGTTGTCCTAATTGCACTGTTTTCTGGGCTATTTGCTGTTTTTTCGTTGAACAGAAAGGAATTACTAAACTATTATTTATAATATTTATCTTGGTTGTTTCAAAGCAAGTCTCAATAATATGGTTTTCCTTAATATACTTTAGATTGGAGTAAATGTACAGAGCAGATAGGGTCATCACTTTCAGTTCCTTGACTAGTATGGTATGGTATGGTGGAAAAGGATACTAGGTATGGTATGGTATGGTAGAAAAGGATACTAGGAAGCGGGGTTTGCACTCCCCGGGCACTGCAGCCTTCTGGCTTATTGTACCTTCCCAGTTCCCTAGTTTAGTCAATAGACTCAATCCTTCTTCTCAGAAGCATCAAGTCATTGACTGTTATTGCTGCAATTTGGTTCCCTGTGTCTTTTTCGTACGCTAGGTTAAANCGCATAACACCTTGGATTTGGGCTGGAGAGTGGGACCAGGATAAGGTGTGGGGTGGGAAGAGGGGTAGGTGTTGGGTTTAGGATTAGGAGGTGTCAGGTCCAGCTCCTGTCCCTCCATACCCCTCTTTCCGTTTGTTAGTTAACAGGGTACACCCGCATAAGCTTCGTGAAGGTGGAAAGTCGGAGTTGGGTATTAGAGGCTATTGGAGGCGCATAGTACCCATTCGTACCCCAAGGATACTAGGAGCGGGGTTTGTATTCCCCAGGCACTGCAGCCTTCTGGCTTATTGTACCTTCCTAGTTCCTTAGTTCATTCAATAGACTCAATCTTCTTCTTAGAAGTATCAGGTCATTGACTGTTGCTGCTGCAATTTGATTCCCTAAGTCTTTTCCGTATGTTAGGTTAAACCTCCATTGAGCTGTTGCTTCACATTCGAAGATGATATGGGTGGCTGTTTCCTCCTCCTCATTATATAATCTGCAAATGGGATCATCGCTGTATATACCCATGTTGTGTAGATGTTTTCTCAGATACCAGTGACCGGTTAGTAGTCCTACCACTCCTCTGAGTTTGGCCCTCTCCAATTGCAGCAGTGTTTTGCCAGTCTCGGTGAGGGTTGTTTCATCATAAGTATACTATGACTACCGCTAGAGTTTATCCACTTCTCCTTTTGTTTTGTTTGGATCCATTCTGTGATGGAGGATTCAATATTTGTTTTTGTTATCCCAAGTATAGGTTCGGGGCCTATGTAATGGTCTTGCAGATCCATCTCTGGCCAGTCTGTCTGCTTTCTCGTTACCCAAAATTCCCCTGTGCCCTGGCACCCAAGATATCATCAGGTTGTTGTGTTTCCCCAGGTTTTGGAGATTTTGGATGCATTCACTGACTAGTTTTGATGTGATTCTTTCACATGCTAATGCTTTAATAGCTGCTTGGCTATCTGATCTTATGAGGATTTTTTTGTCAGTGTAACCTCTTTTAAGATTTTCCAGGGCACAAGCATTGATGGCATGTATTTTCTCTTGAAAGACCAAAGTGTACTTCCCTAATGAGTTTGATTGCTCATGTTTTGGGCTTGTACAGAAAACGCCTGATCCGGTTCCTTCGTTTGTTTTGGAGCCATCTGTGTACCATATCATTGTATCTGATGCTCTCCTGTGTTCTTCCTCTCCTTTATAGTCCGTTGAGACTTTATAGGAAGTCGTGAAGATTGTTTCCGGGATCAGTCATTTCTAATAATGAGTGTCTGATTTTGTTGACTATGGTTGTATGCCCGAATTGTTTAGTTCCTTTCCAATTTAATTGTTTCTGGAGCCTAAATGAGCTTTTCCTAGCCTCTCCTTGTATGAATATTTCCAGTGGAGGTAGGTTTTGCAAAATTTCTAATGCGTTTGTAAGGGTTGTTCTCATCGCCCCAGTGATACATAGGTTTGCTAGTCTTTGTATGCTGCTTAATGTTTGGGTAGCTACTTTTTGTTGAGCTTTGTTCCACCAGATTAGTGATCCATAGGTTATTTTGGGTCTTATAGTAGTTTACTATGATCCTTCTGTTTTTTTCTCAAAGATGCCTTTTTTTTTGCTTTTCAAGTATTTTTTCTGCATATGTTTCACTTCTCTAAAACCTTATGCTGTAATTTACAATTCCTTGAAATACTGATAAATACACGGTTTGTAGTATACAGATATCAGGGACATTTCTTAATTTCCTTAGTATAAAACAGATCGGGGCAAGTTTTCTGGGTAGTCAATACCTTTAAAAATTAATTGATATTTATGAAAGGTATTGGTTGAGATGTAAAGTTGTAAAGTGATAGTCATTAGGAACAACTGTAATCCTGTAGTTATTAATTATTAATTGTATAAATATTATAAATAAAGAAAGGGACGAGCCTTGCAGGGGTAGGAGGGGAAGACTGACTCGTCAGCGAAAAGGGTGACGACGATTCAGTCTGGTACGATCGAGAGAAGGAAATGCTGCTCATCCTGCTCTGCCTCTGTTTTGGTAAGTCCCCCTGCAAATCACCTTAAGTCATTTCCCATGCAACCCTTCAAACCCTCCCGATTACAGAGATAAAAAATTCTCCAGAAGATAAATATTAATTGAAATTAATTGAAAAAAGTTAATTGGTCAATCGGACCTTGAACTGAAATGGACCTTTAAAAAGTTTACAGTTTTGTTTTATTATTTTCTAATAACTGATGAAATGATTTTTATTCACATTTATATCAAGGAAGTTAGCACAGAAATAGAACTTACTTATAGCGTTCTTCATTTAATACTGTCGTCAAATTTTTTATATTGTACTTACTAATAAAATTAGAATCATAAGCAAATTGGAAAGGGGAAATATTCTTATCTGTACATATACAAAAGTTTTTAAGTCATTAAAATATATCACAAAAAATATAGGTACTAAAATGGACCCCTGAGGTATACTGTACTTGACTACTTCATTAACTAGTATATGTTCCATTAATTATTACAGTCTGTTTCCTGTTTTTTAACAAATTCTCATGAAATTTCGATTTACCCACAATGCCAAAGTGTGGCAACTTTTCCAATTGTGTGATTAACTGTGTCGAACACCCTAGATAGATCACATAGTGCCATTGTTATAGGGTTTTTTTTTTTTTTTAATAATCGTTAACCGTTAAATATCATTTTTATCACATCATGGTGATCACAAAGCAATGGTTCCTAGGCGATTTCTGTATCCATATTGTGATAGAGAAAGAACATTAAATTTCTCCAGAAACTTATACAGCCTATTCTTGAATGCCATTTCAAACACTTGTGACACTACTTGAGTAAGTGTGGTAGGTCTATAGCACTCAGCACAGTCTTTCTGATATTTTTTAAAAACAGGAGACTTTATATAGTTTAAGTTTATCAGGAAACTTGGCCTCTATAAATACTAAGTTAATCAAATGACTGAGCGAATCACAGATTGCCTCATTTACATGTTTGACTAGTTGGGACATACCATTTGCGTCTGGGGCATTGGAATTTCATAGTTTTAGTGTAATGTCATATACCTCCTGAGCTGCAACCAGATTCAAAAACATTGATTGCCACATCTTAGGTATCAGTCCCAAGTAATGAAAACTGAATTTACTCTTTGAACAGCTAAATAAAAAATTCTTTGGAATTTCAGAAAAATAGTTGTTAAAAACATTAGGCTTGATATTAATATAGTTTTCTTTTCGTTCTATTTAACTCTTTATTTACTGAGCAACACACTTTTGACATATTTTTAAACTGCGAAATAACTCTTCTATTAACTTTCAATTTGATTTTTGTAGAGTATGTCGATAATCTATTCTTGTTTGTTTTATTTTTTCATTTAACTCTTCACTACCAATTTATTTTCCACAAATATATTAAAAGTAAAGCCTATTATTTTATTATATCTTATATGTAGCTTGCTCAGTTGCTTAACATTGCTATTATTATTTTTACATAGTTTTTCTTTTTTTAAATAGAAATGAGTAATTAAACAAGTTGTAAAAAATATCTCAGAATCTATCAAAAGAAATAACAAAATCCTCTATTGTATTAAAATCTTCCCAGCTAGCAAATATATGCTTTGCCCAGAGCAGCCTTGCGTCGTAGAGGTGGTCTCGCAGTTATCGACTCCGGCATTTCTCGCATGCTTGGACCGATTTGTTGCTAGAAGAGGTCTCCCGAGCAAGATGATGTCCGACAACGCAAAAAATTTCGTCGGAGCTAAACGTGAGCTGTCTGAACTTTATATCTGGTGGGCCTCCGAGAATACGAGACAAGAAATCGACGTCCAGATGGTGAAGCAGAGCATCGAATGGAGCTTCATACCGCCGTCAGCCCCTCACTTTGGAGGATTATGGGAGGCGGCGGTAAAGTCACTGAAATATCACCTCACTCGGGTTTTGGACCATCAACCATTTACTTTTGAAGAGTTATGCACCGTGGCTATCAAGATTGAAGCAATTCTAAATTCACGCCCTCTCTACGCGATGTCATCCGATCCCGACGATTATTCTATGTTGACACCTGGACATTTTTTAGTCGGCGACGCCCTAGTATCCTAGTAATATGATTGGACGGATCGCACGCCACATATGCTGACTCGATGGCAATTCCTGCAAAAATGCGTGGCAGATATCTGGAAAAAATGGCGACTGGAGTATCTGACCACTCTACAGCAACGTACGAAATGGCAACGGCAGACCGACAACATGGCTCTTGGAACGCTAGTTGTTATGCGTGACGCACAAGTACATCCCTTATCATGGGGCATCATTGAGCAGTACCCCGGTAAGGATGGGGTGGTACGAGTTGTGTGCATAAAAACGCCCTTAGGAGAATATACGCGTCCGGTTACACGTCTATCTCCTCTGCTCCCTGAACCCTGAATCTTTCCAATCCTGTTCTCTTTGCAACGTCTCTTTTCTCTTAGTGAAATTTCTATTGAAATTTGGTGGGCGGTATGTTTACGCCGGAGAGAATTTTTTCATTTTTTTTAAATTTGTTTATTTGTTCAAATATCCATGGAGTGAAAAACAAAAAAAGGGTCTCGGGGTCCAGCTGGCCAGTGGATGAATCCATTGGAGAGTGGATGAACGCGTTTGTCTAATTCTTTTTGATCTCGATTTGTAATCGAAGTTACAATTTACGAGTACCCCGCTGGATTACGAAGTTATTTGTTTTCTCTTCGCCCGCTCATCGTTGTGGAATCACAACGCCTGCAATTCTTCATCGCACATCATTTTGCTGTTCACAGGTCAGATTTTTCCTTTCGGCTGCTCACGTCTTCTAATAAGACTTTAATTTGAAGTGTTTGTTCTCATAATTGTTAAGTACTATGAAAAACATTTAAAACCAAGTTTCTTGTATAGTTTGATTAATTTTCTGTAATAAGTCTGTCACTATTCTCTTTAATCTATTGACCCTGGCCAGGCCACTTTGTTGTTCAACTTATGTAAATTAAATTAACTTTATCGCCCAATGTATGTATATCATATTAATTTAATTTAGTTTAATTTAATCTATATTTCTTCATATCGCGTCCTGATTCTGTCAGGGAGTCAACGTAAAGGGACAGGTTCCGGCGAACTAGCAAAGGTAAGGAGTGTTGCTGCCAATTAAGGATAGCCCCTTCTTCCAACACATTTTCATTCAAATATTTTTTTTTCTCATTTTATTGTCCTAGTATATGAATACATTTTTTTTGGGGGGGGGGGGCAATTTATTACTTCTTTCCAACTAAGAAGAAACTTATCTTCCAAAATTGTCAACTTTTTCTTTTTTCTGAATCTAAAAACTGTTTAACCAATAATTAATTTTAAAAAATTATATTAATCACTTGTAATTCTGTCCCAAGGAGGATAAAACAAAGCATAGATATTCACGAATGCACTTTGTAAGTACTGCCTGATTTCTCCAAAGCTTTTGTGATGGTTAACGATGACCTAAGCCTTGGAACTTGAAAATTTGTTTGGTTTTTCATCCTCTATTTCTAAATCAACATCCTCTTATTTTTCAGGTTGTAAACAAGTTCTCAAACCTAATAACAAAACTCATCTGACATTCCTGTTAAATCTGGAGTTCCTCAAGGCGCAATTTTAGGACCCTTATTGTTTTCAATTTTTAATAACGACCTCCCTCCTTGTTTAAATTACACTAAATTTCACATATATGCTGAGTGTCCAAATCTATACACAATATCCCATTTAATCTGAGGTTCCATTTAACTCATTAACAAAGACCTTTCGAGCATGTTTCATCAGGATTCAAACAGTGGCCTTAAACTCAACCCAACTCAAATTCCATTCGATTACAGCACACATCTGCCAACTGAGCATTTTTCTTATATTATGGCTCTTTACTATCCGTCTCTAATTAGGAAAAAAAAATATTTAGACTGTGTTGCTAGAAGGATGAATGGGACTTTAAATTCACTTTGTAAATATCATAAATTTATATCTCTGACAGTAAAACTTAGACTAGTCAACTCTTATTTTACCGCTTTTTACTTATTGCGGTACTCTCTACTCTTTTTCATTTAATCACACTTCCACTAAAAAAAATTAATTATTTTTTATTTAATTATTATTTTAATAATTGCGCAAGATTTGTTTATGAAGAAGAGAGCAAATATCAACTCACGACAAGTTCATTCTGGGTATTTTTTTTCTATTAAATTTATTAATTACCTTAAACTCTGATCTCTTATTTAAAATTAAACATACGCTCTGCCCATCATACTTATACTTTATATTTGGTTTTAATTCTACCCTGGGTTTAAATACCATAAAAAACTTGCATCATAAATCCAATTCTATGAATGATTCATTTAGAGTTGCTGGGGCGCATTTGTGGAATTCCCTTCCATGGCATATTAGGTCGGTCCACCCCATTCGGGCTTTCATGTGTGGAGCTTTCAACTTTTCTGCAAACAATCCTTGATTTCATCAAACTAACTCAACATGATCTTGTTGCTATTTTATTTTCTCTTTTATACTTTTCCTTTATACCTACTCCTCTCCTTCATTCATACTCAACTATGTTAATATCATACAAATTTCGTTTATTATTATTTCTTACTCTTCTACTTTTTGTTATTTAATTAGTTTATATTTTCTACTCAGTGTAAAGGGGCCAAGCCCTATTATAAAAAATGTTTTTTGATAACTATATTTTTATACTTCAATAACCTAATTAAATATAAGTAAAATAAAATCATTTATTTACATTTTACACAATTTATTGATGGTTAACAAAAAAAAAGAACAATAAAAACATTGTTTTATGTATATTTTGAACAATTTTGCAAGCGGTCAAACCATACACGCATTCGGTGTGCTTCTGGAATATCGGGGTTGATACGTACACTTGAACTGCTGATAAGTGACACGATTTTCCTCTTCCCACAACCAAATTCTGAGACTTTACCGCCTCTAACCGCAACCACAGGGTGGGCGTCAACTGGAAAATCCACAGCTTGCTTACCCCGAAGTGTAAGAATTACCTATTAAATTTAATGCCACTGCTTATTAATATTCATAATTATGATAAAACTCAGGTTATATTAGGTTAAATAAAACTTTTAATTTATAGCATCGTTTTTAAAAGAAAGAATAATAACAATGATGTGAGAAACTTTACTAAATAAGAAGGAAAAAACATTTATTTACATTTTAAACAATTATTGACATGATTAACGCAAAATTATACTTAAAACAACTGGTTTATGGTTTTGAGGGAGTATTTTACTAGCAGCTGGCGTACAAATGTTTTATTAGCTTGGATAAAAATAAATTAACACTACAGTTAAAAAAATTATCTTTTTTTATGATACAAAAGAGAAACTTCGCATTTATAACTGGCTAAAATGTTAAATTTAATTGGCCAACTGGATGCCTGCCATTTCTTTTATTTCCGATATGAGCCGCGTACACCTTTCTTTATAGTCGGGCTTTTTAACGGAAAAGGCTGTCAGCTTGAGGCGGTTCTCATCGTTGAACGTTTCCATCTTTGCCCTGACCCTGAAGACATACGGTTTAAGTGTGACGTTCTTGAATACCTCGTTGAACTGGCTGCCATCCTCTTCCTGCCATCTCCCGACATCATCGGCCTTTGTGGAAAGAAGTTCTTCAGCGCTGTCTTGGAACATTGTAATCCACTGGTTACCAGTAAAATCACCAATATTTGCCTGTAAGACAGCATTATTAGAAAATAGATAAAGTGTAATTAAATTATAAATATTGCATATACTAACAGTAAGCATAAGTCTATATTTGAAATTATCAAATTCTTTGTTGCATTTCTCGCATCTGTACTGTCCGGTGTTTTGATCGATAACTTTCTTTTGACAATCCGGAGTGGGGCAAGCTTTGTAAACACACTTATCTGTTTTAATGTAAAGGATGTTGCTGTAAAGGTTGAAGTAGTCTGCCTTGTCGCTGCAGCCCAGCTTGGCTGCTTTGGCCTCGGCTATGGTGTAAAACTGACCACTGGAATTGCCAGAATCGGCGAGCCTCGATGAGACAGAGTTAAATTTGGTGTCGTCTGTCAAGCAGTCAAACCATCCACGGATTCGGTGCGCTTCCGGAATATCGGGGTTGATCTGCATGCTTGAACTGCCGATAAGTGACACGGTTTTCCCGCCGCCAAATTCGGAAACTTTACCGGCTCTAATTGCGACCACTGGTTGAGTGTCAGCTGAAAAATCCTCAGCTTGTTGACCCCAAAGAGTAAGAACTACCTAATAAATTTAACACCACTCTTAATAATAATGTACATAATTATGACAAAACTCAGATTACAAAAATTCAAAAATATACAGTTTTGCATACATATAACTTTTTGGGGCTTGGTTACATGTTAAAACTACTTATTTATAAACAACTTAATTATAATTACTTGATAAATAAAACATATATACATATATATATATATTTTTTTTTTTTTTTTTTTTTTAAGTAAATGGTACTACTTACCGATGATAAAGAAGGATCGACAACAATCACTTCCCGCTTTTTCAACTCTTTATTTGTTGTTCTAGATGTTAGATTTACTACATCACTTGCAGATTTGCATACTCCGATGAAATCTATAAAATTTTATAGAATTAAAATTTTTTGCACATACAAAAAAATTACACTTAATTACCAATAAGTGCACCAGCTTCGGCTTCTTGTATTGTGGCGATGCTTTGGAAATTGAACTGTAGAGTTGGAATCTTGTCATCTTGTTCAACGCAGGGTATAACTTTGGTATCATTTGTGAAGGTCATTTCATAATCATTTTTCAGCGTCGAGAACTTTTTATTGGCCATTTTTAAAATGCATTTACTTATGTAGTAGATCTTATTCTCTTCAATTAAATCAAAATACTTGTCAGCCTGTTCTTTGAACGCTGTTGCCCTTATTTCTCCGCTTTCGTCGATTAAGTCGATGCTAAACAGTTTGCCTTCGGATTTGGCATTGCTCCAGGTCCTCATTGGGGATTTGCTCATTACTCGAGCCTTGATCACCCAGTTGTTCTGATAAGGGCTAAGGCTCACTATGGGATGTGTTCTTGTTGCACTGGGAGTGTTGTATACCGTATCATTTATGGACCTTCTTGGTGTCTGTGTTCTAGCAGGTTGTGCTAAAAAAAAATTTAAATTTACAAAACTCATTATTTGGTTAGAATGATGTGTTTAAATCATTACTAGATGCATTTGGTGCTTCTTGAGTTTTCGGTTTTTCTGCACCTTCAGTAAAAGGAACCGGGTTTCCTATTTTCATGCCAACTTCAGAGCCTGGCTTCAGCACATCGATTTCAAGAATGATCATTATTCTCCTAAAATAGAAATAAAAACTGTGTTATACGATATATAACAGCTGTAAAACAGCCTTACTTTGAGCCTTTATCATTTTTCACAGCACTGACAACATGGTTGGTGATCTTGACTACTGAGTACTCTGAAAGCTGACCAGAAGTTAACATTGGAGTCAGCTGGGTGGCAAGCATGGCAAAGCTGTTGAGGTACTCGCCATCTGATATTAGCAGCCGGTATCGCTCAGTAGCCCCACTTTGTGCGGGAATCGCTTTACTGCCCTATACAAAAATTGATGAAAATGCAAAATTAGATGAAATTTGATAAACAGCCATTTTTTATGTGTTGAGAATCACAGCCCAGGATAAGTGAGAGACAGACACTTATAAAATTTAAAGTTTCGATCATTTTATGTTGTCAGACAAGTGGGTTGGAATATCAAGATAATAATATCGTATATTGTTCTGCTCTGACCTATTTATACAGTCAACTCTGGATAAGTCGAATTTGTAGTTACATCTAGTCTATTCTCAACTTCTAGTAGGTTTCAGTTGATTGAGCCTCTCATGCAGGACAGTTTAGGCGCACCTTTTACTATTTCAGAACTTATAAACTGTTAAGTTGGGTAAAAGAGAAAAACGCTGAGTCTTGATAACTTTCCATATGAATACAGTTGACTCTCATTATCTGCAGGGGATTCATACCAAGCATCACCATGGATAATAATAAACACCTCAGCATTTTCTGCCATCTGCATACCAATTAGACATTTTTGTATCATGCGTGCCTATTGTCAATGTTATGTATGAACTTATGTACATGTATTTCTTTTTGTACAATAAGAATTAATTAAGCTGTTTTATTTAATTTTTTAAAATTTTATTTTATTCACTACATTCCCACTCTCCTCTAGAACTCAATTAAGGAGGCAAGCACAGATGAGTGAAACTGCAAATAACAAGAGTCCACTTCAAAAATGCTCTGCATAATACCCTGGAGGTTTTGTTTAATGAAATATTTAAAACTGATTGCTACCGATTTTTAAAGATTTTTTTTTCCATGTTTAAGAAAGGCAATTGTATTAATGTGGCTAATTACAGGGGCATATCATTTAACAATGCTATTTAGTAATAATATTATTATAAGCTAATAATATTATGAAAATAATTTGTTAAATGTATTTGTCAGTTTGAAATATGTTAAAAATAACTAAAATGATTACACTTGGTTATGCAAGAACATGATTATAAATCAGCATGTTGATAAGGTAGTAGAACTTATCGCTAAAGGGTTGCGAGGTTCAGGTAAAAATTTTTATACAATTTCAAAGCAAATTACAAATCTTGACCAAAAAAACTGTGGTCAGGGTTTTTTTTTTTTTAAATATGTAATGAAACACCGCTTCTTTGTATAACTTGTACATATTTCGTGACTTCCACACTGTGAAAATAATGTGATATGGAAATGTATATATGTACCTGAATTATGCAAGAATATAAATGAATTTAGAAGTATTGTAGAATAGAATATAATTAGAAGTAGAATATTATATTAATATAATTTAATATAATTAATATAATAATATTAATATAATTTAGAATAGAATTGGAAGTATTGTAAAAAATGTTAATAATGTAATCTGAACTGTCATTTGTAAAACCTTTATGGTTGTCTATAATAAAAGTCAATTGATTGATTGATATTCACAGATCAGATATGTTTGGTCAAAGAAGGGAAGAGATACTGCATTCAGTATATATATATGGGCGTGAAAGAGCCCCCTCATCTTCTCTTTATTTCTGAACAACATTGAATCCCGCACTAACTTTTTCATCTTAACCAAAACTTTAGGTAAAAAGTAGAATTAATTGAACTAATTAAATAGGTAAATTATGTCTGCAAAACATAAAGTTTGAAGATTGTCTTGATCGTGGATGCATATGCTCTTAAGTTGAATGACGTGATCTATCGATTGGGTAACCCATGGGTCCCACGGAGTAATAATAGATTATGAACTATATCCCATGCATCCATCAGGTATTGCAGGAGTGCCTACCTGATATGTCCCCAAACGTAGGTAGCCTGTGAACCTTACAATCTGCAATCCTCACAAGATTGAAGAAGATGAATGGACGAATATTGGTGTTTTCATCGGTTTTGCTTTATCAGTTCTACAAGTTTGTTTCAGTCATGTCCGAGGAAATATCAAACAGTATTAGCCACTTCAGTAAAAAGTTGCTCGTTAAAAATGGTTACACATACAGATTTCGCAAAATTGTGAAAACGACCGATATAGCATATAACATGGTGGAGGATTATTTTATCAGAGATATCATGGCCGCACTTCCCACATCAGAGCGACATGATAATGCAAGTACTGCCAGAGCAACATTTTTGGGAATACTCGTTGGACACATTCATTGATCCTTCTCGCACACAATTTCCCCCGTTATTTTGGGCTGAAATGACTTACAATGCCACTCGAACAACAAACACATGTGAAGGGTTACACAGTTAACTTACTTTCAACTTTGCAATTGGAAGACAACATTGGTTTCCAAAACTACATTGGACCCCAAGTGATTTTGAAGAATTGTTTCAGGTTTTAGGAAGAAAAATAAAGAAAAAGTAAATAGATTTAGAGAAATCATTCCAACTCTGAAATTGGCAGTGACACTGCATTACCTGGCAGGGGGAGAATTGTTCACCAGCCTAATGTGCACTTTTAGGATATCAAAGCAAGGTGTATCTAAGAAGTTTCCATAATACAATCCCTGAAGGGATTCGAGTATGTATAAAGCATTATACCAAGCCGAAGGTCATGGGTTCAAATCCCGCTTGTAACACTAACTTTTTTGTCTCAACCAAGACCTTATATAAAAAGAATAATTAATTGAAATTATACCAAGCACTCACCACAGCTACTAAAGAAAATATCTACCAAAATGTCCACACTACGAAGTGTTGCCCAACATTGTATAAGAATTGTATATTTGTACAGTTTGAGGACCAAGTTCAACGCTTATTTTTCCGAATTCTCAGCAAGGCTAATCAGGAGGTATACATCTTTCCTTTGTACAGCCATTTCAACGGCTTTGTATGAGGTATTGTCAAACGATCCTTTTATGAAGCAGCAGAGTGCAATTTCGGTCGTCCATGATTTGTCAACATGCTCTGCCAATTTGTTCAGAGCTGTCTATTTGAATTTACTTTTTTGGTACGATAATAAATAGTTTTGGACGAAATGATGTGCATGGATGTGCGAACAGTTAAGTCGCTACTCCAATCTTCCAGTTTAAACATTTCCCGTAATGTTTAAGCGATTGTTTATTGCTTTTGAGATTTTTTGTAAATAGTTATTATAAATTACATTTCAATTAAATGAAACGTACCAGAATCTGCACAACGGGGTTCAAGTACTCGCCTCCGTTCATTATCGTCTGCAAAAGCAAAATCGATTTAGTAAAATTCCTTGTACTTAACAAAAAAAAAATAATAATAATAATCACCACACATACCCTGATTGCCCCTTCAGAAAGTTGGTAAGACATTTCGGACAGTTATGAGAAAAAGTTCCAGCTTCTGAATTATTATGCCTAAACCTAATGTTACAAGGTGAGGTAATTGCTAGGCTTTTATTTCGGCGGGAGCGGGAAATAAAACAAATGGCCGAATCGCTTGGGTCGCTATCTGATGACTAAATTGTGACACTCTAAATTGGTACATGCTTTAAAGGGTGATATTTTAAAATTGATTTTTTGACTTGTAACAACCCGGACTTATATGCAAAAACATCCTCTAATATGCAATATTATTTGAACTAAAAGAAACCATAAATGTGCTGTACAATATGCACGGAAAATGCTCACATATGCAATAATCAAAACAACCTTAAATGCTACAAATAGGCACTAAAAACTCTAAAAACACAAATATGCACTAAAACCTTCAAATAGGCATTATTTTGTACATTAAAAAACCATAAATGTGCTGTACAATATGCACTGAAAATTCATCAACTGTGTCATACAATGTGCAGTAAAAATCCTCAAATATACAATACTATATGCACCAAAGTAACCTTAAATGCTACATAATATGCATTAAAAATTAGTATATGCACAAAAAACCTTAAAATATACAATATTATGTACATTTGAAAAAACTATAAATATGTACTGAAAACTCATCAAATATGTCATACAATATGCAGTAAAAATCCTCAAAAATACAATATTACATATACCAAAACAACCTTAAATTTTACATAAAACGCAACTAAAAACACAAATATGCACTCAAACCTTCAAATAAGCATTATTTTGTACATTAAAAAACCATAAATGTGCTGCACAATATGCACTGAAAATTCATCAACTATGTCATACAATGTGCAGTAAAAATCCTCAAATATACAATATTACATGCACCAAAGCAACCTTAAATTCTACATAATATGCATTAAAAACTCAAATATGCACTACAAAACCTTAAAGTATGGAATATTAAGAACACACTGAAAAAACCATAAATGTGCAGTACAATTTGCATGGAAAATGCTCACATATGCAATAATCAAAACAACCTTAAACGCTATATAATAGGCAACTAAAAATTCAAATATGCACTAAAAATATTAAAATATGCAATATTCAGTGCACTAAAAATACTATAAATGTGCTGTACAATATGCCCTGAAAACTCATCGAATATGTCATATAATATGCAGCAAAAATCTTCAAATATACAATATTACTTGCACTTATGCATTAAAACCCCCAAAATATACACCAAAAAACGTCGTGTATATTTCAGCATATGGGTTTTTAAACTGTAAGATTTCCTCCTGTGGCAGTGGGATGAAAAACCTATTGTTTTATAGTTTTATTATTATATTGTTTAATAGTTATATATCATTCTGTCTGAACCATTGATCTCAGGTTGCCACTGTTTTTGGAAAAAAGCCTACAATACATAACATTTGTACATATATCGGAATTAAAAGCAGGGCTATTGGATTTGAACCTGGGACCTTTCCTTACAGTGAAGAGAACCATATCAACATGACTGATTCCCCTAAAATATGGTATTACTGAGGAAGCATTTATAAATCCTCTAATTATTTATGCACTAGTGGCCTGTTTGGGCAATAGCCCCCTTCTTTAGACAGAATTTTCAATCATGGATTGATATAATTTATGAACATGTGAAAATGGATTGTGAATAGCAAGTCAATAACAAGCAAACTGTAACATCGTTAGTAGCCCACAATGGTTTTGTTTTCTCTTCATGTAGTGATGGGTCATTTTGCAGTCCCATCCTGGCTCACTACGGGGAAAGAACAGTGCACGTACAACATGGGATCACAATGACGCTTAAATCAGAAATTAACTTTGGACCACTTTGACGATAGTACACAATTTGCACAATAATGAATGGAATACTCCAGCTAGTTTTTCTGCTGTTCAAAGTTCAAATTAAAACTTTCATCTTGCATTGTTTCAGCTTCAGTCAAGCATGTTTCAACATGAGGTTTTTAAATTGTGAGATTTCCTACTGTGGTCTGTGGGATGATAAACCTATTGTTTTATAGTTACCTATCATTCTGGTCTTCCTATCCTCAATGACTTTTTTTTGGTTCAGACAGAATGATAGATTCTGCAGTTCAAACACTAAGGGTTTTAGCTATGCTGTCTAGTTTTTATTTTCTAGGTGTCCTAAACGGAAGAATCTATAAAATATAACAAACCATTTGACGGAATTTCACCCTCATTTGGCAATAAATCTGATATGAATCAGTGAATCTGTCCTTGAATTTTTAAAACTGTAAGGTCCAACTCCTGGAATTTCTTTTCTTGTGGCAAAAAAAAAAGACAAATGCCATTGTGCTGTCACCATTCAGTATATTGTTCATACAATTGAGAATTAAGAAATAATTTCTTTAACTCCAAACTGATTTGTCGTTCTGGGAGTGAAATTTTGGCATTGTGAAAGAAGGAGTTAAAATGGCCGCTGGTTTTCTCGGCCTCAAAGTGTCAAAGCATTGCAGTGCACACATTTAACATCCTTTGAACCTATGCTGTGCTCGGGTTTGCAGTTTTTGTTCAACTTAGTTTATCTTATACTGAGCAAGTAAGACCCCTTTTTTCATGCACGGAAAACCTGCCCTCTGATTAATACAAGAAAAAATATAATGTACAATTAAAACAAAATACAATAATAAAAAATATAAAACACAACAATATTAGTATGAAAAGTACTGTAATTTAACTTCACAGCAAGTACAAAACAGCATATGGATGGTTGACTTACGAATTTTGAATTCTGACGCTCTCACCTATCTTATTTTAATTACTTTTTTATCGCCCTCATAATATTAATAATTTACACTTTTGATAATTTTTCAAATAAATTTGAGGTCAGGGCTTTCATTTAAACTATAAAAATGTGGAGCAGTTTGGCCATCATTTTGATCCGAATTTTGGTTGTACACAATTATTGGGTATATAAAAATGTCCTGGTTTTTGATCTTTATTTATATTAATAAAATACATAAATTGGAGAACAAAATGTTTCCAACTAATATTTTTTCTTTAATGTTCAATTATTTCATTTTGTGTCATTTTCTTCTTCTAATAATTCTTGGGTATCAAGTTGAATATGAACACCACATTGTTCTCCAATCTTACAAGTTGCCTCAGCTAAAGACTTGACCAACTCTTCCTAGAATAAATAATTTACAATTTTTACATTTTAAGAGAAAAAGGCCTCATGACCTGTTGTAAACGGTATAGAGGATTGTAATGGGTGGACGTTGAGGAAAGAATTTGGGCTAGTGGGCTAGGGTAAAGGTATAGAGTGGAAATTGAGGAAGTATGTTTGGATCCAGATACTTCACAAAAGGGATTTTAAGGTCTTTATGGATCATTGGATTGGTGAGTAGAAGGAAGCATTGAAAATACAGTGGAGAACTTTAGATTAAATGATTGAATTCATTGGATATCAGAAGATTTGGCTGAGCCCCACAGTTTGATTTCGTAATTCCAAATAGGTCTGATGAGTGTTTTGGAAGAGGTTAGTTTGTTATGTTTGCTTAGTGTTGATTTTGTCAGTTTGTTTTAGGTGTCTAAGTAGTTCATATCTTTTGTTAAGATCTTGACATTTTAATCTTTATATAGGTTCTGTGTAAGTAAACCCCAAGGTAGTGGAACACGATTTGATGATGGTATTTCCTTGTTGCTTATTTGCACTGGTGGGCAGGTTTACATTTGAGCGTAAACGTAACTTGTTGGCTTTTTGCTCATTCATCCTGGACCATGTGCAACTGTCAGTATTGAGGTTCCGATGTTGGATTGCTTCAGTGGGTAATATAGGATTGGAGTATAGGTTGTGTGTTTGGATGAGTAGGTATGGCCGCAGTGTAGGTAGTGTAGAGTACTAGGGCTAGGATTACTTCCTTGTGAAACACCAGATTTCATTGGTGTGATGGGTAAAAAATAGGTGTAGATTCTCACTTTAAACCATCGATCCAATAGGAAAGACTTTAGGATGAGATAGGATGTGGGTCGGGATGATATGTTCTAACGTAAAGGTGGCCAAGGTGCCACAGTCAGTCTAAATGAAAAAATGTATAATCAAGATAATTTATCACTCATAAATTGTTGAGTCAAAAAGGAAATTAAACATTTTTATTAATATGAAGTAGCTTAAAGTATGGGTACATATGCATGGTAGAAGTAGGTTAAGCATTAATTTAAACAATAATAAAAAAACTCACTCGGAAAACTTCTATGCACATTGTAGCAATAGCGAGTCCCACACCCAAGAAAAACATACATGATATAATTGTTGAATGGTTCTGAAAATGAATTGCATTATGGACAATTTTAAAGGGGGAAAAGTGCATATGACAACCTGTGGTACATAGTCCCCAAAGCCCAAGGTGGACATAGAGATAAATACAAAATACATTGACTCAAAGACACCATAGTCTTCCCATGCTGAGAAGCAAATAGATCCAATTATCATGTAGGTAAACAAGATAGCCACCGCAACTTCTACAGGAACATTGAACTTTTCATCTACCTGAAAATTCTTTTCTTCCTTTTCAATTACTATCTCCTCATCAAAATCGTGTCCAGTCATTTCTTCTGTAGTAACGTTGACAGTTTTTTGAAGATGGCCTTTCACCTTAAAACAATTAAATTAAATTAAAAATCATTCACAAAACAAGAGCCTCTTCTTCAGGAACATTGAACTTTTCATCTACCTGAAAACTCTTTTTGTCCTTTTTAATTGCTTCCTCCTCATTGGATTCATGACCACTCCGTTTTACAGTAATAACTTTAACAGTTTTTTTAAGCTGGCCTTTCCTCTTAAAGAAAGAAAACAAATAAAAATTATGCACAAAACAAGAATCTCTTGTTGCTGATTTCAACCAGCACCAACAAAATGATTCAAATAACTAGTTAAATAAGTTAATTAGAAATTGATAGTAGTAATAATTCCCTGTATCAATGTGATTTAGTGTCTGGCATTATTTAGTTGTAAATGTGTACTTATTTTTAGAATATATTGATGTAAGTGTAACAATTATTAAATTTATACTGTGCCCATACAAACTAATATATTGGGTCAAAAATAAGCCTGTAGCATTTTTTCATGGTAAATTTAAAGACTTTCAGACAAACTTAATCACCAGTGCATACACAAACTGTGTTGTTACACTACCTATCAGCATTTATGTAATTTTGTCCTACCAGAAATCAAGTGTTTGAGCAATTTCTCAGTGTGTTTTCTGCAATAGTAAAGTTTATCCCATTAATAGAATTTATCAGAACCCAGAATAGGAGAAAATTTGAAGAGGCAATGACAGGCAAACACAGTACATATTTATTGCTATAGGTAAGTAGGGTTTAATACTTTGTCTTCTTTCACTCCTGTTAAGATAATACTCCTTTTTCTTTGTATTTTTTTTTTAAGGACAGAGGTGGCTCCATTTCCCTACTTTGCTAAGACCCTTGATTAGTTAAGATCGTATTGATAGTTGTGGTTTGGGAATTATTACACTTAACCTAACTATTCTTAACGTAATCTAAATCAATGTACCACCCCTCCAGCCATAAAAACAGGAAAAAAAATTATATTAATTTTGAATAAATTCCAATTTTGGTTGAACTAACTAATGTTTTTCAAGATCTCTGTACGCACGTACACTTGTACACACACAGAATAAATTAATTCACATCTTTCACATCACATTCGTTTTAAATCAAATCTTTTAATCAAAAGCTGAATACCATTGTTATTCATGTTGTAATTATATACATATTTTACACACATTTTACATTTACTATTGATCTGAATGCTACATGAAGAGAATAAGAACTCTTCTTGTAATGAGCAAAAAGCAACATCAAATGAAAATTATAAACCAACACAAACTTGTATATAATTATAATAATTGAAAATTTCACAATTACCATAAGGTAATTTGTTAGCTTTTATTATTCATATTATTTTATAAGTATTTTATAACAAAAGGATATTTTATATTGCTTACTTGTTGACATAAATTGGAATAGAACAACTTTTTACCGCACCACCACACCTTTTTCAGGCCACGTGTCATAAGTTTTCCGAAATCAGTAAGAATAATTAAAAAGAGAGGAATTCCAATGATTGCATAAACTATGCAAACCGCCCTACCGAGTGTTGTTTTAGGGGCAAGGTTGCCATATCCTGTACAAAACAAAACCAAAAAGCAATCAATTGAATAAAATGCTATAAAACTAAACCATGAAGAGACCAGTGTTACAATTTTATACCTGACCTATTGTTGTGTATACGGTGAAACAGAAAAACACTGAGCTCCGATATGCCCAATTAAGCTCATCCTGCCCACGATCCATTTTGCCATTGTAATTATAATTGTCAAGTATACTGTTTTCATATTCTTGTAGAACTTTTTTAACTTCCTTGGAATGTTCCTCTTTTTTGTCTCCTGCTAGAGACGTATATTTTGATGATACCTAATAATGTGTGATATTTTATTCTGAACAAGTACACCGTTACAAAAGTTAAATTAAATATAAAAAACAATAATACATCTTGAATTTCATGAGCAGCCTTCATTCTTCCTTCAAACAAATCTTTTTTAGCGTTAGATTCATCATTGCCTTCGATGAGTTTAAATATGAGTCCTCCAAACAAAGTGTATCCTATTATTGCTATCGCAAGCGTAAGATGTGTTAGCCAGCTTTGTGAAAGGCGACCGATAGTTTGGTGGAGAATAATCAAAACTTTTTCACCTGGTTTTAGGGTGTGATATCCCGGTTCTGAAATAAAAATAATTCATGTAATGCACTTTCTGGAAATGATACTAAATTTATTACTTTACCTTGTGCCATGACCAGGCTACGATTGGGTAAAATAGGTTTGGCAAATCTAAAAAACAAAAAACATTATATATATATATATATATATATGTGTGTGTGTGTGTGTGTGTGTGTGTGTGTGTGTGTGTGTGTGTGTGTATTTGAAAAAAAAAATTGGCACATCTTTAGCAAACAAATACCTTGGTTGAAGATTTGAGCCATGCTTTGATCGTTGTGATTGGGAGGTGTCAGTATCTGGTGCATCATCATCACTGAAAGTAAACGTATAAATATTGAAAATGTAACATTAATTGTTAAAATTATCTTGTGCAGATACAGAGTGTTTTACTTATTTGCCAAAAACCATAACTTATTGAGATAAAAAATAAAATAAAATGGTTGAAATAAGGTAACTAAATTTATCAAAACTAAGTCATATTAATAAATTAATGTTCGTCAGGAAAATTAAGCTGTCAGATAATTGACATTTGTTCATCCTGGGTAACAAGTATAAATTTAGTACATTTTTTTTCTATAGTTTTGGTTCTAGTAACTAGCCAAAAATGACAAAATTGTGAATTTTTATTATTGAAGAACAAAATAACATTTTATTTTGATTTTTTTTTCCAATAGAAGTGATTATTGTTTGGTCATCTCAGATCACACCAGTCTGCCTATCATCGCTATTTTGGTCTGTCAGCTGCATTTTGTCATATTTCTTTTTTTTAAACATTTACTAGTAAAATTAGATAAGAATATCTAATTAGAAATTGACAAAAAATTTCACAAAATAACCACCAAAAATGGCAAAATAGAGTATATGAAAGAAAATGGGGGGGGGGTAGCTTATTTCCATGCTGCTGTATTGAATACAGTTTTTACCAATGCACCTGTCAGTTCATTGCCATGGGTACCAATATGAGCCCTTATCCACAAAAAGGAGATGCAGATTTGAGGCTGGAGTGAATTAAACTTATTATATTTTCAATTAGAGGAAGATGTATACCAGTTTTTTTTTTTTTTTTTTGAGAGATTGGGATCGCACAACCCACATTATCCCCATCTTTACTTCCATCTGTATATATTGCATAATCATATACCTCATCCAGGTCCATTTTTACAGCTGGCATCATACTCAGATGAACATGAAGAAACAGATCTGTCCATCTCAGAGCCATTCACTACCTTTCCTGTTTTGACTATGCCCAATGACATGAAGTCTTGCAGATGCAGGCAGATAAGTCTCATACCTGCTGTTTGGTTCTACTACCTTTTCGGAGTAGGAATAGTCTCTGGATTCTCTCTTTTTTCTCGATTTCTCCTAACCTCCAAGGTAGACCTCCAAACAGACACCACATACATGTAGAATGTGTGTGTGTGAGATTGTTAGAAAAAAAGTTGAAAAAATTAATAGATGATTTGAACTATTTTGTTTTTTAAAAATATAGTTGGAATTCTTTTCTTCAACACAGATTGCTTCAAGGGCTCAATGAAGGGTTTTGGTATGCAGTATTCTATCTTTGTTAACAAAATTGTTTCATTAAAAAAAAAAAAATTAATGGTGATACAAACCATTAAAATCAGACAGTCTCTGATGTGATTGTTCTGATTTGGGCCAAATTCAGTACCAAACTGATGGATAATTTTTTTTGACAGAATTACGGTCTGTGAGTAGATCTTTGCAAAAAGTGAATTGATGTACTCATCCACAAATCATTTTTATCAACTGTAAGATGTTCTTGGAAAAAAATTAAATTATTTAACACCACCATTATCCAAAGTAGTAGAAGGATGATAGAGATAGTAAAACAGGAGTAATAGCAACACTCAATTAAAAAAGAAAAACATACAAATTGCTATAAAATCAATTGACTTACAATTTAAATAAACGTTTCTTTTATGCCTCTTCTACCTATAATTAAATACAGCTAATAACTCACAAATTTATTACCTCCACAGCCCAAGATGGTGTTTGAGTAATCCTTTGTGCCCTCGCTCAGAAGGTGTTACCCTCGGCATTTGCTTTTGCCCAGAATTTCATCTCTATGACAAAACACCACAACACTGTTCTACTCATTTCATTGTAAAAAAAATTTCAAATCAGAAAATTTGAAGACTTCAGTAAAAACATGCATGTTAATACATATGGTTGAAAAAAATACTCGTTTCATTTTATTTTGTATTTAAGTTTCACGTTTATTTTGGCCTGATGTTTGGACAGGTTTAAAAGGAAAGTATAAAGATAATTCAAGGATTCCACAGAAAGCACCAAAACACTCTAAATAGTGAAATGCCAAGACGTGTCTGGAGTGAGGATTTGCAAACCAAGATAAGTAACTGTAAAACCATAGGTTTATCACCCGGCAGACGCCAGGAGGAAATCCCGCAATATTTTATTTTACCTTTGAGAATTACTTATGTTTCATGTATAGGATACAAATACATTGACAATCTTTGTTTGTGTTAAATGTTTGAAAAACAAAATAAAACAACTACTTTTGAACGTTTGTTGACCATTTCAATTTTAGTAGTTTAAATTGATGTAATAAAATAATTAGCCTGACTATCCTAACTGTTTTGGTCTGCAGACATGTTTCAGCATTGAGACATATGTCGATCTGGGTGATTTCTGTATGCAGTGAAGTTTTTTGACCTTTAAAGGATCTTGGCTACACAAAATTTACTGCATCCCAGCATTGAAGATGGTTGAAATAAAAATGGTGTTAGAATTGAAACTACAATATTAAGAAGCAATACTGTTACAATCCTTGCCAATGTTAGTATTGAGTTGGTCTTCACAGAAATTGGAAACATCTATATATCAATTTATAGACATATTCAAGATTGTTTTTCCTGATACTGACCTTAAAATAGGTCAAAAACTGGGCAGAAACGATTTAATTTTTTCATCCAGCCATTTCCGGATCAGGATTATTCTTGAGAAAAAAAATGGTCGATACAGCTAACATTTAAAAATGAAAATAAAAATTGCTGTATACAATTAATTGAGCTAATGGTTTAAAATAAAACTTTTAAAAGTGTCTCTTCTTTGTGATTTCTTCTTAACATAGTCAAGTTTATCTAAACGATCTTGATTACACACAATACATGCTCAGTACTGAAGATTGTAAAACACCAAAAGCATATGACAGGCCAAAACGGCAAGAATAGGCAGGGCAAACATCAGTAATAAACAAATGGCTAAACATATATTTTTTGTTTGTTTTATTTACAGTCCAAACAGGTCAGGTACCCAAGCATAGGACAGTCAAGCAACACAACAAAACAATCATTATGATATAAAATACTAAAAAAGGATATAAAAATAATGGCAATAAAAATAACAGCAAAGAAGCGCTTACACTTTTAACAAAAAATCAATATTATAAAAAGATTAATAAATAGCACAACAAAAGTAATAAATAAACCCTCAATTACATTTTAAAGCATGCTTAATTTAAAAAAAAAAGATCTGAAGAGACGAGGAGAAGGGGTCCGCACTGATAGAAAATTTATTTAAGTAATGTACATCTGTGGAGATTGAAGAATGTAACCCATATTTGGTCCTGTGCCGTGAAGTACCATAAGTTGACGCTGAGGAACCCTAAAGCCAATACAAGATAATATCTCCGGGGAATCAATAAAATTATTTAGGATCTTCCACAGAAACACAACAGAAGCTAAAATTCTTCTATCCTCCAGAGAATCCAGGCCTATGAGAACAAGTCTGGCTTCATAGGAGCCATGATGGTAGTTCCTGTGATTGCATAATTTGTAATACAAGTATTTCGTGGCCTTTCTCTGTACCCTTTCTATTATGTAAGACCCATCTAAAGAACTCGGTGACCAAACAACACTGGCATACTCTAGGTGACTGCGCACCAGAGATTGATAGAGTATTTTGGTAGGCGTTTTGGGTGTTCACAATTATCTATAAAAATGCTTTTGGTTTTTGATCTTTATTTACATTAATAAAATACATAAATTAGGAAATCAAATGTTTCCAACCAATATTTTTTCTTTAGTGTTCACTTGTTTACTTTTTGTCAGCATTTTCTTCTAATAATTCTTGGGTATTAAGTTGAATATCAACACCATATTGTTCTCCGAACTTAGAAGTTGCATCAGCTAAAGACTTGATCAGCTCCTCCTAGAATAAATAATTTACAATTTGTACATTTTAAGATAAGAAGGTCAAGAAGTCATCACTGTTGTAAATGGCATAGAGGATTGTAATGGGTGGACATTGAGGAAAGAATTTGGCTATTGGGCTAGGGTAAAGGGATAGAGTGGAAATTGAGGAAGCATGTTTGGATTAGATACTTTATGAATGGGATTTTAAGGTCTTTATGGATCATTGTATTGTTGAGTAGAAGGAAGCATTGAGAATATGGGGAGAACTTTAGATTAAGATGATTGAATTCATTGGATATTGGAAGATTTGGTTGACCCCCACATTTCATAATTCATGATTTCATAATTCCAAATAAGTCTGATGAGTGTTTTGTAAGAGGTTAGTTTATTATGTATGCTTAGTGTTGATTTTGTCAGTTTGTTTTAAGTGTCTAAGTAGTCCATTTTGTTAAGTTCTTGTCATGTTAATCTTTATGTGGGTTCCATGTAAGTCAGTTATTTAAGTAAAGCCCAAGGTAGTGGAACTTGATTGGATCGTGGCATTACCTTGTTGTTTATGTGCACTGGTGGCATTAAAGTTAACTTTTTGACTTTTTCGCTCGTTTAACCTGATTCGCCACTGAGTGCATCAATCAGTAATGAGGTTCGGATGTAGGATTGCTTGTAGGAATGATGCTAGGATAAGATTGTGGTTCTGTCAGTGTAGGTTGTTGAGTCGTGTGTTTGGATGTGTGGGTGTGTCAGCAGTGTACATGGTGTAGAATACTAGGCTTAGGTTACTTCCTTCTGGAACACCAGCTTTGATTGGTACAATGGGTAAAATTGGTGCCAATTCTCCGTTTAAATCATCTAACCATTGGGAACAACTTTAAGATGAGATAGTAGGTGAGAGGGAGGGGATATTTAAGTTGTAAAGGAGGCCGAAGTACCACACTTGGTCTAATTTGTAAATGTAAAAATATAGAATGAAGATAATTTATCACTCATAAATAGTTGAGACAAAAAGGAAATTAAACATTTTTATTAAGAATTAGCTTAAAATATGTGTAGGTGTACATGATAGAAGTAACAATAATAAAAAAACGACTCACTCGGAAAACTTGTAGGCACATTGTAGCAATAGCGAGCCCCACACCCAAAAAAAACATACTTGCTATCATTGCTGAATAGTTCTGAAAATGAATTGCATTATGTACAATTTTAAAGGGGAAAAGTGCATATGACAAACCTGTGGTACAAGGTCCCCAAAGCCTATGGTGGACATAGAGATAAATACAAAATACAATGATTCAAAGAAAGCATAGTTTTCCCATGCTGCGAAACAAATAGATCCAATTATCATGTACATAAACCAGATAGCCACCGCAACTTCTACAGGAACATTGAACTTTTCATCTACTTGAAAATTCTTTTCGTCCTTTTTAATTACTATCTCCTCATCGAAATCGCGGCCAGTCCTTTCTTCTGCAGTCATAACTTTGACAGTTTTTTGAAGCTGGCCTTTCCCCTTAAAGAAAGAAAAAAAATCATGCACAAAACAAAAGCCTCTTGAGGTTTATTTCCACCATCATCAACAAAATGGTTCAAATAACTAGTTAAATAAGATCATTAAAAATTGATAGTAATAATAATTCCCGGCATCGACAATGCAATCTAGGGTATGGCATTATTAAATTTTAGGTGTAAATGTAAATAATATATATATATATATATATTTTATTTTTTTTTTGTAATTTTTTCCCAGGAATTAGGTTGTTGGGCGATGAACACCTCTGTATATTTTCTGAAGTCCTCACGTTTTTTTTTCAAGGGCCACATCCCAGCCATGTTCCAACAATTTCTGTTTTCAAATACATGTTGGGGCGAGCATTATATGGTGGAAAACCATCAAGCCAAGGCCGATTGTTTTTGGTCAATTGTTGACTTTAATCGCTTCAATTGTATGCTCATAATATATACCCCCTTCCATTCTACCAAATGCACATTACTTTCTTTGGATCTAATATGGATTTTGGATGTGTTGAAACCCTTGTATGAGATATATCAAGTGTCTATGCGATGTTTTATGTCATTGAGTGTAGGTTATTTAATTACTCAATTATGGTTATTAAGGTTATTTAAGGCAAGAAGTCAAATATGGTCATCCTCTAAATCAAAATTTTCAGTTCTGAACTAAGCAAACCACTTGCAGATGTGCTTTCTCCTAAAGCATACCATAGCATACCAAATTTTCCTAGCAGGCTGAGGCAGCTGCAGTTTTCTTCCATTTGTAGTAATAAAATTCCATTAAATGGTCAATAAATTGTTTTAGATTTATTTATTTTTATGGTTTGTTTAATTAATATGTACAGCTTACTTAATTAATATTTACAATTTATATTTTATATACTTATCATTGCTAGAGGTTAGTAGGGTTTAATACTTTGTCCTCTTTCACTCCTGTTAAGATAAATTGTATTTTTTTATTTGTATTTTTTATATCTCATAACAATGTGTTATCCTTAGTACGGCATTCATGGCATAGAGGCGACTCCCTTTTTCCTACTTTGCTTAGCTATTTTCCGCACAATCCACAATTAGTTAAGATCATATTGATAGTCGTGGTTTGGGAATTATTACACTTAACCTAACTATTCATAATGTAATCTAACTCAATCGATATACAACCCTCCCTTCCTAACCATGCAACAAAAATGTAACAGCCCCAAAACATATACATGCTACAAACAACAATAAATTCCATTTCTAATTTCCATAGAACTAATTAATGTTTTTTCTAGATCACTGTATGCACGTATGCTTGTGCACATGCAGAATAATTTAATTCACATCACATTTGTTTTAAATCATAACCAATATTATCTTTTAATCAAAATTATTATTCTGTATGTATATGTAATTATATATACATTTTACATACACTTTAAATTAACTATTAATCTGGGTGCTACAGTAAGAGAATAAGAACTGTAATGAGCAAAAAGCAACATCAAATGAAAATTATAAACCAACACCAAACCTGTATATCAATAAGAAAAACTTTATTGGAAAATGTTACAATTACCATAGGATCCATTATATTTAGTGGTCTATTGACCAAATTACTTCTTTAAATTAATTAATCTTTTTATGTAAGATTTTGGTAGAAATGACAAAGTCAGATACTTGAGATGAAAACGACTTCACGACTGGAAGTCAGATTGGTCAAGTGGTACAGCAGCGGCGTATTTAGCCGAAGGTCGTGGGTTCGAAACCTGCTCATGGCACTAACTTTTTCATTTCAACCAAAACTTTACATATAAAGATTAATTACCATAAGGTAATTTGTTAGCTTTTATTATTCATACTATTTTATAACAAAAGGATATTTTATATTGCTTACTTGTTGACATAAATTGGAATAGTACAACTTTCTACCGTACCACCACACCTTTTTCAGGCCACGTGTCATAAGTTTTCCGAAATCAGTAAGAATAATTAAAAAGAGAGGAATTCCAATGATTGCATAAAGCATGAAAACCACCCTACCGAGTGTTGTTCCAGGTGCAAGGTGGCCATATCCTGTATAGAACAAACCCAAAAAGCAATCAAATAAAAATAAATTGAATAAAATGCTATAAAACTAAACCATGAGGAGACCAAGTTTACAATCTTATACCTGACCTAACGTTGTGTACACGGTGAAGCAGAAAAACACTGAGCTCGTATATGCCCAATTAAGCTCATCCTGCCCACGATCCATTTTGCCATTGTAATTATAATTGTCAAGTATACTGTTTTCATATTCTTGTAGAACTTTTTTAACTTCCTTGGAATGTTCCTCTTTTTTGTCTCCTGCTAGAGACGTATATTTTGAAGATACCTAATAATGTGTGATATTTTATTCTGAACAAGTACACCGTTACAAAAGTTAAATTAAATATAAAAAACAATAATACATCTTGAATTTCATGAGCAGCCTTCATTCTTCCTTCAAACAAATCTTTTTTAGCGTTAGATTCATCATTGCCTTCGATGAGTTTAAATACGAGTCCTCCAATCAAAGTGTATAATATTAGTGCTATCACAAGCATAAGATGTGTTAGCCAGCTTTGTGAAAGGCGGCCGACAGTTTGGTTGAGAACAATCAAAACTTTTTCACCTGGTTTTAGGCTTTGATATCTTGCTTCTGAAATAAAAATAATTTATGTAATGCACTTTCTGGAAATGACACTAAACTTATTACTTTACCTTGTGACATGATACGGCTATGACTGGGTAAAATAGGTTTGCTATATCTAAAAAATAAAAAAAATATATACACTTGTATTTAAAAAAAAAAAAAAAAAAAAAATGGTCACATCTTTAGCAAACAAATACCTTTGTTGAGGATCTAAGTCCTGCTTTGATTGTGAACGGGAGGTATCAGTGTCTGGAGAATCATCATCACTGAAAGTAAACATAAGTATTGAAATTGTAACATTAATAGTTAAAATTATCGACATCTTCTTGTGCAGGTACAGTATTTTTATTTACCTGCTAAAAACCGTATCTTATTGAGATAGAAAATAATGTAATAGATACAAAATAATTAATTTAGTTGTGTTCTGATATATCACACATAAATATGAAATGATTGGATTAAGGTACAATTGTCAAAACTATGCCATTTTAATCAATTAATGACAGCAAGGCAAACTAAACTGTTAGATAATTAATTGACGTTTGTTCATCTTGGACAACAAGATTAAATTAGTGCATCTTTTTAACTTTTATACATTTTAATTGCCCAAAAAGTTGTGAATTTTTATTATTAAAGAACAAAATAAGATTTTATTTAATTTATTTTTTCCAATAGAAGAGTGATGATTATCGATTGGTCAACTCTGATCACACCAGTCTGCCTATCGTCATTGATTTTGTCCTTCAGATGCATTTTGGCATATTTCCTCTTTTAAAACATTTAAATGTAAAATTAGATATCTAATTAGAAATCAGCAAAAAATTTCACAAAATAACCACCAAAAATGGCAAAATACAAAAGAGGATCTGAAAGAAAAACCAGTAATCTGATGACTGACTATAGGTTCATCACATCAGATCTCAATCACCACAAAATATCCCACAATTTCCTTATAATTTGTACATAATGTTTAGAACAATATTTGCAGCCATAGCTGGGTCATAATTAAATGTAATAAAAAATCATTATAATGTAGTTAGTGTATTAATTCAATAGTTGAAAAGGTGGTAATCAGACTATGCAAATAATCTACAAGTATGTTCTTTACGGATAACTTGTGTAGAGTGATGAGCAATTAATGCTCGAAATTTGTACCACTGCAAAACCAGTTTGTGAGTGGAATCACCTTTTTCAACTATTAAACAAGTTCAGTTTTGTTTTGTATTCTTATTTTTCCATATCAAGTAAAATATTAATGTACATACATCATTCAACTTAACTGATGTATTATGTAAATCTTAATAAATAATTAAAAAAAAATTGAATGAGCCCCAATCAATTGTGCGTATTACTCCCGTTTTAATAAACATTGTGCAATTTTTCTTCTTAAGTTTAAAAAATGATTCAGATCTTACCCGGTACTTGCTACGCAATTACATCCAACATCTGATTTAGTTCCTTTTCTAAAACATTTTAGTTTTGTCAGAAATGGATCTAAAAATTAATAATAGGGACTGCTTTTGAACGTACCCACTTTCTGAGCAAATACATTTTCTGCTTGAAGATTCTGAAATGGAGTCATCAGATGACCTACAAGGACGTTCTAAATTCAATATCGGACTTTTCATATTAAGTTTAACCAATTCATTTATAGTATTATAGTATGCTGTTGTCTACTACTTTGAATCAAGGCGATATTTTATGTACAGTTCTTAATTGCCAACCCTCAACATACACCATCTGATTTAGTAGCATTTATAACATATTTCAGTTTGGTCTGAATTAAGGATAAAAATCAAACAACAAAGTTTTGGACAGATGTATTTGCTATGACATTTTGAAAAAGGCTTCGGATGTTCAATAATTGACCGTAACTAATTTAAGTTATTTCTAGTTCGTTGTTTCTTGCTATTTCCTTCTTTTTGTGAAAAGGAATTATAGAAATATAATCATAAATTCCAACTTCAGCAAATCATGTGTTAAAAAATGTTTCATTTCTGAATAATGATTATAGATAAGAATAAACTGTGGTGAGTGAGTGGGAAGAGTCTGGGTTTGTCATACACCACACAGCCATGGGTTCAATTTCCACCTTAACCTCTCGAACCTCTAACCCCTCCCTTCCCACAGCCAATAATTATTACAAATCAAAAATATGTCATGGCTAACAGATCACTGAGCACAATTTTGATGACTGTAGTGTAAAAGTCCACCAATAGACCTCTAGCTACCTCACAGATCTCCATAACTTACCTGCTAAAAGAACATACCTAATCTAACCTAACCTGTCCCTAACGTAAAAATTAATCTGACCTACTTGTATCTTACCCTTAACGTACCAAAGATAACTATTCCTAAAACTAACCCACCAATGTGCACTTCTCCCAGCCATGCAAAAAAAAAAAATTGTATGTATGCAGTCCAAAAACATTTTGGTTGTATTAACAATTTTTTTTTCAAAATCACTGTGGTTTTTTTCCTCTGGAACCCTCAACATCTTCATCTTTTTTGCTTCTGTTGTGAACATTTCCTAAAGGTCCTCTGCACAACCAGAAGAAAATTGCCAAACTCTTGGAAATAAACTATTTTATTTCTTCCACTCATTCAAGCACCCGGTGAAGCCTGCCTGTCCTTGTCAGATAGCACCTCTCCTCTCGATCACAGTTGGGAAGGTGGAGGGTTACCATGCTAAATCCACCATCTTCCTTCGCAGGTGCACTATAGGAAAATGGTGGTAGCTTATTTCCATGCTGTCTCGGATACGGTTTTCACCAATGCATGGTGCCATTGCCATGGATACCAAATATGAGCCATTAAAGGAGATGCAGTATTGAGGCTGGAGTGAGTTTACTTGTTTACTTCTTTCTTATTTTTTCAATTAGAGGAAGATGTATACCTGCATTTACAAGTAATCAGGATCGCACAACATGCATTCTCCCCATCATTACTTCCATCTGTATATATTGCATAATCATATTCCTCATCCAGATCCACATTCACAGCTGACATCATACCTGGATGAATCAAATGTGTGAAGAAACGGGTCTATCCAGTTTTGACTATGTCCAAAGACATCATCTTGCAGATGCAGGTAGATAGGTCTCATATCTGCTTTTGGTTCTATTACCTTTTCGGAGTAGGGATAGTCTCTGGATTCTCTCTTTTTTCACGATTTTTCCTTCCAAGGCAGATCTCCAAACAGACACCACTTACATGTATAGAATGTGTGCATGAGAGTGTAAAGGACACCATGGCAATGAAAAGGCAGATGGCCTAGCCAAAGAAGGTTCTAATACTGCGTTCGTTGGATCACAACCGGTACCTCACTCTATGAGCACAGCGAAAGAGAGTATCAATAACTGGGGCATGAAACAATTCCTTAGGGAGTGGAATTTATCCCCCAGACTCAGGCAATCGAAAGAGTTTGTTAAGGCAATGAAGCCAGCAGAATCGAAAAGGTTATTCTCTATCTCAAGGAAGGGAATTAGGAGGCTGATAGGTATTCTGACGGGCCACTGCCCACTGAGAAGACACCTCTTCGTAATGGGTATCCTACCAGATCCCTTTTGCCACTTCTGTGAAATAAAAGAAGAAACGGCAAGGCACTACCTCGCAGAGTGTGATAGGTATGCTAAGTCTACATTTGAAATCTTTGTAGGAGAGGACATCACCAAATCACTCCCCGAGATGAAATGGTTCAAAATCTTGGGGTTTCTGAACAAGTCCAAGAGGTTTATGCAGGACACATGAGCCGACCAAGTCCTGGACCTTTTAGGGATGGGGTACGAGTCTACCCAGGCATTTAACCCCTCGGGTCTTGGTCGCTCACCCTGCATAACATATATAGTGTTAGAAAATGTTTATTTTAAAAGTTGAAGAAATTAATAGCTGATTTCAAGTTTTTGATTTTTAAAAATACCATTGAAACACAGATTGCTTCAAGGGCTCAATAAATGATATATGGGATTTGGTATGCAGTATTCTGTATTTATTAACAAATTTATTTTTTAATGGATACAAACCATAAAAATCAGCCAGTGTTTTATCTGATTTGAGCTGAATTCAGGACCAAACTGAACAATAATTTTTTGGTATGACAGAATTAGTTTGTGAGTAGAACTATTTTTTCCAAAAAGTGAATTAATGTACTCACCCAACCTCAAATCATTTTTATCGACTGGAAGATGTTCTTGGAAAAAAATTGTATTATTTAACACCACTGTCCAAAGTAGTAGTAGGATGATAGAGATAGTAAAACAGGAGTAATAGCAACCCGCAGTTAAAAAACAAGACTTAATTGCTGCATAAAATTAACTGAACTAACAATTTAAAATAAACGTTTCTTTTATGTCTCTTCTACCCATAATTAAATTCAGCTAATAACTCATAGGTTTATTACCTCCATGGCCCATGTTGGTTCCTGTTGAGTAATCCTTTGGACCTGTGCTCAGAAGGTGTTACCCTCGACATTTGCTTTTGCCCAAAATTTCATCTCTATAACAAAACACCACAATACTGTTCTACTTATTTCATTGTAAAAAAAAATTACAAATCATAAAATTTGAAGACTTCAGTAAAAACATGCATGTTAGTACATATGGTTGAAAAAATTACTCGTTTTATTATTTTATTTTTTATTTAAGTTTCACGCTTATTTGGGCCTGGTATTTGAACAGTTTTAAAAGGAAAGTATAAAGACAATAAAATCACACTGATATTCTAATATGTCATATTATTTGTTTTTATAGTTACCTATCATCTTGGTCTGAATATCTTTGCTGAATTTTGTCAGTCAGTGTTTTGGCATTTCAACATCTTCAGTGCTTAGGTGATTTCTGTGCAGTCCATTGACTATCCAAGGACTCCACAGAAATCACCAAAACACTGAACATAGTAAAATGCTGAAACACGTCTGACTGACAAAATTCAGCGAGGGTAGGCAAACAAGATAGATAACTGTAAAACTACAGGTTTATCACCCAGCAGACCACAGGAGGAAATCTCTCAATTTTTATTTTACCTTTGTGAATTACTTACGGTTCTTGTATACGATACAAATACATTAAAAATGTTTGGGTTAAATTTTTGAAAAAACAAAATAAAATAACTACTTTTGAATGAATGCTGAACATTTCAAGTTTAGTAGTTTAAATTGATTTAAAATATATAATTTGGTTGCTACTGGCCATTCCTGACTACCCTCACTGTTTGGTCTGTCAGACATGTTTCAGCATTGAGACATCTGTCATTCTGGGTGATTTCCATATGTAGTGAAATTTCTTTACCTTATCTTGACTAAACAAAATTCCCCTTGATATGGCATTGAAAATGGTTAAAATAAAAATGGTATTACAATTGAAACTACGATATTAAGAAGCAATAAGGTTACAATCCTTGGCAATGTTAGTACTGAGTTGGTCTTCACAGAAATTGGAAACAATCTATATGTCAATTTGTAGACATATTCAAGATTGTTTCGCCCTGATGCTGACGTTAAAATAGGTCGATAACTTGGCAGTAACAATTAAATTTATTTTTTCATCCAGACCATACCCAGATCCAGATTATTTTTGAGTAAAAGAGTGGTCAATACATCTAACATTTTAAACCGAAAATAAAAATTGCTGTATATAATTAATTGAGCTAACAATTTAAAATAAAACTTTCTTAGTGTCTCTTCTTTGTGATTTCTTTATGTAGTCAAGTTTATCGACTGTAGAAAAGGATCTTGACTACAAACAATTCATGCAGGTCCAGTACTGAAGATGGTGAAACGCCAAAACGCATCTGACAAACCCAAACAGCAAGAATAGGCAGATCAAAATGATCAGTAATAAACAAATGGCTAAACATTAAACATATTGTTCATTTTATGAAATTACTATACCTTATAACAAATAATTCCTAAGCCTTTATAACCAATAGTAGATGAATTGGTCCCTTTTCATAACATTATAGGTGCATCTATTATAATTATACAGTAGCTTCTCTGAAAAAAATTTTGTCTTCAAATAGTCTTTAACTTTGTTTTTGTATGTATCAAATTGTACCTTCTAAATTTAACGTCTTTTTTAGTAGTATTCATAACTATAAGTGTTTCTTTTATCATTTTGTACACATAGACCTAGAAAAAGGCACAAATGGTCAAAAATGAACAGTATTTGATTAACAAATAAGTTAATAACGCACTTACGCGTTCGTTATGTCACAGCCCTTTGATTGAGACCGAAATCACAATTTTTAACTTTGTTATGTTCCGACGAGCGATCATAAACGTTCAAAATAAGGCAACATATGAGCAAAATATTGGAATGATAGGAAAAAAGGTGTTTTTTTTTTAAAACCGATTCAAAAGTTTTTATCCAAACAAAAACATTAAAATTTCCAAAAAACGGCAATAGACTTTATGCAACATCGGAAATCGCCATTTTCCCGGATTTGCGTATATCATCTTTTGGGGCTTTCATGATTAAATTGAATGTTGATTAACTTGAAAATTGGACAAATTTTCAAATACGATTGCCGACCATCTGGGTCGGAAAAATAATCAGACTATTCTATAAAGTACGTTTGTACGTTTTACAATTCGACAAAATTGGATTGTACCCTTGAAAACGAAAAAATCTAAGGAATAAATAGAACTGTACGAAAATCCAGTGTACTCTTTGCAAAATGAAGAAAAGGAAATTCTACTTTCATCATAATATGGGTTGATATCTTGACATACAAAAAAAAAAAAAGAAAAAAAAAGTGCAGGATGAAAGAGGAGCATGGTTGTGGGTGTTTATGTGCACCCACATTTTTCAACAATATACAAATTTCACTTATGACCTTCACCAGTTTATAGAACAGCTCTAAGATTTGTCACGAGGGAAAGATGACTACTCGAGGCAGACTCTACCTACAAACCAGTAGTACGAGCTCAAGATCAGAAAGCTTAAGCACAATTAAAGAGCAATGGTGAACTCTTTCTCATTCCGACTACTTACAGGAAAATAAAAACTAATTGTTTTTCACTTACAGTACTACGACAGTGACAAGCTCATCAGATGTGTTTCCAAGGCATTTCCCATTCAAAGCAGAGTCGAAAAAGACCTATAAAAATTGGTTTGGTTTATTTTGGCCATCAAATTTTAAAAGAGATCCCAGTAACCAAGGACACTATGATTTCTGGATGAAAGGAAAGCGGTGGGATGGCACAAAGTGGTTTGAGGATGACGACTGGGATGATTACGACATTCCCACGTATGACAACAATGTTCTCTATTCTTTTTTTATTTCTTCTTGTAGAACAACTCTAAGCTTTTATGTGAAACGTGTCAATTAAAAATATAGACAACTAAAACATAATAAATTTACTTGTCTATCAGTGATGATTAACATTGTTGAAAAAAAAATTAACCCAAGTTTTAAACAAATAAATATAACATATACAAATTTTCAATTAATTATACACAATTTGTCATTTTGAAAAAATGTGTATAATTAAGTATGTGCATAATTAAAAGTTGGTATATACAAATTTGTTTATTATGCAAAAAGAATATAATTTGGCAAAAGTCAGCCATATTTATACGTCAATATGTGTACACTCTTGCCATGCTGTGTCAATAAATTGCACAATCATATGTGCTTGGATGATTTGAGACAATGGGTGCTTTGCCAACTTTACTGCTGTTCTTGTCAGGTCCTCTATCGTACTCTTGTAAGAGATATATTCTAAACTCGAGCACCTCAGTTGTCTAGATTCCTGTGGTGGGTGTGGCAATAAATTTTAATACAATTTATAATAAAAATAAAATAAAAAATATAGGAAAAATAAATACCACGAAATTGGCAATATCTCTTTTATTTTTGAACAGTTTATTATAAACAACTTTGTTATTTACTACTCTGATATAAAGTTGTAGAATACTTCATACTTTTTTGTACAAACAAGATTGTTGTTAAACTGAAATAAGTGAAGCTCCAAAGGTTGACAATTATTTAGTTATCCTTTAGATAACCAATAATGGAAATAAAATAGTTATACTATAATTTAATGTAATTTGCTTTTATAATAAGCAAGTTAAGAAATATTTTAATATAGAACTGATTTATTTGCATTACCACCAATACCAAAGCGACAATTGACACCTAAAGAGGAAAAGAAAAGGCTAAAAGAAGAGAAAAAAGCAGAAGAAAGAGCATACATGCACAGTATGGTAATGTTGAATAATGTGAAAATACATATTTTCATGCGAGATCTCATTGTTTGCAGAATTGAGGGAACAAGGACTGACTTGGAAACAAAGACTACTAATGACGATTAGCTACAAGATTGCCCAATACACAAAAACCTGGTTGGCACACATATTTCTTGTGATTGCACTTTTCCTTTACACAGTACTTGGGGCTTATATGTTCCATATAATTGAAGGAAATGACGATGAATTAGTCGAGGGAGATCCTTTTGGTGAAAGGGAATCATTAACTTCTCTTATTAAAGAAGTAATTAATTAAAACCATTGGAGGGCCAGATATGTAATAATAATATAACAATGCTAATTTTATCAGATACAAACTAAAAAAATGTCACGTGAAGACGGAGATCAGGTACTAAGACAAGCATTAAAAGATTATGAGATCTCAGTTTTTGATAATTTAGGTTCAAATAGTGCTAATGAACGTGGAAAAGATGAGCTTAATTGGGGCTTTTGGAGTGCATTTTTTTTCTGTTTCACGGTTTACACAACAATAGGTAAGGCTTACAAGTAAAATATACAATTGTACCGAACAATTAAATTTTTTTTTTATTATTTTAAATTCATTTATTAATTTTTGTAGGTTTTGGTCACATGTCCCCTTCAACACTACTGGGAAGAATTGTTGTCATAATTTATGCTATAATAGGCATTCCTTTGTTTTTAATAATAATGGCAGATCTAGGTAAAGCAATGACTCGTACATGTAAACTGATCTGGTTGCTTTCATTGAAAACATACCATTCCAAAACAATTCAAAGGGTATGTTCTTGTTTTTGTGTAACAATAAATAACATTTATCAGATTTATAACATATTAGGGGAAAATAATGATCAAAAGATCAATTTCAAGACTTGCAAACACCGAAGACCCATATTTTATGCAAGACCCTGAAATAAAAAGAGTATCAATTGATTTTGAAATTGATGACCGTTTTGATTTGCCTGTAACTTTAGCAATATTAATTCTTATTGCTTACCTGTTCCTTGGGGCCATTCTATTTGCTGAATGGGAGGGATACGAATTCATTGCTTCTTTTTATTTTGTGTTTGTTTCATTGACCACTGTGGGATTTGGTGATTTAGTGCCCCAGGTAAGCAGACTTTCTTGAAATGACAAGTATATTGTATTTATTATGTAAAACTGTTTCAAATTCCAGAATGCTGATAAATTAATGGTTTGTATCTTGTTTTTGACAATTGGACTCTCACTTGCATCAATGTGTGTAGCTGTAGTAAGGGTATGTAAACAAATTAATTTTTTAAATGGTGAAAGCTAAACCATTTAGGTTTAAGGATTTTAACATAAAATTTGGGAAGATTAAGTTAACTCATGTTTATAAAAGCCTGTGTTTTAATTCTCTGTAGCAACATCTTGCAAAAACACTTGTTGAAGCTACTTCAAAAGTAGGAGCAGCTTCTGGATGGGAGTTGGACCTAGATCAGTCACAGCTGGGAGTAGAGAAGAAGAAAGATGAAGAAGAAGAAGACGAAGAAGATAAATAAATTGTCAATATTACCACCAAACTTAAACTACACATTAATATTTTCAAATTAATTTTATTGTAATTATAACTTAAATAAACAAAGAATTAAGTGTTTTCTAATGTTTAACTTTTACACACTACATCTAAAATGTTTTGACCTTAAGTCATAAGTGAACACTAGTGAAATATCAACACAGCTGCGAGTCAAATCACCATTGTTATGTGTGTATTGAATTAGTGGTCACAGATTTTGAGAATCGTGCTTTTATTAAAATTGTGCCCAGGTCAGATCTTTCTAGTCTTTCATCAACAAGAAAAGATACACTAAAGGATACCCCTTTTCTATGAAGGATGGTGATATAAGAACAGATGAAACTCTCAGGTATCTGAAATTTTTTTTATGATATTTTTAAAAACTGTCTTCGAATTTCTCAAACTCTAATGTAATTCCTTCCAACCCTCATTATCTAAGCAGGATACTTCTTAAAGAAATCATGGCTGTAAATAAACTCGTTGCTCTAAAGTCGTCCCCTGTAAAGGACATGATGATGTTCCTCCTATTATATTAAGAAATTGTGTTCATTCCCTAGCTTAATCTCTCTTCCTCCTATTAAGGAAATCCTTGGATGTAGGTACGGTACCGGAGCATTGGAGAGAAACGGACATTGTTCCAATTTTTAAGAAGTGATCAGAGCAATATTCATAATTGTCACCCTGTACGTAACTTAAATGTAATGCTAAAGGTTCTCGCATCTATTATTACTGACCAGGTCAAGGGCTTCTCTAAGCCATTTCTAATTGATGAGCATCACGGGTTTTTGAATGGACACTTATGAGGAACTTACCTATTAACTTATGAGGAAATCATTTTGAATTCCATTGAGAATGGTGGACACAGTATATGGGGATATTGCTAAACCTATCAATATAGTTGACCATGGATTGCTTTTGGGTAATGCTCAACAGTTTGGGTTTGGTGGTAGTTTTTTTGGCTTGTATTTGATCCTATCTCTCCAATTGAAATTTTAAGGTAAAGTTTACAGCAACATCTGTTGTCCCCCTAGGATCTCACTTTGGTTCAATTTTGTTTTTAATTTACATCAACGATGAGTCCTGTTTTAAAAATTCAAAATTTTTACTAGTGGCAGATCATATAAGTTTTCAACTTTGACAAAATGTTGAATGAAATGTGCTTTTGCAGGAGGATTCGGATAAGTCTGTCTAATAAGTGTCTCTTGATATCTGAAGAATGAACATTCCCTTAATCTTGATAAATAAGAGGAAACATCCTTATCACTTCTCGTATTCTTTACTGGGATCTCAGTTGGAGTGTCTGAGATTGGTGACTTGGGAGTAACTTTTGACTCTGCGTGTTCATTTATCTGCATGTTGATTTAGTTCTAGCCAGGTGTAATAGAAGCTTGGGGTTCATCAAGAAGAATACATCAGGTTTCCAGTTTATTATTGTATTTAAACATCTATATTTTGGGTTGGTTAGGTGCATACTGAGTGTGGTTTCACTTTAAGATTAATCTACTTGAAGGCATTCAGAGGAAATTTCAACTTCAATAACCAGTATGATGCAATAATCTTTAATGATAACTTATCCTTTTCAAATCATATATATTCATTCATAATAAAGCTATTAGGCAATTAGAATTTATTATTAAAACTTGTAGAGTTTTCAAAAGTCAAATAATTATAAAAATACTTTTTATATCATTAGTTCAGTCCCTTTTAGAATATTGCTAGAATATAACTTGATTTGTTTATATTTTTATAGTATACAGTTACAGTGTATATAGTTTTATGTTTTTTAACATTTAATATTGAGTCTTTGTCTAAAAAAAGTTAAAAAAATGTAAATTGCAAAGGAAAATGAAAAATAATAAAAAAAATAAAATAAAAAGACGGACAGATAAAATTTGTTTTAGATTTTTAATTAACATTTCAATATCATTCTTACCGAAATTACATCTCGAAGATGCCTTGGCATACTTTCTACCAGTCTGGAAATGTCTTTTTGCTGGTGGTTAGCCCATTCTTCAAAAAGAGTCTTCTCAAGATCATGGAGTGTATCAGGAAGTGCTCTTTTTCGTCTTTTGAGGTTATCCCATAAATGTTCGATGGGATTCAAGTCTGGAAAACGGGCTGGCCTGGCTAAGACCCTGATATGCTGTTGAAGGTACATTTGTACTAAGCGAGCGACATGCGGATGAGCATTATCATGCATTAGAATAGGATTGTCGCTGATTTCATCGAGGATAGGCAATGCATGATGTTCCAAAATTTCATCCATTTGGCGAGTGGCTGTCAAAGACCCTCCATGATCAGCAACCAACTCTGTGCGACTCTCCATTGAAATTTCCGCCCATAGCATCACTGAGCTACGTTGAAAAGGTCGGCTCTGGGGAAAATTACAGGCTTGTACCTTCCATTTCACCTTCTCCACACTCTTTCACACCCATCTGGATATCATAGAGCAAATTTACACTCATCTGTAGAAAGTACAACAGACCATCGAAAGACTAATGGCTATGTCCTTGAGCAAATGCGAGCCGTGCAACTCTTAGTTCTGCTCAATTCTGGTCCTCTTATGGGGCGATAAGTCATCAGTCCATACTGATTTAATGTTCTTTAAGCAGTGTGTTCAGAAGTTTGGACACCTCAAACTTCCTGGAGCTGATGAATCGCTTGAACAACAGTAAGGGGCTGGTTTATTATTTGCACATTATTTGCAAGCCTATTAGACCTACCCTAAGGTCTTAGTAGTTTGTACATGATGTCAGAATATGCTTGATTGTGATTATTTCACTTCAAGTTGTGCATTCTCTGGCAAAGAGGTAACAATGTCAATCTTGTGTGTCCTATCTGTAGCCTAGCCAATATAGTTTCCTCTTTATCTGATCTTTGCATTGCCATGCCCCATTGTTTGACATCTCCCTTAATTTCTCTGAGTTTCTTTTCCTCGATATTTCGCCATTTCAAATACCAGAAATCCCAAATTTTTCTTTTTAGAAAAACTGAAAAATCTTCGGAAGGCACCTCCAGCATGGAATCATCCTTCAATGCGCACATTTCACTGCAAGGTCAGCCTCCTCATAGCTCTTATAAAACAGTGACTTATCTTGAGCAATCTTTTAGAGCAAATATTATCTATTGTATTCTGGGATTTGAAGAAAATTTATTTTTGATAGAGTATTTTTATAAGAGTCCTGTGCAAGTTTGAATTCAGTTTCGGAAAATTGCAAGTTTAATGAGTTAATAGGGAGGTGCCAGAGGCTGCAAAAGTTTTGGCATTGACACAGCACCCATCACTGTAAGGTGGATTGCTTCACAGGTGGTGTTGTGACAAAGGTTTATCAATTAATCGTGCTAAACTAGAATTGATAATGTTTAGCAGGAGAAGAACATTAGGTAAATTTTAAAAACCCTAAATTTCAGGGCATAGAATTAAAGTTAGTGGATTCCATCAAATTCCTTGGTGTGACACTTGACAGGAAATTTGATTGGAAAGGTCATATTAATAACATGTACAGAAAAGGCATCAATGGTACAATGTAAGAGAATTGTTGGTAAAACATGGGGTATCAAACCATGGGTAGCCAAATGGCTTGTACTGCAAATATTCTATCTAGATTCTTTTTCGCAGCACTAGTATGGTTGAAAGGTCTAGAAAACAAAGGGAATAGTAATAAATTAAGGTCATTTCAAAGACTAGGTTGTTTAGGAACATTTTCAACTACACCCACCCTAGCACTTGAAATCATAACCAATATCACACCTGAGGTTAAGGTCAGAGCACTAATCAGCTGCTACAGATTAATTAGCGAAGGCAGCTGGAATCATAAGTGCAATAACATAGGTCACTCGAAAATCTCACAATTATTGAGTAAGGTTAACAGTCAGTTATTAAGCGTTAGTGATAGAACGATTAATACCCCTTTAGGGAACAAGCACTTTCAGGTAGTCACCCCTTGTGATTATAATTATAGTCTGGAAGATGACCATCGTAACATAGACTGCTACACAGATGGATCACTTATCAAAGGTAGAGGGATTGGTGCAGGAATCTACATACCAAAATTAGGAATCAGCATCTCCTCCCCTCTTGGCAATAACACATCCGTTTTTCAGGCGGAAATCTGGGCCATCAGTGTGTTGTAGAAAACTTATGGAAAAAATAAAATTAAGGGAAAATTTTAGAATTTTTTCTGACAGTCAGGCTAGTTTTAGGGCATTACAAAAAGATTTGTCAACCTCATGACTGGTGGAGGAAACTATAGATCTTATCAATAGGATCTCTTTCAGGTTTGATAACAAGGTAACTCTTATTTGGATACCAGCACATAAAGGACACCATGGCAATGAAAAGGCGGATGGCCTAGCCAAAGAAGGTTCTAATACTGCGTTTGTTGGACCACAACCGGTATTACCTCACTCTATGAGCACAGCGAAAGAGAGTATCAATAACTGGGGCATGAAACAATTCCTTAGGGAGTGGAATTTATCCCCCGGACACAGGCAATCGAAAGAGTTTGTTAAGGCAATGAAGCCAGCAGAATCGAAAAGGCTATTCTCTATCTCAAGGAAGGGAATTAGGAGGCCACTGCCCACTGAGAAGCCGTTTTTGTGAACTAAAAGAAGAAACGGCAAGGCACTACCTTGCAGAGTGTGTAGGTATGCTAGGTCTAGAGGATATCACCAAATCACTCTCCGAGATTAAATGGTCCAAAATCTTGGGGTTTGTGAACAGGTCCAAGAGGTTTATGCAGGACAAGTGAGCCGACCAAGTCCCAGACCTTTTAGGGATGGGGTACGAGTCTACCCAGGCATTTAACCCCTCGGGTCTTGGTTGCCCACCCTGCATAATATATGTAAGGTGAAGATCCCGGGTCCAAATTCAGCAGCCCTGCATTCAAACCCAACATACTTACAACGGGCTTTTTTTTCAAAAACATCAGCACTCCTCATAGTTGTGTTGAGTTATTAATATCATAGTTCATTGTCTGTTCACTGGACCAATTCTCGTAGGGGTTTAGTTGATCAAAAACTACTGGAGTAGTTATCAGAAGCTGTAACCTTGTAAAAGTGTTGACCCCAAAGTGTCTGCATGGTCTCTCAGTACAGTCGTCTATTGTCTGCTTTTAATTTAAAAACAACTAATTCGAAGAGAGTATCCATACCCAATTATTCTTCTTACTGCTTCCCAGTAAGCTTTGGTGGATGTGCTCAAATTAATTTTTTTTTTCAAGAAGTGAAGCAAGGAGACATTTTTGCTTTGTTTGACAACAAATCTGATATTCTTCCTTGCAGTTATATAAAGATTTAAATTTTCAGGATTAGAATGTTGAAGGAATTTTCACAAAGATTTTTTTCTCTTTCTGACTCCACTTTCCCATCAGTGGTCCACCACAGTACAGTATGGTTAAGTGGATTCGGTTTAGTGTGGGGGATTGCAAAATAAGCTCCCTCTAGACTTTTGTTGTTCTTTTTCTAAAATATCGATATTGTCCTCTTCTAAATTTAAATCACATTGTGACATGAACTGTTTGATTCATTGACTACCTAAGAGACATATGTTTAAACTGGTTGACATATGATATACAGTCAAAAAATAAAGTTCTATAACAAGGCATTTTAGATATTCGTCATATATTCTTTCATTATTGTGGTGAAAGAGTTGCATAATATGATTCATTAATTGGAATTTGACTCACAAGTAAAATAAGATAGCTAGTCATGCCAAAAAAACATCAAATAAGGCGTAGATCGTCCTCATCCTCGTCAATCTCGGATTCACCTGAAAGACCAAAGAAAGCACCCAAGCCAGCGGCTTCAGCTTCAGGATTCAATAGTAAAAAATTTGAATGGATTTTACTTACAAACAAATGCAAGTAATAATGTTAACATTCTAATTTTAGCTATTCTCCGTGAGTTGCTACCAGCTCCACTCGCAGATAAGATAATTGATAATTTACCTTCAACTTTTGGAGTAATATCAAAAAAATTGGGTACACACGTTTTTTTTTTATTATCTATAATTATATATGATATGGTTGGAGCATTGTTGTATAGTTTAATTGAGGGTGGTCAAGAAGCTGAACAAGTAAATGACATATTGTCGCATCGAAAGATTACGATGGATAAAATATTCGAGGTGGTTTTCTTAAGTGTAAATTAGTTAAAACAAATAAACTTAAAATTTTATAGTTGGTTAAAACTGGATCACCAAGTCTAAGTAAACAATCAGAAGAATTGATAAAGGCCTATGAGAAAGTCATAGTGGAAAATTATGACAAAAATAGCAAACTGTTAATAAGAGGTGAAGATGAACTCAACTGGAGTTTCTGGGGTGCAGCTTTTTTTTGTGGCACTGTTTTCACCCTTATTGGTAATTCAACAAACTAGAAACAAGGCATTTTCTAAATTTTATATTAAAAAATACAAAATTACAGGTTCTGCTCATATAAAACCATTAACAGTACCGGGAAGGGCATTGACTATTTTCTATGCATTAATTGGTATTCCATTATTCCTTACTCTGCTTGCGGATTTTGGCAAATTGCTGACTAGATTGATTAAAATAGTTTGGATTTATGTGCAGAACATTTACAATACAGGATCATTCAAGCCACCAAAAGTATATTATTTTTTAACCAATTCTAATATTTTTCTTAAAAATAAATCAGAATTATTTAATTGCTTTAATGAGAAATACATGTTTGTACAAAAGCCCAAATTAATTCAGATTATAATCATTTACGTAGGGAATCACTGGTAAGGCTGATGATGATGATGATGATGATGAAGATGATGAAGATGATGAGTTACAGTTTGACAACATAGACAGAATAATGCATATTCAACGAACCCCAGAAGATTTTAGCTTGCCGATTTCATTAGCACTTTCAGTGTTTATTATGTATATTTTTTTTGGGGCAATATTGTATTATTTGTGGGAAGAATGGACTTTTATGGAGTCATTTTACTTTGTGTTTATATCAATGGCAACAATTGGCTTTGGTGATTTCATCCCTTCGGTAAAAAATATTTTCATGTTAATATGTCATTGTGAAAACTGATTTTACACCATCATCGTAATTGTTTAGACATACTTTCATATGAATTCTTTGATTGTATATTTGACCATTGGCCTGGCAATAACATCCATGTGTATCAATGTCGTCCAAGTAAGTAGGCTTGCTACTATTTCTTTCGATTAAGTTTTGCTATTTATCATAATATAATTTTTAGGAAAAAATCGCAGAAACATTTTCACATGCAAGTGCTAAACTTGGAGAGACAGTTGGTATAGAGTTTGCAGACGAGCCAGAAAAGGATGAAAATGAAGTCTACGAGGCCAGTGATTTATTCAGAGCAGCAGCAGCAGCATCAGCTGGCAGAGGAGGAATGACATTGCCTGCAAGAGGCAGAATGTCAATAGCTGGAAGAGGTGGAATGCCAATGCCTGGAAGAGGCAGAATGTCAATAGCTGGAAGACCAACCAGAGGTTTTCCACCAGAACCTGGCAGTTCATCTGCACCTCCACAAAACTTTAATCGATATTGATTCAATAATTTTAATGTAAATATTTATAAAAATTATTGTTATATATATTATATATGAAATATAAATTATTACAAGGTGTAAATTTTCTCTGTTTCTTTGGTGTAAATACTATTAGGAAACTATGAAGGCTAAGATCTTAGTTACAGGGTATATTTACAATTTTTAATAATAATAATAATTATATGCCATTAATTAAGTAAAAATTTCTTCCAATAAATCAAAAATTGAACTCTTGGAAACTTGTACCAGTTCCCAGCAGTAAAACCGGTTGTGACGAGCGAAGTTTATTAGCTGCAGGCTTGGCTCATTTAAAAATTTGACAAGGCTTTCTTCCGAGAGCACAGCACTACCCAAATAAGAAGCACGCATCTTGGACGAAATGGTACATTTAGCCAAAAAGTGCACGATGGTTTCCTTTTGCCTTGTATTGCAAAGAGAGCACATTTCTGAATCACTCTGGCAGCATATTAAGAGAATAGAGTTAAGGAACAGAAGTTCTCAGAGTTTGAAGAGCCAGTGGAGATCCCTCAGTTTTCTCATTCGACAAGCAGAACACATCGAGATTTTGGTCAAGCCTCTTGTACAAAAGAAACCTCTCTGTTGTCAGTGTTCGCTCTAAAAACCTCTTGTTATCGCTATACCTTATAATGGAAAGACTGAGCTGGAATTCTGCCCTACATTCAGAAACGTTATCTCGATAGAATCGGAAAGAAGGATGATATCTATCTGGCAAGGAACTCCAGTGCTCATACCAGAAAATATTAAAATTTTTGTTATAAACTTATGAAATCTATAGGACATCTAAAAGGCCACTAACCCGGCTAAGACCATCCAGCTTGACAGGCGAGGCTGCCATTTAACTACTAATATATAGAACTATATTTTAAATAAACAAGGGTCTTCTGGAAGATGTAGATAAAAACCATTTACATTGAAATAATGTGGAAAGTCACATCTCACAAACCTCTGGAGCAAAGCTTTGAAGGCCCCCCCCCACTCTCCCACAAAAAAGGAACAAACTATTTTTTTTTAAAGATATATATTATACAAAATAAAAAAGATATGCAGTGTATAAATAAAATAAAGTAGCAACTTTGGGTCGGTGTTTTTGACAAAAAAAAAAAAACAAAAAAAAAAACAAGAGTGTTGGGTTCTAATGCATGGCCACAGTATTCAAACCTGAAACCTTTACCTTAAAGTGATGAATGCTGTGTCAACACCTAAGCAGTTGCGGCCACCAATGCCCATGTACAAATTAAATTAATATTTTTTGTGAAGGTATAGAAAATTTGTTGAAATAATTAAAATCAATATATGAAAACTTCAATTAATTTTTTAAAATTTTTTCAAAAATAATTTTTTTCTTTTAAAAATTGATATTGATTGAAAATTAAAAACATTCAAACTGTTTCTTTGAGCGAATCGCAGGACAGCATTGTAGGCATGGTGGTAATAGAAATCAGTGTTTATCATATGTAATGAAATATTAATACTTAACTATATCTAGTCATATAATATTTATTTTCAGATTGAGGTTAAGTATTTGCTTTATATAAAACTAAGAGTGAAAAGTATGAATACAATGTTTTATACTAAAAATAGAAAAGACTTTAAAAAGCCTTTAATTGATCTGAAAATCGTGGGTTCGAATCCCGATCATGACATTTTCATCTTAATCAAGACCTCACATTGATAGTTTAATTGGTTAAAATAGTCTTTAAAAAGTTGAATTAATTTTTTTGTGCAACTTGAAAAGAAGTTAAAGTGCTTATATTAGTAGAACCCTATGCAATGATCATATATCAAAAGATTCACATAAGGAAAAATATGTATTCTGATAGCTTGTTATCAAGTAAATTTTTTAGATTATTGAATTTAAAGTAGTTTCATAATTTTATATGGGAGCTGTAATATATGAGCTTCAAAATTTATATTATCAAAAATGATACAGAGATTTTTACATGTTTTAATAAATTTTATAGAGGTACAACCATATCACATTTTTTATATAGTTATTCTATATAACATTTGTAATGAAACATTATATGATCCACTAGGTTTAATTTATAACTTGTATGATTTATAATGAAAACTTTATTAACAATTATTCAGAAATCGTGAGATGCGATCTGGTGTGATGTAGGTTTCAGAAAAACATTTTTTTTATCGTGCCGTTTCGATCTTTATTGAGATCATCTTCAGGGCTCAATAAAGATCGAAACGTTGGCACGATAAAGAAAATGTTTTTCTGAAACCTACATCACACCAGACCGCATCTCACGATTTCTGAATAATTATCGATTAACGGTCACTAATCACCATGTATTAACAATGTTTTATTAATATTAATTGACAAGTAATCTGACACAAACCAGTTTTTCTTTCTTTTTAGTTATGGTCTTGTTTAAACTAAAATGCATGTGAGATTGGACATTATTCACAAATTGCAATAAATGAATTTAAATGAAAATATCCCTACCAAAAAAATAAAAAAATATAAGATTGAAAAATGAACTATAGGACATCTCATTTTATCAATGTTTAACTTAAAAAAACAAACTTATATGGATAATTTTATATTATTACTCAAGATTCAACCTCAAAGTTATATTTATTGTTGTAATTTTTTTTAAATTGTAAAATTAATTTTATAGTTGTTAAGAGAATTTGGTCACTTGAATAAGAAATTTTTTTAAAGTTCATATTTTAAAAATATTTTAACTATAAGAAAGTTAACATCATATGGCAAAAAACATATTTTTGTAACAATAATTGTTCAATCATATAGGGCAACTTGGCATTAAATTGCTCTGAATTCTAGCGTGTGTTGAAGAGGGATGATCTTATATCTAGAATGCCTCAAAATGAAATGGCAAATGATGATGTGGAGATTATTACGCAGAAATCTAGAGGTTTTTTTAACATATAAACTGATTTAATTTATACAAAGTGATATAATTTTATTCCTTTCTGGATTCTTGGTCTGAAAAACTGAAGCTATTTAACTACTCTAATTTAATTAGTATTATTAATTCAGTGTAATAAAATGTTACGAAGTTTAAGCTTTGATTTTCAGGCCTTTACCGTAAACACATGTCCGTTAACGATAAAATGTCACATTTGGCACAAGGAAAGGCTGGATCCCTTTCAAAAAAATGGTTTACACATATATTCCTACTAGCTGCCATCATAGTCTACACAATAATTGGAGCAGTACTGTATGCTATTGTTGAAGGAGGTCCAGAAGCTGCTCAATTAGATGAGCTTTTGATGAAAAGAAATGATGTCATAGATAAAATACAAGAGGTGATCATTCTAATGTAAATGATTACTATAAAATAATGATTATTTGAAGTTCATGAGATTCGGTCTGGTATGATGTAGGTTTAGAAAAACATTTTCTTTATGGTGCTAACATTTCGATCTTTATTGAGATCATCTTCAGGGCCTGGGGTTTATAAACATTGTTTAAATTATACAAATACACGTAGAATGTGAAAAATCGAATTTATACAATGCTAGAAATGCTCAAGTGAGAATAAATACTTTGATTGAGTCTAAAATTTCTAGCATTGTATATATTCAATTTTTCACATACTACATGCATTTGTATATTGTAAACAATGTTTATCTTGTCAATATTTATCTCACGATCTCCAAATAATCATTAATTAACGGTCACTAAACACCATACACACTATAAAATAATGTAGAAGAGCATTTCAGCTGGTGACATCTGGCACGCCTCAAGTTGCTGATAAAGCTGTAATTTTGTTACAAAGCTATGAAGAAAAGTTGGTAGAACTATTTGAAAAGAACAGCAAGCTTTTGGTCGGAGGTGAAGATCAGCTCAATTGGAATTTTTTAGGGTCTGCATTTTTTTGCAGCACTGTTTACACTACTATAGGTAAAACAGTTTCTCTTTTCTTTTGTCATTAATAACTATCATCCTATTTAAAAAAATCTTATTCTGTCATCTTTAGTCTGGTACTTATATAAATTGTATTTTTATTTGATCATATTTTGAAAAAATATAATTTTTTTTTTGTTAAGCTCACAAAAATTAGATACATTTGCACTTCAAAACTATACTCAATTAAAAACAAAAGACAAATTGATCCACTTTTAAAGAAGTTCATATAAATTTTATTTTTATTGTTACTTTTGTATCTTCACTACAATATATTATTTATTTACTTTTTAATATATATTTTTGTAAATTTTTTATATATATATTTTTTTAAGGGTACGGTCACATAGCACCAATTACAACGGCTGGAAGGGTGTTGACAATTGTTTATGCCTTGATAGGTATCCCACTTTTTCTTACATTACTTGCAGATTATGGGAAAATTCTAACAAAAGGGATTAAATGGGTATGGGTGTACATAAGGCGCTTTTACTACACTGGTTCCTGCCGAAAAAAGCCAGCACTGGTAAATAACAAAAATGTTTTTCTGTTATTCTGAGAATCGTGAGAATAAATGATTGTGAAAAGTAACATATCTGAGCGTAATGTAGTGTGCTGGCCAAGTACCAGCAAGCCGATCTTTGTGAATTTCTACTACAGAAACGATCCTGTAGAAGTATGATCTTATCCCTCCATCTTATCTTTACACAAACCACCCTGTTTTTCTTACCATCATAGCTCTGCTTCCTCTTAAAATGGGCTTTGGAAATTTGAAACATAAATTAAGCTTAGGTCTCTTAGGGCATTGTACAAATTTGAACATTTCATATTAAGCCTTTTCGAAAGGGGAGAATTTCAAAATTTAAATTTTTGTTACAGACTGACTCATTGGTATCAATACTTCACTGATGGACAAAACAAACGCACCACCCTTAAATTTTAATTTACGGTTTATTCACATTTTGCATACCAAAAGTAGGTTTGACTGTAAAAATAAGACATTTAAAAAGAAAATGTATATTACCTAATTCTAAAAAAACTAATCATTGAATAAAGAAGAAAAAAAAGAATCAAAATCAAATAAAATTGGAAAAAAAACTTTTCTGTCCCCTTTAATACTGAGTATATCCACCTCGAGCTTTATCTAAGCAATTTATTGACGATGTTGGACCTAAAACGGACTAAATGATTAATAAACGACTATTTTGTCATTCTAGAAACATTTGTACATAATATCTCGACATAAGAAATCAGTCGTAGGGTCCAAATACGGCGTTCTTAGTAGACTAAACCATCAGAACCGCTTGTCGTTGGTTATTTAACATAACCAAACAGCCGTGATTTTTGTAATAGGTACAGGCGACTCTTGATAATTCGAAATACAAAGGATCACAAAAATACACTGATGGACAACAATAACGCCCCTTAAATTTCAATGTAGTTAGGTTTACTCATATTTTGCATACCAAAAATATGATTGGTTGTAAAAGTAAGGCATTTAAAAATAAATTATCTAATTCTAAAAAAACAAAACAATTATTTAGTGAAGAACAAAACAATACAGAAAATTCATAAATAAAAATGTAAAAACTTTTTTAATATATAGAGCATTTCAACCTCTGGGTAGGTTGAGTTCGCTTTTTTTTCAGGGGCAATCTCATCGAGATTGTAAATGAATACAAATATTTAGGAGTCATATTCCCCCCCCCCCGACACTCATGGACAAAGCACTTCTTTTGGAAAGCGTCAGTGGCTAAATTAGGTCTACATAACACATGGTCAGTCTTCTTACTCAATGAAGCTATTCCTATTAAAGTCAAGTTTAATATTTCTAAGGCGATAAGTCGTGCAATTCTGTGTTATGGCTGTCAAATGTGGGGATACCAGAGGTTTGAAACATTAGAAAAAGTGCAACGTTTTTTTATAAGAAAGTTATTCACATTGCCATCTCGTACACCAAATTATATATTGTATTTAGAGACCAACATGGATTTAATTTTGGTGTATACACTTAAGCTTCACTACTCCTATATTGTGATACTAGATACCCAAAAAGAACATCTTTGGTGGTAATAAAGTATAATATTTCATGGTTTGCACATTGGAAAATATTTGTTTGAAGTACAACTTGCCCTTCCTCATATCCTTGGACAACCTCTGTGTCTGGCATAATTATTTTTCAGTTCTTATCAATCAAATTTAAAAAAAACATAACGAAGAATGCCGGTCACGTGTCCAAGCATCTACGCATTTCTCACTCTACAAGGAGGTACAAATTTTTCCTGCATTGTTCGATCTACATGAAGATAATATTGACGGTCTTTGTCTCAATGAGTTGCGATGGCTATTTAAGCTAAGAAGTGAGGTTTTACACTTAAACTCGGATGTTTGGATTAGAGGGGAATTGGGAATATGTTCTTTGTGTAATTCGCGCTCTATTGAAACTGTATCCCACTTCTTGACGGAGTGCTCATCCCTATGTGAGATTCGGTTTTTGGATCTCAGATGTTTCACTCTCTCCAGAGTTGACCTGTTACAGTTTCTGAGTGGTCAAATTCACAGCCCTTAATTCTTTATGCTAGACATTCACGGAACTACAGATATGAGTTAATTAAGGAGTTTAATTTTTGATTTGTATTGTATAACCTGTTTTTCTATTCTCTCTTTCGCATTTTAACAGTTGTTATTTCTCCTTTTTTTCAATTTATTGCCTAGGCTATAACTTTTATCTTACTTTATTGTGTATTTTTTCGTTTCTGATTGTTTAATCAATGACCTCTGGCAAACGGATCTAAGATCCATGTCCTTAAAAGCTTTGAAATCACAATTGACATTTTTCCTTTCTTAAGTTCAATGAAAGCATTATTATTATTATTATTATTATTTCCACCTCTAGCAGGAATCACATCCGTTAAATGCCTTTACATTCTCTTTTAACGAGAGTTGATGCTCAAGCTGAAAGAACATGTTTCTTCAATAAAATATAGATCTATGAAGATGCTAGGTTTCATCATCCGGAACACCTATGAATTTAAAAATCCTCTATGTTTTGTCCATCTTTATAAAGCTTATGTACAACCCATACTAGAATACACTACACCTGTTTGGAACACATACTATCTAAATTAACAAAAAATTCTTCAATCTGTACAAAACAAATTTAAAAAAAACTTTCTTATAAACTCAATCTTCCTCTGAACTCTGCCTACCCTGGAATCCACTCTGAATTTAAACTTTTCAAACTGGCACTCAGAAGGGATTACTTTGATATTGTTTTTGTATTTAAATTATTAAACAATCTCATTGATAGTCCTTCTCTCCTCTCTCAGATACAGCTACACGTACCTTCGCACTCTCCACAAACTATTTTATATTGAATTCCAAAGCTCTAACTACATGCTCTCTTCTCCTTTACACCGAACGATGATCAAGAGTAACAACATCTGCTTCTTCAATAGTTCTGTGCAATCTGTGAAAAACCCTATCCTACAATCCTACTCTAGTTGAGTAAATTTTCTTATCAGTTTATATTTCATACTGTTAAAAGTTTATTATAATTTATTTCATTTACTGGTTCACCTAAATCTTACACTCTAGTCTTATCATATCTACAAAGAGCATTATTTTCATTAACTACGTGCCTAAATAATGTAGTTTCAATTGTCTTTCAGCTTTATTTTGTTTCCTTTGCCTTAATTTGGTTAATAATTATGTCTTTCATTTTTGCTGTTGTTCAGTTTTTACTCTTTAATTGTATTTTTATATTTACCATTTACAATATTACCATATATATATGTCCTTATTCTTTTTGTAAATATTATTTGTATTTTTTGCATATATTACTTTTATTTTTTGTTATTGTAAAATTTTGTTGTTGTGGATTTTGATCCGTAAATAAATAAATAAAATAAAATTCCTTGGAAAAGATTTCTGGTAAATTCATGAGGAATTCTTTCCCATTCTTCGTTTCCAACTCTTCTAGGAAATTAGTACTTGGGTTTTGCCATCATACTTTAGCAATCAATGTCAACCTCATTCAGGTAGTTATCTACATTATGTGCTCTATAGTACCTGGCATTATCTTGCATTAGTAAGACTCTCTCACATAAGTGGGGGGAGGGAGCACTACATGTTCTTCAATTATGTCTTGTAAGTACCTCTGTGAATTAGAGATCTTCCTCGAGCTCGTGGTGTTGGTTGTTTTGAAAAAAAAAAAAAAAACACATTTGTAAATATGTCAGGTTCAAATTTAGGACCAAGGGAGATTTTTACCTTACAGTGATGAGTGCTATTTCAACATCTTAACCATTATGGTCACTGACAATATTATTTTCCTTAATTTTTTCTACTGAGAGAGAGGTATTTTTTTGTTTTGCTTGTTGAGATGTTGAGTTACTTCTTTGTTTTGCACCTAGTGAATTCATCCGATGTGGGGTTATTTTTTTCTCCTCTCATTTGTTCAGTACTGCCTTTAGCATGCATTGGTGTGGGCCAATTTCTGGTTCTGGTGACCCTGAAACCAAGGTCAGGTTCCTTGGGCTACTCATCATTTTGCTAGTTTGTAAGTCTGTTCGTTTCTTACAAAAACTTTCTGGCGCTAATGTCACAGTTACCTGATTTTTTTCCCAAGAGCTATCTTACAAATTCTTAAACTAGATTTGATTTGAAGGTTGATGAGTTTCATTGCTTATTGACTGCCTTTTAATCCTTCTTTAAGGATTTCTTGTCAGCTCTACTGGATAGAAAATTGATAGTGTGGAGCCTAAAGGCTTTGCTAAGTCAAAATTGGTTCTTTGGCTTCTGCCTCCACTACCATTAATTTCTGGGTTTTTATTCTTTCATACATCTCTTGTTGTAATTTTTATTGTTTGCTATTGTATGTTATAAGCTTCACAGCTAGTCCTGAAGAGGGACCAGGTTTGTGGCCCAAAATGCATTATGACTGAAATTGCATTGCAAAAACAATTATATTATGTGTTATATATTAATTATTATTTGGAGATCGTGAGATGTGGTCTGGTGTGACTTAGGTTTTAGAAAAACATTTTCTTTATTGTGCCAATGTTTCGATCTTTATTGAGATCATCTTCAGGGCTTGGGATTTATAAACTTTGTTTAAATTATACAAATACATATAGGATGTGAAAAAGTCTTGAGTCTAAACATGATAGCATTGTATTAATTCATTTTTTCACATCCAATATGTATTTGTATAATTTAAACAATGTTTATAAATCCCAGGCCCTGAAGATGATCTCAATAAAGATTGAAACGTTGGCACACTAAAGAAAATGTTTTTCTAAAACCTACGTCACACCAGATCGCATCTCACGATCTCCAAATAATCATTACCTAATGGTTACTAAACACCACACATTATATATTAATTTTAATTATATTAATTTTTTATATGTATTATTATTTATTATATATATTAATTTTTTTAAATTATATTGTATATTGTGTGTGGTGTATAGTGACCGTTAGTTAATGATTATTCTGAGATCGTGAGATACGGTCTTGTGTGACATAGGTTTTAGAAAAACATTTTCTTTATTGTGCCAACGTTTCGATCTTTATTGATATCATCTTCAAGGCTCAAAGTGCTTGTTTTCTGCGTAATTGTGTCATTCTTGTGTGCCGTGTTGAGAGTCCTAGTGAGATATTCTCTCTCAACATGACACACAAGAATGACACAATTATGCAGAAAACAAACACTTTGAGCCCTGAAGATGATCTCAATAAAGATCGAAGTACACTTCACTAAAGCTCTCCGTGGCCATTTCTTTTGTCGTCGATAATCCAATCCGATTACACGACATTTGAAAAATGGCAAAAAGGAGGGAAAACTCGTAAGGTGGGGTTGAGATAGGAAGTTGGTGTCTGAGTGGATCGAAGTCACAATAGCTCAAGTGGTAGAGCAGTGGCGTATCTAGCCGAAGATTGTGGGTTCGAATCCCGCTTGTGCCATTAACTTTTTTTCATCTCAACGAAAAACCTTAATTAATTGTAATGTACTAATTGGTCAAGTGGACCACGAAATTAGTGCATTTAAAGATCGAAACGTTGGCACGATAAAGAAAATGTTTTTCTAAAACCTACGTCACATTAGACCTCATCTCATGATCTCAGAATAATCATTATATATTATAGTGTGTTTAGTTAAAACAATTAACTAGCATTCTTGATTGAAAATATTGTTACCGCCAAATTAAGAAAATATTAAAAAATATAATTGGAATTAATTTAATAATAATAAAATAGTATTCATTTACCCCTCTACTTAAGAGTTTGACTAAGTTTTAACATTATCCAGTCTTTTTCCTTTTATATCTTTCTTTATTAATCAAGGCCAATTATAGTTAATTGTAAATGAAAGTAATTTTAGGCATTGTTGGATGAAGATGAGTATGCAGAGAATCCAGATGAACTAAGTGATGAGTTCAATTTACCAGTTACCGTTGCACTGTCGCTCTTTGTTTTGTACATGCTTATAGGGGCGACATTGTTTTACATGTGGGAAGAGTGGACCTTTTTTGAATCATTTTACTTTGTTTTTGTTTCAATGGCAACAATTGGTTTTGGAGACTTTGTACCTGAGGTAGGCTTGTTTTTAAAAGCTAAGTAAGTGACTCTGTATGAAATCATTTGTGAATTTGTTGTTTTGTAGAATCAAGTTTATACAATGGCACTTGTAATTTATTTGATCTTTGGATTAGCTCTTACTTCCATGTGTATCAACGTTGTTCAAGTATGCCAGTGGTTAATTTTCTTATCCATAAAGTTTTATTAATTTCGTTTGTTTATTAAAGGAAAAAATATCAGATACTTTTACTCAAGCAACTGCAAAGCTTGGAGAGACTGTAGGCATTGAAATAGTAGAAGATGAGGATGATGATGATGATGATGACGACGAGTCAAAAGCAAAGGCAGGAAAGTCAGGCTCGAGTTCTAATAAAGGAGTGAGGTTTAGAGGTAATCCTCCACCAGGAAAAGGCCCTCAAGGAAAAGGTGGCCAGTAATTAACTGTAAATATTGAATTTAAAAAATCTAATTTTAAATATATATTAAAATGTTGAAAACCTAAAAAATAAGTATATTTACTAAATTATTACTGAAAATATTGACTCTACACTTGTAAATGTTTTTAATTTTTATAATTCACTAATTGTAAGGTGGATGAAATGAAAAAATAAAATTGTTTGAAGTGCTGAATTAATAATGTTTGAGTATAAAAAATAATAATAATTAAAATAAATAAATTTAAATAAGTCTTAAAAAAGATCTTCCCTCTACTAGAGTAAATACTTTAGTGTCTTTCAGCCTGGTATAACTTAATGCAGCAAACAGCTACCAGTGGACTATGTTGGCATTACCAAGGGGCTCCTGTGATCCCAACCCGCGATTTTTAATGTTTAGAATTTCTTAATTTATGATTTACTTGCTGAAGCCCAAAACTATTGGTTTAACAATTAAGTCTAGAGGAAGTTTAGATGTTGTTTTCAAAAGATATCTAACTATTTAATTTGGCTCTATAAGTAGCTAGGCTCATTCAAAAGTACTTGACTATATCTTGTAATGTTTGCTTGTTGTAGGGCATTAGTTTATTAGGTTAACACATCAGTTTATTCTTGGGTTCAGTTGTATTGACAGAGTTAAGTTGTCCCCATTTCTTGAACCACTGTTGGACTTCATCAGCAAATGACTGCAGCCTCCATAACACTGTCTGGTTTGCCCCCTTAACAGCACAGCAACTTTACCATTTCTTTTCACAAAGCACCTGAGTAAAGCTGAAGCTGCTCATCACTTTGGAAGTCGCATAAGCAAGAAAGCTTCAACAACCATATTTTTTATAAATTAAGCTACCCAGAATTTGGTTTAAGGATCATCCAGGTCACTGCCTGAATATTGAAGTATCTCTGATGCTCTGTCAGGCTGTATGCACTTACACATAGGCTTCAGTGGTTTTCTGCCTATAGAATTACTGAATTATGCCTATTGGACAACAACTGTGGGAAGAGGCAGATCAAGATAACTTATGATCAAGCTATAGGAACATCACCTCATTTTTGCATCGTATTTTGATTCAAACCCACGAAAATATGGCAAAAAGAGGGAAAATACAAAAGGTTGTACACGAGATGAAGAGTTGGTGTCTGAGTGGATCGAAGTGACGATAACTCAAGTGGTTAGGGAAGCAGAGCATTGAGCCAAAGGTCATGGGTTCAAATCCCGCTCATCACACTCACTTTTTCAACTCAACCAAGTGTTCTTCTGTCGAAGAAACTCATTTTTGAAGGGGGTTGGGACCAAATTCAGGGTCGCTGAGATCTGATCCCGCTCAATTTCTTTCAATTGCAGCCACCGGTCCCCTTAGGTGTCAAAAAAAGTCCAGAGGCGACATGGGGATCGAACCAGCGGGATCTACTAGCCGACAGTCTGACGCCTTAACCACTCAGCTACCGTGGCCCCAAGATAAAAAGTATAATTAATTAAAATATATGTTTATTACTTCAAGCTTTTGAAAGTTGCGGGAAGATTTCAAGTGGTGGTGGGTGTATTTTAGTAAAAGAGAGTTAAATGACGTGGCCACAACAGTTTAGGCATTGACACAGCGCTCATCACTATAAGGTAAAGGTCCTGGGTTCGAATCCAGCAGCCCTGCACTTGACCCCACCATACTTACAAACAGTTTTTTTTCTCCCAAACTGGCACTCCGAAGTTGATAACCTCGCAGTTGAAATACCCTCATAAAAAAAAGATATCTCGTTTGTCAAATTATATTTCAAAATTGTATTGTTTCATGTACCTACAGTACAGACAAAGTGAAGACAGTCTCAGGCACTTAATTGACCAACATCCTCAACAAATAATGGTTCTGGGAGATTTTAATGCATACTAGAAAATGAAGTGCTACAAGGCTAAAAGAGAATGAGACACCCCTACTAATAAGAAATGTACCAAACCAATATTTCTTGCTGACGGCTGTTATTTACTCGTAACACTTGGTCAAATTATGAACTGATCCTTGTATTTTAAGAACTTGAAATGTCAATGTACAAAGTCCCTAAATATGCTTAGAGATTTTGGAGCAAACATGATTAAACGAAATTTGATTTGCCCTGAATTTGACTAGTGCATATGGATCTTTTAGGTCTAGTCCAGCTCATTGCCTGCATGTGGAAGTTGGTGATTTTATGTTTAGCATATTAGCTTTTGACTTGAAATTCCTCTGATAGGTTTTGTTTAACCATCTCAGGTAAATAAGCAAGGTTCAGGTAAATAAAAAAGGAACACAATACGTCATAATTTCATTGTAATAACTTACTTGTATACATTATTTACAGTTCTTAGAATAATCAATTTATTTCTATAAATATTTATAACTTAAAACTAATTTAAAATAGCTATTAGCACATTATTAACAAATCTTTTCCTTTACTGTTTTCTTCTTGATAGAAAAATAGTTATATCACTAATAAGTTCTTGATTATTACTTAATATTAATTATTTTAAAAATCCATTTCAAAAAATGTTATTAGAATTATTTTAGGAATTATTATTATTAATTTATCACTCTTGTTTTTCTTTCTAACTTTGCAGTTATTGATTAATTTACATGCTACTCGTATAGGCTAAAAAAAGTCATATTTGATTGGACAAAATGTTTTCTGATGAGTATTTTTAAGTGTTAAGACTATCTAAGAAAGTATTAGTGATTGTAGAATTAGAAGAAAACATTAAGGAAATGATTATATTGTTTCCTTTGATAATTTATATTCCATAAACTTAAAGAATCTTTAAATTTGTTTTCATCATTTAAACAATTAATTATCTTTTACATAATTCCACAAAATATTGTAATTGTTTAATTAGTTCTGACAACACCTCTTCCACCAATTAATAAACAAGTATCTGGATTTTAAATTTCTAATAATTCTTTTTAAATAAAAATTATTCTTAGGCAGTGAACCTGCTTTGTCTCTCATTCATTCTGCATTCCGTTCATTACACATACACTGAAACCTCTAATATTTTAATGCTATTTTGGTAATATAAAAGTTTTGTTTGAAATTAATCTTGGTTATAAGTTTTATTAATCATAAAAACACAAACTTGATTTATTTAAAGTATATAATCAGTTCGATTATTATGTAAACCCTTTGGTAATAGGAAATACATGATATATTCAAATTGACTGAATTTTATATTATAATCATTATTATGTTTTTATTATTTGTTTGTTGTTGTAAACTAATTTTATTAGGTCAAAAATCCAAGTATATTGAAAATACAAATGGTGCAAATCTAATATTACTCAGTTTGTTGGTTTTTTTATAATATAAATATCCACTCTTATTTATTTATTTATTTTTTTTTTAACCGAAGTAATATTTTGTTTTGTTAGCATTTGCATTTCGTGCATCATAAAAATACATTGTCCCTCAAAAGGAAACTTTTTAAACCCTAGCAATTAAAATTATAATTATTTAGAATATCGTTGAAGTTTGATAAAAATCTTGGATACAACTTTTGAAACATTGTTAAAATTATTATACAAAAATTTAACAATAAATATAATAATTATTAAGTAGACATTTGAAATAAACAGTGTGCCAACAGGGTACTGCGAAAACAATATGTCTTCTACTTTTTAAAATTTTCATTTTATTGCTTACCGCTCAGATATTTATTTGACATATAAAACATCCATAATTAAAAAACTATTCATACAACATTTTTCTTATTTTTCACATAAGTCTGGGTCCGCTTGACTTGGGTTTAGCAAATGATAACTTCATTGAAATGTATGTTTTGAAGATCACATGATATTCATTTACTTTTAGAATTTCCTCATTTTCATGACCACCTTTAACATTATATCACATTAGTAATTGTTTTTATAATTAAATTCAACAATTTGCCCATTTACCACAATTTTTATTATGAAATACTATTTTTTGTATTATAGTTTCTATTAAAGGAAACAAATAATAGAAAACATCAAGTCAAAAAGGCTGTTTGCAATGAACTTACGTTTTAAATTTAAACTAATATTAAACTGATCGGAACTTGATCACTCTATGGTCTGCCTGCTCTTTTGTAGGTTTAAATGTAAAACATGTTTCATCTTATGCAAAACTAGTTCTTCACTGAAGAAGGCATAAGACAAAATTCATTTGAGAGAGAGAAAGAGAGAGTAGACAGATCAAGATAGATGATGATCAGTTTAACATGTCCACTGACTTGCAGACCAACAACCACAACCAAATTTAAACTAATTTTGCTATTTACTAGAATTTAAAGTAATTATTGAATAAAAATAAGGAAATTAATTTATCATTTGTACATTTTTAATGAAAATTGTGGAATGGGCTAAGCATAATTGCAAATGATAAAAGAAAATCGAGAAAATTAAGACATAAAGTTGTAATATTATTGAAAGCATATATAAAGATAACACCGCATTATGAGATAACTAACAATAAACATAGTAAAGATCTTAAGACACATTTTTCAACAAAATATCATAACAATACTAACCAAAAGGCTAGCTATTGCAAACACCTTTCTACGCCAGACTCATTTTTTACTAAGTTTTAATTTATGTAATTAAATGTAAGTAATATTCAGTTACCAAGTGTAAAAATTAAAAACACCTATATTATTAAATCACAGAAAAAACTTTTAATTTAATATATATATTTTTTAAGTTTTTATTATTTTTTTTCTATAGAAGGGGTGTGGGAATTCCATTTTTATTGAATTTTTCACTTTTAATGTACTTTTTCTTTTTTTAAAAAAAAAGACAATGAATTTGGCACAATGCACCAACTCACATCCTCACGTTGCACTGATATCTTCAAAACGGAATAATAATTGTTCTTCTAGAACAATACTCTACAATTCATTGTCCATAATACCATAATGTAGTTTCTTTATATTAATAAAACTGAGCATTTTTGTTTTCCTTTTTTTTTTTAATTTTTACATACTTTAAAATTGATTTTATATAAAAAGTGAGTTCATCATTTTTCACCCAGCACATAAAATTTGGTAACGATTAGGCCATACCAAACATACATTTTTTCAACATGCATTTTTGTTTTCATTCGACAGTTTAATGGCTCATTTTTCCCTAAAACCATAACTAATATGGTAATTTTTCCGTGATGGTTTTCATAATATAAGTAAATTAAAAAAATAAACGAAACGCTGGTTTTAAAGGGGAAGAAAACGAAAATCCTATAACTTGAGCCTTGTTCATTTTCTTTTTCTTTTTTTAACTAATGTCTCGTTGTAGACTACACACAGTCTGACACGTCAATTTAAATTCATGTTCATATGCTATAATATTAATTACATTTAAGATAAACACTTATTTTATACACTTTTATTAATCAACCGCACATATATTATTTTTTATATATATAGTTCTCAACAGTTGAGGGGGGAACTGTTATACACATTTATGAATTGGCTTCTCCATTAAAGTGGAGCATTTAAACAAAAATTACATTAACTAGACAGTTGATAGGCAATGGGAACGCCAATTCCATTAAAAGTGACGGAAGGGATTTATTTTTAATCATCTACTTTCACAGACACCAACACATAAATTCAATTATTATTAAGTACAGCATTTCCAAGGGTGGTCCTAAAAATAAATGAAACTAGTAATATTTTTTAAAGGAAATGATAGTTAAAGTTTGTGACGCATGAGGTAAATATAGGAAATATTTTTTATGTAGCATCTGGTTTGATTCCAATTTCATTTTTTACTACTATTCTCTCATTTTCTTTATTTAAATTTGCCTTAGAGAAACAAGAGTAAAATTAATAAAAGATTATAAAAATTTTTCTAAGACACAGTAAATGTAAATTGATAAATTAGCTTAATTTTAAATTCAAGTTAAAATCAATTCAGAAATTCCAGGGCTGATTAAAAGTTCTGTGTACATCCTGTATAAAAAAATTCACATCAGCACATGAACAGATTAATAATGATGGTGTCAAAAATCCAACTTCTTAGACTTTACTTTTGAATTTTTCTTAACCAGTTGGAAAAGGAATTGATTGCACTAGATGATATAGGTCTGAGCATTAATTGTTGGTCGTAAAAATTGTCAATGCTGTACTTAGTAAAATGTTCTCTACATTTAGTCGGTTGGAGGGCAAACTTGTGATAGGGCACCTGTGTATGATGAGAGATTGGATACATACAAACAGTAAAATTTATATTCTCTCTAACGCTGCCTTTATCCTTTAAAGGATAGGCAATTAAAATTAGCCAACATTGATTAATTATTAATAGTTGATCACAATTCTTTCGAAATAAATTGTAAGGTAAGTTGGATAAGTTTAGAAATCACAAGATCCGCAATTACCATTTTTTTAGAAATACAAAGTCAGGTTGAAAGCTTGAAATCTCTTGATAAATACGGATATTGATTTTTCTTTATTGTTATAAGAGAGATATAGTGGTATTTTTCTGCATTTTTCAGTAGTTCACAAAGAGGGTGGGTATTTAAAATTAAGTAGTTCCTCCATCATATTGTCTGGGTAGAACACTCGTACTGGACGGTCTATGGCGGAGAGGCTTGCAGTGTATCAGTGTTTATACTCTGGATATTTGGGTCCGGGCAGGAGTGCCGACTGGTCATTGTTGGGCGAAGGAGTCTCCTCGTGGCGTTGTGGCGACTCCGGGGGCGAGAAACATCTACCAGCTTCGCTCCCAGCCTCCTCCTCGTCGCTACCCGATCGGACTAGTCGTCGTTGAGCTTGAATAAAGTCATCACTAAAAGACACCAGTCCAAATTACCCGTATACAAAACAATAATGTTACTGCTATACATTCACTACTTCGCCTCCGATCCCTAGATCTTGATTTCTTTCACTGTGAGATCACGGGATTGGATTTCTTCTGAATCCATCTCTTCATTTGTTCAGAAAAAAAACAAAAAGTAAATCTTATTCTATCAATATTATTCAGAGCTTTTACTATCTATTGTTTATTGGAAAAAAATATATATCTAATACTATAAGAGATTTAAAATATCAATCATTCTAATCATGATATAAAAAATTAATAATTAATTTCTTATACTCATATTTTGATAGTTTAGCATTTCGTCTTGACAAACAATGATGGATTATCACTTATAATAATAATAATATAATTTTTTGTTTTTCAAAAAAAAATTTAGTATTTGCATTTTTATGTATGATATTTTATAAGTGAATATGTGAAGAGATATATTCTGAATTTCAGTTATTTGCATGCTTTCGTCACTGACACAGACACATGAGACACTTTAATCTATACATATAACATTTCACAGCAACTAATAATTGATAGTTTCATCAAACAAGAACAACTAATTGTTTAAATAATGTTTATTACATTATAAAAAAAACCTTTGTCATTTTTATTAATGGGTATTAATTATTACTAAATCCAGAAGGGCCTGAGGTTCATCTTCAAATAATTTATTATCACAAATTGCTATTACGTTTAATTAAAGAAATATTATTTGACATGATAAAAAAACAACAGTTTTTTTTTCAAATTTAAGTCAGAACCAAAAGAAAAGTTGTTTCATGTTTAATTGAAATAATTAAAACTGTATATTTTAGAAGTTTTAATGAATTTTGAATTGGTTCTTACATTACTCTAACCTATGATTACACAGAACTAAAACATTCAGAACAATCCAAAAACAAAAATAAATGAATAAAAAAAACAAAAAAAATTACCCAACAAACTTTATTATCTAAGTTACTTGACGTGGATCAGTCAAATTAAGTTCGCTAAGAAGATCCATTATCACAATTCTGGCAGTAAATCATTACCTTTCACTGTCTGGGGTGTCTGGAGGTGGCCCTCGATCCTGGTCAGCACTTTCGTAAATGCCCTCCTCCTCTGGCAAGTAGCCTCGTTGGGATCCGCTCGAAGAACCTGGTCCATGGCGATACCTCCCGTACATAAAGTCCCCCCTCACTCTTCTGAGAACAAATAAAATGAAATTATTCACTTAGAGCTGTTGTCTTGAATATTATTATTACGTTATAATTTTATATTATTAAAGAGTTCAAATGCTGCAAAGAAAAAAACTAGCTACAAGGTTGAGACATTTTTTTAAATAAACTTTCTGATAACTGGTTAATTATTTTTGAATTATAAATTAGATATTAAATATGCAAATAATAAAATGCTAAGATTATTGGAAGTTTGATTTGAGGGTCACTTTTTGGCTCGACTGCCGCTATTTTCAACTTGAAATATTTCTTCAAATTATTGAAAAATTTGGCAGCAGCTACAATATCAGCAGGTTCATCACAAATCCAATGGGTGACTGGCATAGAAGTAATGTCTGGGTGAAACCTCATGCTCATGATCCTCCCATCCAGAGGAAAAAGGGGTGGCAAAAAGGTCGAACCAGACCAGACTTGAGAAAACAGAAACCCAAAGATAATTAATAATGGAGTCCATTATACAATGGAACTACAGAACTTGCTGCAATTAAGGGTCAGGGAACATTTGCCAATGGCGATACCCTCCATGAGTCCCCGAAGCTCCCCAGGGGTATACCTCAGACTTCAGAGGGTAGGGGGTTCAGAACCTTTTCCAGAGGTCTGACTGGATCTGATGGTAGGGTACATGGAGAAGTAGCCATATTTATAAGGAATAATATACTGAAGCAAGTGGTGAGGATTAATATGAGTGTTCAGGCGATTGCAGCTAGGATAGAATATCAACTTGATACCAGGAACTGGAGGAGCTCCCTCCTGAGCACTGCAGCTGTACAGCTTATTGTACTTTATCCCTGGCTCCATTATTTGGGGGCTTGCAACACGAGTGTGAATTTGAGCCCCTGGTGTGCCGGTGTTCTTCCCTCGATGAAACTCATTTTTGACGGGGGTTGGGACCAAATTCAGGGTCCCTGAGATCTGATCCCGCTCCTTCCATTGATGAGTGCCATGTCAATTTCTTTCAACTGCGGCCACTGGTTCCCTTAGGCATCAGAAAAAGTCCAGAAGTGACAGTGGGGATCGAACCCATGAACACAGGCTCTACTAGCTGAGAGTCTGACACCTTAACCATTTGGCTACCGCGACCCTCAAATATCGACTTTAGCATGATCAACCTGTTGTTAGCCTCACCATCCCTGGCCACCCGGGTAGAATGGGCACCCATTGGCGGATCCCTACCTGAGTGACCACTTTGCAATAGTGTTGAGGAGTTCTTGAGAGGGATAATTCACACTCCCATGTAGTGGAGTAGATTGAAGCTTGCAATTGGGAGCTTTTCTCATCGATGATGTTGGCACTTGAGTTAACAAGGAATGCCTACTTGCAGACCTCGAGTTCCTTAGTGGAGTGAGGCCTGTGGTCTACACGCGTGAAGGCGTTTCAGAAGACACCCAACAGAGGAAAACTTAAATTTTTATGTGAGTAACATCAGTAATTAGTGAAAATAAGACTAGTCAGAAAAGTTTTGATCAACTAGTAAGCCACATAATCAAATTTCACAAAAATTTATAACATTTTTGTGCAATAATTTATTTTAAATGTTTTTTATATATATAAAAAAATAGAAATTAGTAAAAAGAACATGCTTAATTTTTAACAGTATTTAATATTATAGCTTAAAACTGTTAAATATTCATTTTTTCCTGGTCAATAAAATATTTTTCTTAAACAGTTTTAAACTATGAAATGTAATATTTCTCAAACAAATACACAATTACATTGATAAACACAATATTTACAATTATTATGTATCTAATTGAAATTTAATTATATAAAGCACAATTAAAATATATAAAAGTTGCAGTATATTGTAAAGCTTTATAAAATAGTTTAGCTACAGAAGCGAAATTAGCATGCTTACTCAGTTTTATACGTATTTTATATTTAAAAAAAGAAAAAAAAATTGCAATAAATAAAAGGTCAAAGTCAGTCAGTTCATCGGCTGTTTTATATGTAACAAAAATATTGAAGATAAAAGAAAAATTGGAAAGTGCCGAAGTGAAGACCAAAATAAAAGAAATGAAATTACTGCAAAGATCTAAGTTACCTCGGGTATTTAAATTGTGTATTTACATTGTTGACAGATCACAAGTTGATGTTACGAGTCCTGAAACAGGACCCAATCTAGTTTAAGTAAATCTTTAGTTTTTACTAGTTTATATATATTTTGTTTTAAATACTGTAGAACACAGTGAGTGATTCTGCCAGATAATGAAAAGACAGAAGGAGGAAAGTCTTTGATTATTTTGATAGAAAGAAACGACTGCAGAAAAAAAATTGTCTCGCTGGGTGGATGGGTGAGTGAGTAGTTTGAGAAATTTTTAAGGATAAATGTGAACAATTCTATTGAGAACTTACTAATTTGAAACCATGTGAAATAAATAATCTAGTACAATCATTCGGGTAATACGTTTAAAGAACGTTTGTTTAAACAGTAAATTATAAAATAGGAAACTTGGAAATAAAAGCGTAACAAAAATTAACTGTCATCTGCAGTAATTTCTTCAAAACATTCAAATGTTGAACTTATAGAAAAACAGCCAAATAAAGAAAATATTGCCACATTTATGTGCATTTTTTCTTTCTTTTAATTTGTAACCTAACAAAACCTTTTGTCAAAGTCCATATGAAAGAAAATTTAAAAATAGTGGCATAATAAATATTAAATGCAAATTATTTTAATAGCACCAAACTGAGTAGTTAACTCTGAGTTATGTGATTCAATTAAATTGAAAATAAAAGTTCTTTGTTTTACCTTAATGTCTTAAATATTGTTAAGTATACAAAAGCAACAAATTATGCTGCTTAATAATGGCCATTATAAAGCTAAAATGGTGCAGATGTTTAAAAAAAATGGAAAATTATATAAAAATGAGCTAAGTCCATTGCAGCTTTTAGTGCACTTTTTGTCTCTTAGATTAGTAAGCTTTATGTTAAGGGCAGTCCGACTTACCCTCCTTGGGAGTCGAGGCGGTTGTAGTGACGATCGGCCTCTGTTTCTGACATTCTTATATCCTCAGAACCAGAAGGGCTCATATGCCGAGTCGTTTTGTGTTCAAGTTGGCGAATGAGATCTTCTAAATTTCTGATACGTATGGGTCCACATGGAGGCACATCTTCATCATCTTCGTCATCTGCTAAAAGGAAAGATGTTCAAGCTTAAATATTTCAGCTCAAAGGTTAATATCTTAAAAGATGTATACTTGTCTTAAATTAGAATAATTACAAAAAAAAAAAAAAATAAAAGGAAATGATTAAACACAATTGTTGACACATAAATAAAACAAATTTCTACAGAACAAAATTTCTACAGGTTTTATTACAACATTTGTCAACATGAAAAACGTACAAATTTAACAATGGCAACACATAACACAATGTTTTTGGAAACTAACAAAAGCTTTATCTTTCAATTTCCGGTTAAAATGGTAAAACAAACCCTCACAACTTTTGTTGGTTTCTGTCATCGCCATCTTACCTTTAATAAAAAATATTAAATGACCGCTATAAATACCTTGGTTGTCTGTTCTGTGGTTGGTTCTTCTATGGTGGTGGTGGCCAGATGGGGTTGGGGAACTATTTTCGACCATCACTACATGCGTCTGTGATCCATGACCTGAACGAGATAATTCTACTTATTCTGTTTGCCTAATGCTACAGGGACAATGTTTGACAAGGTGTTACACAACCCTTTATGACTATTGTCTACTTCAGATTTAAAATATTCACCTATTATTTTATGAATTTATGACATCTAAAATATAGACAATAAATCCAATTATTTTACATTTTAATTTGTGCTAATTATTGATCAGCATGAAGTAATTTAACAATGTATATTTGTAGATTTATTTCCCTTTAATTTATGCGATCAGTTTAAAGAGGTAATTTGTGCTAATAAATGAAAATGCATAATAAAAAAATTGTTGTGTATATATTTGCATATATTGAATTTTCACGAGTGGAGTGATTGTTGGTTACTAAATGGAATACAATAAACATATATTACACAAATATATTAGTATATTTGGCTTACATTATTTCAGGTGGTTTATTACTGTTTTAAAGTGTATTATAAAGTTAGTAGGTATTTTTTCACCTATAATATTCTAACACAAGGAATATATTACGCGTTAAGGAATCATAAAAATTTGGGAGTTTTTATGTGGATACCTAGTCACTGTAATATTATAGGAAATGAAAATGCTGACAAGACTGACAAAGTTGCCACACCCAAAGGAATCAGGTACAACGAGATCTCACGTAGTGACCTTAGCTCTTTGATAAAACGTAACTTCTGGATGCAATGGCAAAAGGAATGGAATAGCATCACAAACATGTTACGTGAAATAAAACCATGTGTAACTGCATGGAACTCCTCCTCCCGCAAATCAAGGAAAGAGGAAACTGCACTTGCGAGGCTGAGAATAGGACACTGTAGAATCACCCATGAGTACCTCATGAGACGTGAATCCCCCCTGAACTGTACGACTTGTGGCGTGCTTCTAACCGTGAAACACATACTCACTGAATGCAGAACATATAATCACTTAAGAGACAAACACAAACTAACGCATGATATTTACTGCACCCTTAATGACAATAGTTCCATTTCCGATCTCTTTGCTTTTCTCAAGGAATCAACGCTAATGTCAAAAATATAGTATCATTTCATTAATATTGAGTCCAATATCAGAAACATGTAAAAAATCGCATTAAATTTAATTGACATTTTTTTCGCGCTCTTGGAGCTTGGGATCGGCGAGGTGCGGGGCCGTGTGGCTGGTCGGGGGCGGGGGCGCTGGAGAAACCTACAAGGGCAAAATGAAGCCTGAGGCCTGTGATGGATGTGGGAGTGGGGGCACAGCACCCGCACATCCATCGGAAGGCCTAGTAGGACAATAGAAGTAAGAAAATAATACATCCGGCGCTCTTTCGCCCTTGCACCGGCCCAGGGGCTTCGTGGCTTGCGCTGGACTCTAGCCTGCGACACTTGTGTGCCTTATGGATCATTATCAAGGCAAAAAATGACCGAAATGGTTGAATTGCCTTTATATATATTATAAAAAAAAGTTAGTATGTCAGTTTTTCAAGACCTTCAATGTTTTATATTGTTGCAAAATTATGAAAGCAAACTGAACTGTAACCACGTATTGGGTTGTCCGGAAAATAATGCAGGATTTTGGTATTAAACAAAAAAAAAGAAACTAGTTACTTTAAAGCAATGTTCTTTAATCAAAATAATTTCCCATACTCTCAATACATTTCTCCCAATGTGTTGGTAACTTATTAATTCCGTCTGAGTAGAATTCAGAATTTTTAGAATTGATAAAGTCAATAAATGCATTTTCCAGTTCCGTTTGATTTTTGAATATTATGTGTTGTAAGTAGTGGTCCAGGTGTCTAAAAAAATGGTAGTCAGTAGGCGAGAGGTCCGGAGAGTAGGGTGGGTGAGGCAAAGTTTCATAGCCAAGCTCCAATAATTTTTGTGACGTTACACGTGACACATGTGGTCGAGCGTTGTCATGCAACAAAATGGGCCCTTTCCGATTGACCAAAGAGGGCTTCATTACTGCCAATTTCTGATGCATGGTATTAATTTGGTTACAGTATGATTCAGCATTGATGGTTTCGCCAGGATTTAAGAAGCTGTAGTGTATTAAACCAAATGAAGCCCACCATACCGTAACCATTACCTTTTTTTGATGAGTTGGGGGCTTTGGAAAATGTATTGGAGCTTCTCCTTTGTCGAGCCACTGTCCAGAACGTCTAGTGTTATCGTAGAGAATCCACTTTTCGTCACATGTAACAATTCTGGCCAGAAATGGGTCATTTTTGTTTCGACAAAGAAGTGATGCACAAACATCAAAGCGCTGATTTTTTTGGCGATCGTTTAATGAGTGTGGAACCCAATTTTCGAGTTTTTTCACTTTTCCAATCGCCTTGAGGTGGTCAGCGACGGTCGTTTTACTGACTTTGAGTTGCTCTGCAAGTTCTCGAACAGTTGTTTTGGGGTTTTCTTCCACCACTGATCGCAGAACATCATCATTAAGAGAGGAAGGCCTTCCACGACCTTCTTCATCTTCAAGGCTGAAATCTCCCTCCCGAAATTTTTTAAACCACCTTTGCACAGTGCACTCATTAACACAACCCTCGCCCCAGACTTGGTTAATGTTTCTAGCCGTTTGGGCTCCGCTTCGGCCGAGTTTAAACTCGTAAAAGAAAATCGTACGAAATTCTCGCTTTGACATTATAAGGATGACTGAATTATTTCCAAGTAGCGGAATGCTACAGAGGTAAACAAACAATATCATTTGGAAGAGGATTAATAAGTGTTGACATTCATACAAATGAGTAATCCTGTAAACGTAAACAGAATATTTTATATAGATTTTTTTTAATGAAAACTTAAAATCCTGCATTATTTTCCGGACAACCCAATACTATTTTTTAAAATTTATTTTGGCTTGTTAACTTTTGAAGTCAAATGATTCAAATTATGTTTAGAAAATAAATTACACCTGACATTATGTAACACACTGACCATTTTTTAAGCCTACATACAATGACAAGTACCGCGGGCAATTTTGTTATAATTTAAAAAATAATATATAATATTTGACTGTATTTCCACCAACTAAAATGCTGATGCAGTATATGTTATAACATAGTTTAATTTTTACAATTTTAACATATTTAATTATTTTATTATTCACTATGAATGAGTAAAATGGAAAACGCAGCATAAAATATTGCAGTTAAGACCAAATAATCACTCAGGTTGTTAACTGGAAATGTGACTACTGTTACGTCTAAACAAGACATTTTCTACACAAAACGCTATGTAAATAAAAAGTAAAAATTGATACTGACTGGTATCACAGAGCTTGTCTTGACTGTTTACCCTGTTGTACCCCGATTCTAGAGCAGCCGCTGCTGCAAGGGACCTTCTTAAGAGGTCATCACTTGATGCAGTGGTGGATCCTCCTGTATGGTGGCGAGTTGCAGCTGTTCGCAGCGCTTCTAGAATGTCCTCATGGTACCCATTTAGAGATTTCAATGTGCGCTCAACCTGAGAACATTTTTTTTTTTTAATAATTGTTTGCAATGGCGATTTTTGAGTTGTTTTACCTCAGAAATGGGTCCAGCAGATAGCATGTCAGCATTTAGATTGTTGTCACTCTGTGACAACATTTCTTGAGCATCATTCTGGGAGTCGTCGAGCCACTTCCCTTTGAGGCAGGCATCATCCCCGCCATAAGGGCAAGGCTTTTTTAGGATACCCTTCTCAGGGAGCTTTGGCAGATTGTTGGGAGGCAGATCAATGAAGGATACGGTCTCCTCTTCTCCTAAGCATAAAGCATAGAGGACCATCTCTTCCAATTTTAAGATATTCTTATTTCTAAGTTTAATAATTTCTTAGTTAAGAAATGCTAACTTTTATATGTAAATATTTTACATTATTTATTTAGGAAAAAAGCTTGTAATAGTAAAAGAAGAAAATTGTAAACTCAATATTTGTGTTTTTTAATTATTTCTAATTGAATTATTTAATTTATTATTTAATAATGTAATTAAATAATTTAATAATGTAATTGTAATTTAATAATGCAATTTATTTAATTATTATTTTTATAATAGTATTATCAAGGAGTTTCAAAACGGGAACCCACCAGAGTGACCAGGATCATCTTCACTCCCTGAACCGACTCCCAATCGCTTCATTTGTTGCATTTTATGCTCTCTGCGGAAATGAAAACATACAAATCAGTAACAAAATAAGTGTGTCCTTATAAATTAGAACGAACATGCTCATGCACTTTTGTGTTTTCAACTGAGAAAGAATTAAAAAAAAAAAAAATACACTGCTTCACAAGACAAATCACACTCATGAAGAAAGAAAAATAGGAGGAATCATCATGTTTGCCATCATCGTAATAAATTAATGATGTTTCCTCATCATTCACAAATAGAAGGATGTGAGTGATAATTTATTGATTGACTGACTGAAATCTATTTGTTGGAGCGCCTGCACCCATGTGGTTTATTGGCCGGTAGTGAACACGTTGAGAATCTCGACCACTGTAAAAGAGAAATGACAAGTCCTATTTTAAAACACTCAAGCACATTTTCATTCTCTTCTACTAACAGTGATACCAGTTACAAGGTGTTTCTCAAGTTCTTATTGAAAATAAATCGGAAAAAACAAACAAAAGTAAAATGTGTTAAATTTCTGAATTAACAAGCTTTAATCACCCTTATACAATTTATGTATTGACCAGTAATAAATTTTTCTTTGCAAGTATGCTATTTTATGATTATCATAGCGCATTAAAAAATTTAATTTATAATTTTAATGAATTTTTTATATAAATTGAATAAGCCTGTAGTATTTAGTTCTACTGAACAACAATCTTTATAAAAATGCTATCACCAGTTTTAATGTGATATAAACCAAATAATAGCATTGCCAGAATTATTAAAGAATATTTGGAAATCTGAAATAAGTTTGTTAAATATATTTCATGTCTCTGATGAAAAATTAGTGCAGTTTTACATTATGCATTTAGAAAACCAAACCTTTCTTGATAAATCAGTATTTTGGAAACTTGAGATATTTATAAGATTTTTTTGTGGAACAAATTAGATTTTACTTGTGCTAACAACTTTGTTTTGTTAGCTGATGAGAACTTACAAAGAACTTGAGAAACATCAATATTTTATTTAGAGAGATAATTTTGCAAGTATTTCTACAGTTCAATTTGCTTTTATACTGAATCTGTGAAAAGTACAATTGAATTGATTTTCTAATGTGAATAAGTTGCAAAAAAGTGACTTTTATTTTATTTTTTTAAATAGTGCTTGTGTCTTATTAAAAATGTGATTGAAAATTTATATACACAGAGAAGTATAGACAATTCTTTTCTCATAAAAGATAAATGGGCATACAGTTCCAATTATTATTATCCCCTTGGGTCTTCTTCACATTTATTAAAATACTCTAGGAGAGAGAAATACCTGTAGCTTGGCATGCTTCCGAAGCTAAGCATTTTGTTGGCCTCGATTGAAACATCTTCAGAAGGAGTGTCGCTCTGAGCGTTAAATATTGGTGTGTCCTTGAAGTATGGCTTCTTCGAGTATGAACCATCAATCTTTGGCATTGTAGATCTCCTGTTAGGGTTCACAGGATGGGGTGTATGAACGAAAGGATAACAAAAAATAAAATAAAGTAAATGAAATATCCAACAAAAATAAATGTAATATTGTTTAAAAATGATTTGTTTTGGAAAATTTAAATTTTGATAAGGGGTTCAAAATAATCCCAAATTAAAAAGTGAGAAAAATGTCAAAAGAACGGGAATGGGAAGAGAAAAAACCCGTTTGTATTTGTGCTTTTAAAAATTGAAATCTTATTGATTATAACAATACTACTTAACAATAAATGTCGGTACTTCATTAAATTTAAAATTTACTTAGCTTTAATCCTTATAATTAATAGTATCAATAAAACACATAATTACAATTAATGCAACATCAGTACAACCAAACGAGCAGTAAAAAGAATTGGAAGGAGGTTTATACGTGTTTAGTACCAAGCTCATGCCACAGTGACACAATTAGGGATTTCAACGTAAAATTTCACAAGAAATGAAGTATAGCTCATTGCCACCGAAATGTGTACAACAACCAGCTGTTATTCACAAACTAGTCTTAGAAAATGTTTATTGCCGTTCTATTTGCGTTATAGAAACTGCTGAATAAAAAACAAAACAAAAAAGGTGGAGCTTTGCTATAAAAAAAAGCTTAACACACTCAGTTAAATATTGCAATAAGGGGTTGTGTGAAGCGACTCCATTTCTTGTTTAACTCTTGATTCTTTTAACATACATCCAAAATGCACAAATACTTAATTTTAGGAATGAAATAGTAATACAATTAAACACACATTTACAAGCCTCAAATGTACACTGGGTTTTTGGATGTTAAGAAAGGATTGAAAAAGTTTGAAAAGGAACTGGATTTGGGATTTTTTGGGAGGGGTAGAATATTTTAATAAGTGTGAGGAACCAACCCCAATTTTTCATTTGTATACCACATTATTCCTTTATTTATATGTCTTACCATTTATTAAAACTCAATGGCTTAGAATTAAAATAAAAATAAACCACTGTTTCTAATCTCTAAATTAAGTCTGTGAAGCAGTGTTTTTGTCAATCATGCGCTTTATGTTTTCTGAATTTTTTAAAGCTTAATAAGCAGTTCAATTTGTGCAGAAAGCTAAAAAGAATTTTACAATTCTCACAGTCTGACTGTTAGAATAAATCATGATACTGTTCAGGGTGTAAATACAACACTGTCCTTTCAACCTGAACAATTTGCCATGTTTTTTTTCTTTTTTAAAGTTTGCTAATCGAAGACTTCGATTACTCTATAATCTCTGAGAAGAACTACAAAGAAAAAGCAAAAGCAGGTGTTAAGAAGGAACCAAAAAATAAACAAATAAAATAAAATAATTATATAAAAAAATAAATAAAACCAAACCAAACTAATGAGAAGAAAAGTGAATGTGATCTCAGCCAAATGGATCTCTTCTTTTTTTAAAAACTATTTCAAGAGAGAAAAACTACTGATGAAAAATTGGTAAGAACACACAACACAAAACAATAAAAACATGGTTTGTACAAGGTGGGTGGCTACATATCAGCTTTAGGGTATTATGTCTGAACAAAGTAGGTTTCAAAACAGATATTACTCAATATTTTAATAAATTTGGTATGGAAATGTCAAAAATAATACAAACACAATGTACCAATGGATTGTTGTTTGTTTGTATGTATGTGTATTAATCGCACAAGTTTCTTTATAATGTATTATAAGAAATGGAGGTGGAGCTGAAGAATTATTCTAAAAAACTATATATGTAAATAAATTTGTTATAAATTGTTGTGCTTTTTTTGTCTTATAGTTTATATATATTGTTTTTTGTCTCTAAAGAAACAATATGTATTATTTACTGTGTATATAAATTATTATTTATTATTTATGAGTCAGAAAGTTTATTATTTATGAGATAATGAACCAAATAGAACAGTAAAAAAACTATGCTTCTTTTTAATCATTGTTGAATAGTGAAATAAAGCTTTAGTTTTCAATAATATAATTTTACAATATAATGCTTAAAAATAAATCAAAATGGATGATAAGTTTAACATACAAATTATATATATATATATATGTAAAATATTATAATTTTTCTTTTGGAATACTAATCTTTAATTAAATTTATGGATTTGGATTTAAAACAATTAACCTGTAATCTTTCAATATATTAAAAATAAAATAATAATTCTCCGATATTGGGTTTTTAATGGTGCACCCTCTCCTTGAGATCTTTAATATTTATAGCGTGAAATGAAATTATAACAAAAATAATAGTGAAGCAATTTTCACTAAAAGCAAAAGTTTATGAAAATATGTAAAACTAAAAAAATAATGACTTGATTAATATAATAACTAAAGCAATTATAAATAGAATTTTTTTTATTTGTGTGCCAAATTTCAAAATTATTTACAAGTGCTTTATGTTTTTGTCAATTGTGTTAAATTAAATAGCATGTGACTATACTTTGAACATATCAGAAACAAGTTAAAAAAATTAAGATATAGACAAAGTATAATAATAATGGTAATAATAATGCATAACTGTAATGCACAAGCAATTTCATTTGTAAAATATATTTTTTTAAAGTGTTCATTTTTTTTCTCTAGTGTCTTTGATTAAAAATACTTGTGCAGATGTGCGATGAAGTGGTAATATAATATATCCATACTGTATATACGAGGTCGTCCTTGTACACACCATGCACAACAGAAAAAAACCGAAAAGAACAGAAACTATATTAATAATTATGAAACAATATAATCTTATGAAAAATAAAGGATAAAACAAAAATTTATGAGAGTGATTTTCTACCTTAGCTTGGATTGTCAACTAACCTGAGGCAGAGAGAGAAGTTTTTGTGGACAACAACTGACCTGTAGCACAAGGCACTCAGGGCAAAGACTATGAAAACGCCCCCCACCACCGACATTAATGTACCGACCAGCATCACAGTGTTGGTACTGTGAGAATTTTCTGCACCGAACAAGAAAACAACAAACATATATTATACCGATGAATGTGTTAAATTTATTTATAATGTTTCATTTTTTTGTGAGGTCGTGTTTTGGGTTTTTGAGGAGGAATGGGATGTTTTTCAGTTTTAAAATTATTTTTGCGTAAAATAAACATGCAAAAAATAAAATTATAAGTAGAAACCAAAAACAGAACATTGTAAAGGGTTGAATTGTCATGGGTGGATTGAAGGATTGAAGAGAAATAGACAGAGGCAGAGAAGAGAAGAGAGTGAGAGTTAGAGTTGTGANAGAGAGAGAGAGAGAGAGAGAGAGAGAGAGAGAGAGAGAGAGAGAGAGAGAGAGAGAGAAAGAGAAAGCATTATATCAGTATCATTTCCAGCGAAATTCTTGTACAATATTATATACAAATGAACAACACAGTATTGCATGACATAACAATATAATAGAAAAGTAAACCAAAAATGTCAATGTCAAATAAATTTTTGATCCACTATGCTACAATGGGTCTTCACTTCTATACTGTGGCGTTTTCAAAATCCATTTCCTGTTTTTACACTCATTCAAGCAGCAGGTCTGATGGTGATTCACTCGGAAAGGAAAACTGCAAAGCTAACACAATGGAAAAAAACTTGGAGAACTTCAACATTGTTAAAATAAATTTTTTTATCAAGATTACTACAATTTTGCCTGAAAAACAGTTACAGCACAATTAATAATCCAAGAGATGTTCAGTTATTCTTGAAATTCTCCTTGAGATGAAATTCAAATTCCTGATGTGAATGAATCGCCACCAACCTGCCATACAGTTTCACAAATCAAGCACTTCTCCAAAGCAATTACACGAACATATTCGCAACAACAATTGTCGAACGATACGAGCAGAGAGATAAATAATGCGGAAACAGTTTTTCAGTTTCATTTCTCTTTTGTTTATGTACATTTACTTGTTTCCCGTTTTAAAGTACCTGTAGCAAACAGCAATACTAGCAAAGCAAATGAAGACTCCTTTGACAACAGCCACCATTATGAAGACCATCACAAGCGTGCTCACGTTTTCTTTGTCCATCCCTGTAAAATATCGATCCCCAAACTTGTGTCCCACACTCATTTTATACCAAATGCGTTAGTGCTGACTTATAGAAAATGGATAGGGGAATAGAAATGATTTTTTTAAATGGTTGAAATGAATACAGTAAAGTGTCATGACAGCCAATTGCACAATACATGAAGTTTTGGTATAATTGAGTGTGCATCCCCTTTAGAGACTTCCATTTGGGGAAAAATTACTTGAAGAACGGTTGAAGGAGAAGAAAACAATGAAAAGATGTAAATCATTGTTTAACTCATAGTTATTGTTTCTGATATGTCATGACTATAATAAAATTAAATTAAATTTCAAAGGCCTAATATTATCCAATTTTCCCTATGCTCAACCCTCACTCAGTGACTAATGAAGAACATTTTTTGTTGATAAAAATAAATTTAATCAACTTGCAGAAAGGAGAAAAAATTAAAGGAAAATTGAACTAAGAAATACTTAGGTGGCTGTTTAACGAATTGGGAAATGCTTCTAAAAAATTAATCAAGTATAAATATTATTTAAATTTTAAATTAATACACATAAGAGGATATAAATGTAATGTCAAAATTATACATATATTCCAAATAAAAACATATATTTTAAACTAATTTATAATGAAAAAATTGGTTTTTCATTATCAAAGGTTTTTAAAAGGTTTCTAAACTGAAATTAATCATTAGCCTGAAAAATTAGAAAAAACTGATTCTGTAACATTATAAAAGAGCTTTTTAATATATTTAAGCTCTCAAAGAATTGTCCAACTGCAGAATCAGATTTCCCATTTGAAAGTTTAAAATGTTATCATTTTTTTACTGTAGAAATAACCTAATAAAGTTGGGTTAGAGAATGTTTGAAGGTGTTACAAATATACAGACAATAAATACCAAAGGGAAAAAAAATGTTATAAAAAATTTACTCTTTATTTAGTTGATTGCAAATATTAAATTTATGATAATAAGTGATAAATAAACATGAACGTTTAATGTGTATTCAATGGTATAAAATAATATAAAACAAATTTTTAATGTGGTCTAAGTAAAGATAATTTAATACTGTAAAAATTACTTTGATTTTGAGAAATTTCTTGATTTTTTGTCTTTAGTTTTAAATCAAGACACTGGGTTGGATTGGACAAATTGAATGTTTAAAATTTTACTGAATACCCAATTTCCAGCAAATAATTTCATCAGGTTTTTGGATAAAGTAATTAATTTGAATGAATGTATACAAGAGTAATAATTTCTTTTAGTGATTTGGAAAATTTTTTCATATTTTATTTTTAAAGTGCAAGGTGTTTATTTATTTACTTTTGCTTCCTGTGTAAATTGTAATGTCGGAAATGCTTTAATTACATATATATTTGTAAGAAATAAAAATTAGGCATTGTCAAGAAACATAAGGAATTTGTTTAATTTACCATAGGGCGTTTCTTTCTTATTCATCTGGCTCTCCAAATTGTTTTTGGCACTTTTCGACTTGGCAATATCACTGGCCGATTCCGTCGGCTCAATCGACGGTGAGATCATGATTTCCACTTGGAGGGAGCAGTCGGTCCCAGACCATCCGAGGAAACAGTAACATCTATTCACATTCGTACACACCTGGAGCCCACGGGGAGAGATGAACAAGTTTTCCACGAAAATATTCTTAATGATCGACATCTGTGAAAATTCTACTTACACCGTGGCCAGAACACTCTAGGTTATTGTGATTGCTCGGGCACCTCCCTTGGTCAATATGTGGGAAGATACTTGTGCAAGTTTGGTTGATACATATCTGAAATTAAAGACATGTAGAAAAATGATTTTAAAGTTACAGAATTAAACAAGCTTCTTACCAAGTTTTCGCCACAAGGCGTCCCATCCCTCACTAACCCTAAATCTGGGATATCCGGCTGATCTGTGGGACCACTTGTGGTCCTATTTAAAAATTAAAATAACATTTTCATAAATAGGCATAAATTATTACAGTTTGCACTGTACTTACTTGCATTCATACTCTACACCTTTCATGGAAATAATAGTTCTTGAATAAAGCTGATCTACACCAGCAAGTAATGGATAGCTGCTGCCAGACTGACACTGCAGCGAACCACATCGAGCATTTCTAATTGTATTAAAAAAAATTAAAAATAAACGCAGTTAATCTTTTATTTTTTAAACAGTTCTATACAGACCCACAAAGCTGGAGGTTAATAAAACAATAATAAATAATGGAACCTTATTTCTATGGTCAGTATTTTAAATTTCTGATAGTTGGTACATCCATTAAATTTTACATGCATTAACAGAAATACTATTTTAAATCTAACTACCCAGTTTGTTCATCATATTTTGTATTTGGATAAGTAATACGAAATTGGAAATCAGAGATTTATTTTTTAGAAGTCAGCGAAGCCACAAAAACAGTTTGTTGTAAATGCAATGTAATTCTTTTTGTAATTGTTGTTGTCAATAATAGTAAATATTGTTCATTTAAGGATGGCTTGTTTTATTTGAAATGGCAGTTAAACTGTATAATTTTTTAAAATAAAATTGCAGACAAAATAAGAGGATTAGATATATCAATGCTTTTCTGAATTGGAAATGAATTACTACTATTATCATCAAATTCATGCTGAGATAGAATATTGTTTTGACTTGGGCACCAAATCAAAATTCTGATATTTATTAAGAGCACCGGAAACAGAAAAAGTTTGGGAACTGCAGGTATGACAGTATTAAGGTGGTTAAATCTAAATAGTAGAAAAAGATCGTTTGTTTAATTTGTAATTACATGACCTCCAACCTAGCTGATAAGCCCATAAATAAGTCTGTAAATATTATCTAGAAAAACTTACTCATTATCACATTTTATGAATTGTTTCTCACTATCAGTTCCACAATGGCCGCTAAACGAGCCTTTAGAATTGAATTGTTTAAAGCATTCTATGTCTCCAGCTCGTCCACCTGAAATCATAGATGCATTATTGATTTACGTCCACCTGAATCATAGATGAATTTCAGTTATCATGGACCAGTTTGACTTACCGCTTCCCCAGATCTGACCACACTGCAGGTCGAGGGTCGGGCAGATGCCGTTGAAGCAATAGCCGGTTTCTGCTGCGCAAGGGTTTCCGTTCTTTTTATGTACATCCGGTGGGCACTGGCCCTGTTCTCCGTTGCAGTGCTCGGGCAGGTCGCACTCATTGTTAGACTCCCGGCACACCGTGCCCATTGGCTTCAGCTAAATCAAAAACCAAATTGTTGCAGTCACACTAATGCTTTTCTTTACTCTGAAAACGTACCTTGCAATCCGTGCAGCAGGGGCCAGTTGCACATTCAGAATCTTTTTTCAACTTGCAGGTGTACGGGTCGCAGCAGGGGTCGAGCTCCTGGCACTCCTGGATGGTACCGCAGTCACAGTCTTCGCCCTCTTCGACCAGTCCATTCCCGCAGCTCCGTCTCACTTCCAGCTAGTAAAACACATAGATCTTATTAGTTTTTGAAGTAACTATTAGGTAATAATAAAAAAAGTCCAGTACAAAGTTGAAAACATTCATATTTTCAGTTCCAAACAATATGATCCTGACCATTTTAAAACAGTAGTTTGAACCAAATTGACCACATATCATTACTGATTTTTTTTTACACACACCAGCATTAGACAGATAAGATAATGTCAGAAATACTTATTAATGTTCTGATGATATGATGTAATACATTTAAGACTTTCCTTAGCATGACCGGAAAAATTGAAAAACAAAACAAAATTGGAAATTGGAAAATCCTTTGGCTTTTTTGTTGAAAATATAATAAAAAACGAAGATTACAATGTAAAAAATATTCTACAGTTGCTTTTTATAATTTTCTTTTACACAGTATTAAGCAAATTTCAGTAAAAGAAAACTTTCAACACGCCAAAATACTTATTTGCTTTTGTGATATGTGTTTGAATGTATTTATCAACTTAAATATTAATTTTTTTTTTTTAATATAAGGTCTTAGTTGAGATGAAAAAGTTAGTGTCATGAGTGGGATTTGAACCCATGGCCTTCGGCTTTTAATTCGGCTTAACTTTTTCATCCCAACCGAGACCTTACATTAAAAAAAAGAAAAAAAAATTGAACAAAATGTTTGGACAATCAGAACATAAATGTATTTATCAACATTTATTTTCTTACATGAAAATTTATTGTAACTTAAGAAATTGTTAATGGCCTGTGTCTTTACACAAAGAAAATATCAACAGTAGGTGAAAAATGAACTAAACATGTTCTATTATTTCACAATAAGTAATATAAATTTTAAAAATATTTAATTTGTGGTTTGGTTAGACTTTTTTATTATTGATAATCATTTAATGCTCCATCACTTGTGGAAACTGTAATACCCACCTCATTGGGCTTGTTCAGGAGGCAGATACCGTGGCCAGTCCTAAGTGCGCTGTTGTAATCCGACCGGCTGCACTCGCTGAACTTATAAGGCTGAACGTTGTCCAGCCCGACGATCGTCTGCGCCATGATGCAGCCATGCCAGTCCCGACAGACGCATTCTTCACCTAAATATAAAAGAAATAGTGAGATTTCTTCATGTGGTCTGGGGGTTGACAATAGTTTGGGCAGTTCTGATCCGCGCTTTCTTAAGTGCCGACAGACCAAACCAGCATGGATAGGCAGACCAAAATAATCAGAAAAAATTGAACTAATGCAAAATATGCGAATGCAGAGACAAACACATTGGGTAGACAGATGTAATGTAAAATACAATGTTGTTTAGGGACGGTGATAGAAAATCAAACTAGCCAACTGATCAAATGAAAATCGTAATGAACACTCAACAATACAACAACCATGAAACTCGATTAAAATATAACGAAAAGTAAACATAGTTAAAAATGTGAAAATGTAGTTGACACTAAAAATCTGATACAATATTTAAAGACAGTTCACATGCATCGTTTACGCCATTCAAAACACACGTTTTTCTATAAAAATGAATCAAAGATCTCAAAGAGACTTGAGTTCACAGAAATCACACAGACAAAACTGATGATGGGAAAATGATGAAACGCATCTGACATACCAACACAGCAAGTATAAGCACACCAGGTTGATTGGTAACGAACAAATTACATAAAAAGAGTTTATCGAGGAAATCTTTTCTAAACAATATGAAGAGTAAGTTCTTGTACAGTGTAGAACAGTTTGTCTTTGATAGAATTCTATTTTATTCATAGGTTTTCTTGACATGAGCACTCTTCAGAAGTGTAGAACAGTTTTTCTTTGATAGAATTCTATTTTATTCATACGTTTTCTTGACATGAGCTCTGTTCAGAACTTTATTTTATCTATTTTATAAAACATTATTGGTTTAAATTACCTTAAAACAGAAAAATATATAAATATTACATTAATTTTAATTATATTATATGCTGGGTGGACATACCAACAATGTGCAAACTTTCTTTCATTCTTTAATTTGTCTAATTATAAAAATAAAGTTTATGTTAGATTGGTATAAAAGAACAAATACAACAAACAAAATATTTGATTTTTATTTGTCACATACAATAAAACAAAAAATTAACGTATCACTTTGTAAACAGAATTTTAGAAATTAGTGATATTTGATTTCATAATAATAACATAAATAAATTAATACAAAACTTTTACAGCTAATATCCCCCCCCCCCAAAAAAAAAAGAGAAAAAAACTGCTAGAAGAAATAATTACAAAACAAAAATTAAATTGTTTCAGTAACTTTAAGAAAAATAATAACGATCAAGACGTTTTGAAAAACAAAATTATCCTGGTATGATGTTTTATGATTTATACAGAAAACATTTACATTTAAACAGAAAAAATATTAACAACCCTCAAAAGAGAAAAAGGAATAGATAATAATATAATGGTGTATATACTATATATAGTAATATATCATAATATATAGTGTAATAATAGTATATTTTTTATGAAAAATAAAGTATGGAACTACCTACCACCTTTATATAAAATTAAAAATAACATGTATAATTCAAATATTGTGTACTTGCTCACATGTAACTGTAACAAGGCACATATAGGTGGCAGTGTAACTTAAAAAAATATATAAAAAAATATCAACACCAAAATTGTATAAATGTAAATATGTAAAAAAAGACTAATAATGAACCCTAACCATCCCTAACCGTTCGAACCCATTGTAGGTTGAATTGAGGAGTTGGTATCCGAGTGGATCGAAATCACAATAGATGAAGTGGTTAGAGCAGAGAGGTATTTAGCTGAAGGTCGTAGGTTCGAATCCCGCTCATGGCACTAACTTTTTCATCTCAATCAAGACTTTACATAAAAGAATCGTTATGAATAAAAAAGACTTCTATCAAAGACCATGTTGTAAACTGTTCAAGAACCTACACTTCAAATAATATAATTTAAAAAAAGTTATTATACACACAATATAACATATTGTATTCATCGAGAAATGAACCATATCTGGTTCAAAATATATATTGCAAAAGTATGTAATAATAAGTAAGTACATGTAAGATTTGTTCAATGCCAGAACAATCGCGATATTCTGTCAGTGTCTTTAAAACGTTGTTAATAACATTTTAAGTACAGAAAAGTAAAAAGAGAATGGTTTGTATATTTATTATGACAAATTTTGCAGGGAAGTTAATTTGAATAGTAAAGGTTGGTCCTGCAGAAGAACGCAATATGACACATTCGATTGACATCTTCAAAAAAAATTTAAGGTAAAAATGCAAGTGTTTATATTCAAAAAGTTAAAAGATTTTTCAAAAACCAGAAGAAAATAATCTAACAATTATATATAACAAAAACAATCATTGAGGATCACGTTGACCGCGTGGTCAGCGCGTCAACTCGCGGCTCATAGCCTCACGGACGTGGGTTTGATTCCCACAGTCGCCCCCTGGTATTTCTGACCATTCATCATAAAACTTTAAAAAAACGAACGAACAATTGTGAAAAAGCCTGTTTTTGGCTGGAAGCAAATCGGGTCAAGGAAGCTTTTCTGCTATCTATCATTATCACCACCACGATTTTACGCAATTATCTTTGCGATTACAAACTGTCAAAAAGCGTCAGGAAGCCCTTATTGGATAAAGAAATGGCTGTCTGCCTGGCAGGAATACCACACTGATTTAACAGGAGGAAGTTTGTATTGGACAAGGTATCCCGTGGCACTGAAACTTGAAAGAACCTTGGTTAAAAGGTTATAGAACTACTTGTCATTATTATTCCACGATCGCACGTACAAGAACAAATCAAGGGTTATGGGCGCACACATCTCAATAGAATAGGACTAAGAGAAACCCCAAATTGCGCGACCTGTGCTTGCAGGGAAGATCTGAACTCCATAATACTGGAGTGTCCGGAGTACGAGGGAAGAAGAAAAGATCTTATGGAAGATATTCATGCGTTGGAAGGTGTAGAAAGACCGTATTGTTGAGAGTCCTCGATTTCAATGAATAGGACGGAAATTCACGATCTGCTCTACCAATTCGTAAAATATTGTAACATCGAGGTTTGATCGAATTGATCGAATGGCAATGTCCATCTGTAGTTGGAGGTCGTCGTCGCAGATGGTAAGACGGGTTGTCGGAGGGGAGCAGGGCATGTTAGCCCCGGCTATCTTGAGGACGTGGACTTTTCCGTAGTATCTAGTTGTGAATGGTTTTTATTTACGTCCTACAATGAGGAGTCCGCCAAAGCATTAAGGTAATAGAGAGAACCGGGTTCCGCACCCTTCCTTCCTGGTGGGCCGGTGGCTGTCGGGATAGGGTTTCTTCCGCTGTGCCCGTTCTCCCACCTTGCCACTCTGGTCATGGTAGCTAGTTCGAAAAGTCATGGATAATAGTTTAACATACCCCCCAACCAAAAAATAAATAAAAATCTTTTAAGCATTTCAAACAGATTGAAGTTTCTAATAAGAAGGGCTATAGCTGATAAAAATTAAGGTTAATAATAGTTTTCTTACTTAAAAAAAAGAAGAAAAAAGCGCGCTTTTCCAAAAGCTAAAGTAAAACAAGTTTAACAACGAAGAGACAAATTTTTCCATTATTGCGAGTAAGAATACAACAACAAGCAATGTCTTTAGAACACACTATTAGGTAAAATGAGAAAGTTCGCAAAGTAAAGCATATTACTTTCGAGAAAAGTTTGAAAGGAATCATAGTAGAATGATCTCTAGGAAAATTCTAGAATGAAACCGGTCGATAAAATAAACAATAAGCCATTTCAATTTTGTTCAAACTGTAAGGGTGTGTCTCTATATGGGCGCTAGATGGGCAGATTAAATATTAACACATTCACACATAAAACTTTGATTATTTAAAGATTCTGAGATGCGACTCCTCACAGAAAAATTAATTTCTAGCTCTATTTCCTTCCCTACTCCTTCAAAATCAAACACATATAAACAAAAAACATTAATATATCACTAACACTGTCAACACGACAAACAACAGTGTCACATCTACAAAGAAAACAAACTTTTAGTGAGTACAAACACTTTGATTAAACCTAAAATTTCTATCCTTTTTGAAAAGATAGTTTCTACTCACAGTAAGTTGTTTTCCAACGATCTGGATTTCGAGCTTTTAGCTCATCATCAGGTTGAAGGAGCTCTACAACCTGATGATGAGCGAAAAGCTCGAAATCGGGATCGTTGGAAAACAACTTACTGTGAGTAGAAACTATCTTTTTAAAAGGACCGAACACTCACTCCACCATTCATCATTTCTAAGATTTCTATATTGTGGACATTATTGTAAAAATTCACATTCACTGAAGATGATTTCAATAAAGATCGAAACGTAGGCACGATAAAGAAAATGTTTTTTTCTCAACCAACATCTCACCAGACCGCATCTCACGATTTCTAAATAATCATTAATTAACGGTCACTAAATACTACACATTTGTAAAACTATGTTTTTGTCGACTTACGTCCTCCGTCGTGACCCATGCCGATGTTGTGGCCGATCATGTGGGCCATTGTTCCGGCAAGAAGGTGCAGCTCATACGCGTTGACGTCCACGCTAATCCCGACGGATTTGGCCGTGCATACCGTCTCCGGAACTGACATCCCTGCCTCTCCGCCTTGAAAAACCTCTCCGCTAAAACGACAAAGAAAACGTTTAGACCAAATGGTGAAAATTTAAAGCACACCCATGAAATACTTACGTTAGTAACTGTGCAGTGTCTTTATCGACATGATATAGGTTCCTAGAGGTGTAATCATTAAAATTGAGCAAAGCGCGACTGATATCTTGAGTCTTATCTATAGGAGATTGGTTGGCTCCCTGCCACGTTTCTATATACACCACTGAAACCCTAGTGTTCAGTGTTCGAAAATACTGAAATAAAATGTAAAATTAGCTAATTGATTTTAGAACTTAACAAGAACAGTCAGTATACTTACCAAATCAGCAATGTTTGCTACTTGTATCGCGTCGTGGACCACTTCAGACCTCGTACTCCCATTCCGTTTTTCAAACTGCATAAAAGAAATTGTAAAATTTTAATAAATTTTAAAAATAGTTAAAAACAGTTAAATTCATGCTGAGAAGATTCAAGGTCAGTGAAGAGTATCGGTTTTATTTCAGGCCTTTGTTTCTCTACTTATTATAAAGGTATTACATATAATATTAATCCTTATTTGATTCTTCTTTTTCTATTATAACCACGCAGATTATTGGACATAATTCAGATTTCGAATGTAATTTTACAAAACGTCAAAATAGCCGGCCTGAATGAAATCCTCTTATCAAAATCTAAAGCCAAACAATGTAGTTTCTTTATTTCAGGATTCTGAAAAATTAGTAAAAAATTAGAAATAGAATATTTTATAAATCATATCACTTGTAATCAGTGGGTACCACAGGACCGGTGTAAGAGTCATTCTTTGTGTTTGGAGAACCTTTTTTCGTTTTATTACAAATTTACAACTGCAGAATTAACTTCAACAAGAAAATATTATGTTGATAAAGGATAATTGACTTGTACTGTCCTTTAACTTAATAGTGACATTCGATATAGGTAAACTTAAGGTAAACAGTCAAGATCACGAGGTCATCGGCGATTCACTCGGCGGTGTGGCATATCGGGAAGTGTGGAAGAGGAAAGTTGGGTTATTAAGGGATTGGGATGTCCTGTGAGTGAGGAGGGGAATGTGTCATAACATGATTTGATGGCGTGAGAAACGTAAGGGATATTGAATTCATGGTGACGAATTTTCAATATAACGAAGGTTTTGGACAGGAAAGATTGGATTCAACAAGAGTTGGATAGTTAGCTAAACCCCATATTTCCAGTAGCTACATTTCGGTTTGTAATGTGTAGTAGATTAGTCTTTTGTTGTTAGGGGAGAGTTTGGATAGTATATGAAAGTCTAGAAAAAAGTTTGTATCGTCTATTGAGTGTGTGTGTTGTTTATGTCTAGTATGGGGATTCAACCTGAGGCGTTTGTCGATGTATAATCTTAAGTTGCGAACCAAGTTGGTTATGGGTAGAGGAACACGGTTGAGATATACAGGAGGAAGGATTAGTCGTCTTAATGTAAAATTCTTATACTGACATTTATTTTCATTTACTTTTATCCTCCACTTCTTTAGCCAAGGCTAAAACTATGGTGAAACTATGAACTATGAAACTGAAGATGGCGAAATTATTATGTTTCCTACTGGGGTCGCAATGTCTTATAACATTGAGGTTCTTTAGCGAGCGCACCTGGCCTTATCACACGTTTAGATTCTCAAGTTAGGAGCGACTCACCTCCGCGCACGGTTGGCTGTAAGACCTTGAGGTTCGGTGTAGAAGCCCGCAGATCCACAGTCTAATCAAACGGACATGCTGACTTCTGCCGCTTGCCCCTTCCGAGGGGGTGGGTTAACGTTGTACAATCAACCGTATGCCGCGCGTAAAGGGATACCCAAAAGGGGTCGAAATGCATCGACCAAGTCTCCCACGCATTCCCTTGGTAGGGAAGAAAACCCTATCTCCCTGGGTGTCGGGGCTCCGCTAGCATCGAAACCTCTGGATCCGTCCACCCGCGGTTTCGATTTAAGTAATCTCTGACCACCACCTAGACGGGACCATGCTTTCGGTAAAAGTAGCCCAGACGGGCACCACCGAAAAACATCCGCCCCGTCGGCCTTTCCTCACGCATTCAAGGGACTCCGTCAGCGCAGTCTTAGCCTACTCGTAGGCTGTACGCTCGGCATTCGATCGCTCCGACTCCCGCGAGGTCGGGAGGTTACACGGAGATCATGCGCAAGGGCTCTGGTCCACGGTCACGGATGAAACACAACCTCTTCTCTAGGTAGGCTAGGGGTCTCGCCACTAAGCCACTGTGAGTTCTTACCCATGCAGCTGGGCTTGAAATTGGAACGAAACTTCGCTGCCCCGCAGTTCAGATGGACAGGATCTGGTACCCTTACCTGCGTGTTCCTCTGGTGCAGAACCCGCCGTTCGCGGCCAGTTCTCAACCCAGCAACTCCCTAAACGCACCTCGATGGCGAAATGCCGAAACACATCTGACCGACCAACCCAGCGAGGATAGGCAAACCAAACTGATCGGTAACGACATAATTACAGGTTCATCTCCCCGCAGCCCCAAGGAGGAAATCTTCACGGGGTCCATTGCCTTTGGGAAAACCAATAATGAAGAAGCAATGCGTTTGGAGAAAGCACATATAAGAATCATGTTATAATGCGTTGATCTAACTCGAATGTGTGTGCGTTGAATAGAATGGCTTGTTAGTGAAAATTAGCTCCATCTTCTTCATCACATGGTATTGATCGCGATGTCGTTCAAGTAGAAGCGGTTAATAACTGTTGACAAGTAAGTCATAACGTCTTTATCGAATTCATTCCTTTCCCAAGCTGTCTTAACAATTTCCACATATTGCAACAGCACCGCCCTTGGATTATTGTTCATTCCCTTATTCACGCAGGCAATTTTGCATGTTGATTCAGACTGAATTTCTTTCAGCACGCCTACGTGAATGTTTCGGTGTGGTGAATCAAATTGCTTATTAAAATCTTGTATGTTTAACTACACTAGTAAGTTGCACGCAAATTATGAGTACAAAGTAATGTTTTATCTCTGACAATTACACTCGTAGATCGAAAGCCTAATTGGCAGATCATTTGTTTTTGTGGTTATAAAATTAAATATTTAAAATGGATATTTAGTAGGTTCCAACAGTTGCTGTGTGTAGTGGACAGGTAACGTTGTAGGGTGGCGCTACAATCTGTAAGGAAGCTTTCTCAGCAAGCTCCGTTTGTAGCTCGTTATCAGTAGGTGAACATATCCAAAGTTGAAGAGGGAAAATTGCGTTAACTTCGAAGTATGTTGTGTGTATGTAGGAAGCAAATATGGGTCCCCTCTGTAGGCGTTGCATACATTAAGCTGGATAAGACGTTGTACACTTTTTCCGGCGAGAGAAAACAAACGCAAAAAACTTTTTCGCCCACAACCCAACGTCACTTTTTTAAGGTAGTGCCTTCTTAAAATTTTATTCCTGTTGTTCCGAATATACGATATGATAAAAACGCCCTTTTTGTTTATTTGATAGTTGTACCCAAACGCATTGCCTCCGCGGACCCTCTAGCTTTCCCTTTTCCCCAAACACAGCTCATCTCACGATGTGATACTTTTATTAAAATGACGACAAGGAGTGTTTTGTAAATGTGTCTTGACATTTGCGTAAAAATAGGCCGAAAATATTGTAATATATATTAAGGACAAGCAGGGAACACAGTTACCCGATGCAACGCTATGCGACGCAAATCCAAAGTCCAAGTTTCCATAAGATCGTGTTAAGCCGAGAACACACTTACCCGATGCTACCCGACGCCTTGCCACGTTTTGGTGTGGTGTGCACATCTATCCGAAGCAAGCACACGTCGTACAGTACACAGCGTTTATCACAATAATCACTATCACAATCGCAACCCATCTTTTGTTCTTAATACACTATTTTGAGCAAAACCTTGTACAGCCATGTAATAAATTGTTAGTTAAATTTTATGAGCACAACCATCTAATAAATTGTTTGTTAAACTTAATCATTTTAAATAAAGTTACTCCTAACCATCATAATTAAACAATGTTTATAAAAACTTATGCATTTTCGATCTCGTTTAATTTGGTTTACATTAATATAACATGTAATTAATATAACGACAAAATTATATGTACTTAGTTTGAAATAAACTACAGAAAATATGAGTGTCCTGTTCTGATGCTACCCGATATTACAAAATGGTGTAATTTTACGAGCAAAACTATGAAATAAATTGTTAATTAAATTTTATGAGCAAAACCGTGTAATAAATTGTTCCAATTTTAGTATATGTACCGCCGAAGCGAGTAAATAAATTGTTAGTAAAATTCATTATATCAAAAAATCGTATTCCGGTGTTTTGATTAATTGTCTACCAAACCATTAAAATTAATTTTTTAAATAAAAACTAATTAATTTTTAATCACAGTTTAATTTGGTTTATATTAAAATAAGTATGTTGTAATTAATATAACGACAATAATACATGTAGTTTGAAATAAAAATATGGTGTCCGGTTCTTTTGTCTTCTACTGTACTCGATGCGACTCGACGAAAATCTGGACAGTGGGATCGCAGAGCGTCGGGTAGGTTAGCGTAGCATAGCATCTGGTAGATGTGCACGGGGGTAATACAACCTTATGGAAAATCGGAGTAGCGTCGCATGGCGTAGCATCGGGTAAGTGTGTTTCTGGCTTTATCCCCGGCTTTACCCTCTGAATAAAATTCATATTTTCATTCAAACTACGTCGTTATATCAATTACAACATACTTATTTTAATATAAACCAAATTAACCGAGATCAAAAATTCATTAGTTTTCATATAAATTATTTAATTATGGTGGTTAGGAAGAAAATTGATCAAAACTCCGGAATAACTTTATTTAAAACAATTAAGTTTATCAAACAATTTATTACATGGTTGCGCTCATAAAATTTAACTAACAATCTATTATATGGTTTTGCTCAAAATAATGCATTAAGAACAAAAGAGGCGTTGCGATTGCGATACTGATTTGTGATACATGCTGTGTGACTGTACGTGGCGTGCGCTTGACTTCGAATATATGTGCACACCCTACCAAAACGTGGCAAGGCGTCGTGTAGCATCGGGTAGCGTCGCATAGCGTTTCCACGCTTTGTAGGTATGCAAGTGCTATTAATTATATAAAAAAAGAAAGAAAAATGGTTTTGACCCGCTTGCAAGCCAGGTATATTTTCTGAAAAAAGTCAAGTGAGGAGGAAAGAGGGTTTGGTCATTGTTCTCAGCGGTGTCTTTGTGTTATTAAGAGCTAATTCCGGTGGTTTTTTTGTTTGTTCGCACTGGACGGTTTTATGTTGGAAGGTTCGTTTTCGTTTGTTGTTTTTGTCCGGAGTGTAAATGATGTGTGAGAATTGCTTTTTATTTGTTATTATGTCCAGCTTTCG